GAAATATGAATACCGTAATCTAAAAACAGATCCACTCGAAATCACTCCCATTTAAAATGCAAAATTTATTTCCCCCTGTAGTTCACCTAGATGTCAGCACTCCAAACAAAACAAAAACTCGAGAAACTGAATTTATAATAATTTTTGTAATCGGTCGTGCAAACCGTATCTGACCATTCACCACAAGTGTAACTGTCCGGATTCATCTTCATACGTTCGAGTGGATCTGTTTTTAGATTACGGTATTCTTATTTCTGTAACAAGGTGCAATGAAATAAAAATTAAGCCATCAGAAAAATTTAAACGCAACTTTTTTCTTATTTTTCAATTTTCTCAACAAGTAAAAGTGGACTTATCTAGGACGTTACCTAACCTGATTTATTGAAAATCGGGTAAAATTTTTATTTTCACCTCCCTTTTCAAGTCTTCAAGTCTCATTAAACAGGTAAAAAGACAGATTCATTAAGTATCTAGTTAAGTAATGATAAAATCAGATGAAATAAAATTACGTGAGAGATTTTATTATTAGCAGTTTTGTATTTTGATATTGTCATGGCTCAAAGGCATCAAAATAAACCTGTTTCAATCACAGAGACAATTAGTGACAAAAAAAGGGTTTAAATTATTTAATTTTAATCCTAGTTACACTTTGAAAGATCAACAAAGCAATTATAAAATAATCTTCTGATGCTAAATCAGTAGCCATTAATGCTATTTGTAAGTCAATGAGGAGTTAATTCATGATTACCCAAAAGCTACTTCATAATGGACAATAACCAAAAGAAAGCTTTTCAACTGTTGAAAAGGTCACTCGGAAAGGTCATATTGGTAATGAGAATCAAAAGTCAGGATAAATCTTTTATCTGACCATTGATTAGTTAAATTGTAAGCAAATTGAACAGCTAAATTAATCAGAAATTAACATTAATGTTAAACCCCATTATTGTCAATTTTGATCATAAACTTGCGCAGATGAATGGAAGCAAAAAAAAGTGAAAGCAAAAGATTCACTTTGATTTTGTTCGTTTGGTCGTTATTATCATCATTATTATTGCTGTTGAACAAGTTTACTGTACAAATGGGAGACAAATAATCAAGTGAGATGATTAAGTGAGTAAAACGCGCTAAGTCAAGATATTCACAATCATTTTATAGTTTATCAATGTTCAAATGACCTCAACTTTATCTTGCCATTTGTTTTTGTATTTGCCATCAACAACAACTTTTATTTTTTTATTCCTTCAGTGTTAATCTCAACTTACTTTTCCATTGTCTCTAATGCCCAATCATTTAATTTAAGCTTGATTTTAATTTAGTGTAAACTCTCATAATATCTACATTATCTTGATTGATAACCTTTGACCATCCGTTTCTCTTCAAAAGATGACCTCAATAAAAGGGAATACAAAAGTTGCCATTCAAAATGTACAACAGATTGGGTATAATAAGAAGAAAGGTTCAAAAGGTGCTTCAGTAGATGATAACACCAACGGAACAATTAAAAGTAATGAACCACCAATGGACAGATCAACTGAAGTTATAAGGTGAGTTATAATTTAGATTAACTAATTAACACCAATCTAATTTATCCCGTTAAAGGTAAATCTATAACAAGCATTTACTTGAAATTTATGTTTTGTGTAAAACCAGGCCTATGTAGGTGTATCTTGTCAGCCGTTCAACCCAACACCTGATCCAATGTAAAATCATCTGCAACAGTTTTCATTGTATTCCCTTCCTTAGACTGATTGTGTAAATGGATTAGTTAACAGTTTATATAAATTATTTACTTTTTCAGTGAGCATTTGATTGTAAATGACGTTGAAAAGTTGATTTACAGATGTTTTCATGGTGATTGAATGGTATACATCGGGAAAAGGTTATCTTAAAGTTACCAGGAGTGATAAATTTAGGTGTAAGGTGAAGCCATTCAACCTAAAGTGAACGTTCATAGAGATGTAATCAATTTGACAATTTAAATGAATTGAGTTTACGATTGTTTCTCATGTAAATGATATTATTTGCTTTTTTATATATTTGGAATCAATGAACTCAAATTTTCTACTCATCTTAATATTGTTAATAACAACCAGGTAGACTAGTTTATTAGTTGAAAACCCTGCGGCTTGTCTAAGGTCATTTCACCATGAAAATATGTCAGGTCAATTGCCTGATTTTTGAGCCTTTTATCTACTTGATAACATTCAGTAAAATGGTTTAAAAATGTATCCATTAATCTTACCAATGCATTCAAATTGAATGGTAAACCTAATTGTTTCTTAGCAATTTTTCAATAAATTTACAACTAATTTACATTTTTCCCATTTCTCAGAATTCCAGATTTCCATGAATCCTTTTATCCTGAAACTGTTATTAATCTGTATTATAAAAATCAGCTTGAAGATGCAAACAAATTTTGCCAACAATTTATGGAGGATTCAATTTACTACGCCTTTACTAAATCATTGCTCGATTTCATGTCAGCAATATTTACACTTGAACCGGTAAGTTACTATTAATGAAACAAATTGTTCCGATTAAGTCAACCCACAATTAGACATTGAATCAACAAATCTCGTAATTTACTAATAATACGAGAGATATTAAACTGATCCATTGAGAATGAAAAATTAGCAAACTGAAAAGCAATCCAAAATTTAAGATAATTTTTAATCAGCTAATCAACTTTTAGATTTGTCAATTTCCCTGTTTTAATGAAAATCATTTGGTAACAATTTACAATGATTACAAGACATTGCAATTAAATATTGTAACTGCTTGTCCAACTGGTTCTGAATATAATCAAAATCATTAATCAAGTACATTCACTCAATTAGACTCAATTAGAGGCTGGAAAAAAATCTCTTCGTCACATTTCAAATATAATCAACAAAAAACGACGATCAAATAGTTTGATGGAAAGTTTAAGTTCATGGATTCGTAAAGTTGATTACAATCAATACACTGATGGTAAGTAGATATTGATTAACCTAAAAAACTGCAATAGCTGGCGAATCAACTGATCTTTGTCTTCTTGGGTCAGCTTAAGACGCATCTTTGGGTCAACCTTTGATCAATCATTTCTGTTTTCTAGTAAATATAATTAACTCTTTGAAACCAATTCAATTGCAACAACAAACCTCTTACCTTGAAAGTCGCTAATTTGATAGCTTAAACAACAAGTTGACTTTAACATTTCAAAGCAGCCTTAGGCTTAAATCTTTATCTATTACTTTCACCATTAAATGATCATAAAATACATAAATGACGATCAACTCTAATTTATAGTAAAATCGAATAGCGATTCATAAATTTATTGACTGGACATTATATTTTTAGACCATAGCTGTTGAAAGAAAACTAAATTTCTCATCTAATTGTCCTTCAATGAAATTGATGATCAAATTTTTGACGGTGATCATGCTCATGATTGTAACAATAATGATTTAATTTAGACAATTTGTTGAAACACAGAAACAAGTTATAAAAGACAATTTCGATTAGTTTTCCTTATTTACAAATGTTCAATTCAACATGAATTCAACATTAGCTAAAGACAGTGATAATTCAAATCAATAATGTAAATTGATAAAACTAGTTTCCTAGCATTTAAAGGATTTGCCTTGTAATGTCTTTCAAATCGACTGTTTCGCTGGAATCATTTCTGGTTATATTTATTGCTATTAGATTCAATAATTCATGATAATTTAAGAGTTAATGATAACTATTGTTAAAGATATTAACTAAATGAACTAGAATCCATTAATAATTTATATTTTCTGATATCTTTGCTATTCATTGAAAATAATGGACAAGACACTGATCATAAAACAAGTGTGAAAACTAACCTGTTAAGGTTGACGAAGACGGTGAAAATTTTGAAGACACTTTCAGAATGATTCCAAAAATTCTCATGGTTATGAACTATTCATTGATTAGTAAAAATCTTTAAAAATTATTTTCTATTCCAAAGGTTAAGGTAAAAATAATTTAAATAAAATTCATTTTAATGTAACAAAACCAAGAACTTATTGGACTTGATAACTTTTTCTTGAAAGTGTCTTCAAAATTTTCACTTCATTCTTAATGGATTAATTTTTCACATTTGTTTTTACGACCAGTTCATTCAGTGTCCTGTTCAGTCTTTTCCCTGTCTTCTTCATTCTTTAAAGTAATTTCCTGTAATTGTTTTACTTTGATTCAATTGTTTTCTTCCAAGTTGCTGTGCTCGAGTTGATTGTCTTTGGATTAACGTCTACTAGTTAATGGTTGTTTCAAAATACTCTCAATGTTTCCCTTTCAATATAATTTGATTTGTTTTTTAGGTTGAATTGAATTTCATTGTCTAGTTAGACTCTAAAATACATTGATTATACAGGATTTAACAAGAAATAACAAGATTTAAACGGAATTAAACTTGATTGTTGAAGGATGGCACATGAAACTTATGAGACTTGTGCTATTTCCCTGCTATTTTTGCAAAATCAAATCAACTGAAATAAATAGCCACTATTTGCAATTAAATTTGAGTTAAATTGATTTTTCCGCTTTTTGATCGCAATATTAAAGATTATTTTTTATCATTTTCAGAACAAATTCATGCTGAACTGCTTTATTGTGCAGTTGAATTTTTATACACAATGTTAAACGTCTTCTCAGATCAAAGGATAATCACATTAATTAGAAGTGCTTTGGCTATTCGATCAGCTAACAATTTACTCAAGTAAGTTTCAGATTTATAAATGACCCAAAACAATTCAAATTGTTAATTCATTTCAACTCTAATGGTGCTCAATGTTTACTTTTTAGTTCAATTTTTTTCCGTTTGGGTTCACCATATTTTGACTTCTGTTTTAATTTCATAATTCAGATTTCGTTTGTTTTAATCTCTACTAATTATAAATTTGTTTTCTATTTATCTAGAATTTTGGAAGAAATAAAGAATACTCGAAGTAAATATGAATCTGAAAAGAGTCGGATAAATTTCAATACAGGAGTACTGGTTTGTTCTGGGACAATCAATTTGGTAGGTTTCGTATTGTCTTTATAAGCTATGAGAGTTTAACTTACGTTTTTTTGTGTTTACAGTTTGTTTCAATGTTGCCAGATAAAGTGCTCAAAGTATTACATTTTTGTGGATTTTCAGGAGATCGCCGACTTGCTGAAACATGTCTTAAAGAAGCAATGGAAGTTCGTCAATGTGTCTTAAGTGAAATTGGTATGCTTGGTATATCAGGTTTCTATCTTAACATTGAACCCATTATGGGTAAGTTGACTCATTAGATCATAGTGAGAAAAAATAACTTCTAGAAGAAATTGTTTTTAATTTTTGTGTTTTCTGCTTAAACAAATTCAGGTGTTCAAAATATTAAATTTGAAATGATTGAATCTTTTATTCTTAATGAGTACAATCATCATCCTGATGTAAGTAGTCTATTTAAATAATTTAGTTTCTTTGCAATTTTTGGAAACAATTATTGATTTCACTACATTTGTTATTTCCCTTTTACAGTCTGCTTTCCCTGTGTACTTCCATGCTAGATACAGTGAACTCAAAGGAAACCTGAATGAGGTGAGGTTTTTATTCGTATTTGATAAAATTGATCAAAACTAACATGTTTCATGTCTCTATACTCTAGGCTATTACACATTACCAGAAATCTATTTCTCTGTGTACAGAATGGAAACAAGTTCACAATATTTGCCGATGGGAAATGGTTTGGTGTTATGCGTATGTGTTTACATCATAACAAGTTGACCAATAGACCACTAATCCTTTGATTGAATATTTTGTTTTAGTTTACTCGGTGATTGGACAAATGCCATCAAGGAAGCTGACACACTATACGAAACATGTTCCTATTCGCCTGCAACCAACGTTTATCAATCTGCTGCATTCAAATGCATGTTATATGAAGAAAACAAAGATCCTATTTTAAAGAAAGAAATCGATGAAGCCATGAAGTGAGTTTTTTAAATCAAATTGTAATCATTGTAAATGAAATAATTTTCTTGTTTCTTGATTGGTAACAAGAAGGTTAATGTAACTCAGCAATCGGTTAACTTATGTCTAACTGTTTATTTCATTTATTCAATTATTTACAGAAAAGTTCCAGAGCTTAAAATACGATATGCTGGTAAAACAATTCCCCAGGAAAAGTTTGCTGTAACCAAGGCTTCACTTTACCTTAAAGATAATAGGAAACTTGTCTTACCTGCTTATGTAAGATTTTTCATCATTACCATTATCGAATTTTCATCCATTCAAACTTGGCTACACTTGATTATGATTTACAATGCTTGATTCTTATATGAGAAAACAATAGGTTGAATATTTATTCCACCAGATCTGTGAGGAGTTTTAATGATTAATGCATTATAGCTCAAGCTCACTACTTTGAGAATGGATATCACAGTTTACTTGAAATTGTTACGAAACATTCTCATGTAATGGATATGTTTCTTATTATATCAATGGATGAATCAATGCGTTAATAATTGTAATTCACAGTATAGTATCATGAAATGCATCTGTATTTGAATCCTTTGGACTCATTTAAACCCGGAAGCCACAAATGACGATAATATTTTCTTTTTTGTCACAGGAACTTTTTTACTTTTGGAACGTTTTCACCAATGCTGAAGAGAAACCAGAACTTCTTGAACCAATGTTAACAAAGGTCAATGCAAAGCTTGAATCTCTATTAAAAGACAAAGATGGTGAGCACATGAAAACAAGTTCATCAAAAGTCCATGATTTTAACAATTTTTTTCATTTCACACATCAGATGATACTTTTGATTTACGGGCAACTCTCCTCTTGATAAAGGGAACCGTTTTGCGTTACATGAACAATATTCCGAGTGCAATTGAATGTTTTAAAGAAATTCTTGACAAGTAAGTATGAAACTGTTTCTGAAACATGTGAAATGAAACAATGTTTTCATTTTAATTTGATTCAATTTTTATCAGAACAAATTTAGTTAAAATTTATCCTTCAAGTATTTATATTATACCTGTTAGTGTTGAAATTGATAAGCTATGATGGTTTACATTTTGATTAATTTATTTGCTTAATTTATTACAGTGAAGAGAGTTTATCAGAGGAAACTTACCTTCCACCATATGCATCTATGGAAATGGGACTTGCATACATGAAACAAGAGAAATTCAAAGAAGCAAAGGAATGGCTGCATAATGCTCGAGATAATTATCATCGATTTTTCGTTGAAGCATTGGCTCACATCAGAATTCACGCAGCTCTCAGATACATAGCAAGCAAAGAAGAAGTTAATAATAATTAATTCATAATTATTTTCTTATCTAAATTTTCGATATTTTTTATTTCGAAATTGTGATAAAGACTTTCAAGTCCAAACTTCATTCCTATACTCAACTTTTTTTTCTTGTGACAATGAATCTCTCCGTGATATGCATAATTATTAAGCTGTGTAAACTTATATTCTCTTCAGTCGAGTTTGCAATTATCTGATTCTGATTAATTGTATTTTGTAAAAAGATTTATGATTGGACGATTTATCAACAATTTGTAAAACTTACCTTATGAAACTCATTATGGCTGGACCTAAAATGAGTGATTATGTCTTTCATCGGTTCATTGGGTTGTTAATTCTCAAGATATTGTATTGTTTTTATCTAAAATTTACCAAACTATTAAATTTTGGATTCTATTTTCACACTATATTCAGCTGCCAAACTAACTCCAACACACTTCCAAGGAGGATTCTGACTTTGACGTGATTCAAGGAATAAATTTCAATGAAATTTATAAACTGACATTTAGGTTACATGATAAATATCATTTTCAGTTATTGTAGGTAAAAGTAGCAGAAATTTAGAGATTGGTTTAAAGAAGCTTTTAAGGCACTGCTGATTGATTGTTTATTACAAAGTTAATACAAAGTCAGGGTAATGAGGAAATTGCAAAAAAGTTTACAGCGTGAGAGGATGGTTCAGGATAAGAAATGTCGAATAGCGTTACAACGAAAAGCATTATGATAAAGCTTACTAATAAAGATACTAAAATGAAAATATTCAAAATTCTTACAGTTCTGTTTATTAATAATTCTGTCTGATGAAGACAGAAACTTGATTATTCTACCTGTTTAACCGATAGTGAGTTTTACAAGCTTTAGATGGCGTTGATATTAATTTCACAAAATATTAAAATTTAGTGGATTTTGGCCTTTTTACCGCTAGTAAACCGTTTATCATTATATTTAAGCATTATCAATTAAGGAATAGTAGTTATCTCAGACTATACAGTGGCCACAATCCTTACTCTAAAATGGATAATAGCGAGAAGAGTGAGAACGAATGTCTCTTATTTTTACGTCCTCTGAAATTTAACTATTATATTTAATATTATTATTAATACAAATCGTACCAGTTGATGTGCTTCCCTTGCCAGTTGTATTACATTGTATTTTTAAATGACAAGGGAAGTATTTCAATCGCTCCGAATTTACTCCGATATTTGGTGGGTAATTTAACTTGACTTACTAACAACAAACTGTCTTATGAGTAGCATGATGGGAACTTTTGAGAAACAGCATTTATCGTCTATTGGTATACATAGAGCAATTAGGTTTCATTGAACGTGCACATTGAGCCTTTTGTTTCACTCATTTTGTATTGTACCCTCACTACCCAACTGGCATGTGAAAACATCATTTTTGTTATATTTTTTAGTTTACCTTTCATTTGTTATCTAAAAGATTTTGGGAAAATGAAATGCTCACCATGCTTAATTGTTCAAACGATGAAAGAATGACTTTTATTTTGAGCGATTGAGACACTTTCCTTGTGATATTAACTGAGATTCTTGGTTAAATTGTTAACAACCGGATAGGTCCTCAATGTTGGAAAACACCTTAAATAATCTTCGTCACAAAACCTTCATTGTAAATCTTTTAGGACAAAAAAAGCAATACTTAAATTACAGTATAATTATGTTGCTACCTTTTCCGTATTCCTCCTATTCAAAACGGTAAATCACTTTAACTGACCTCAATTTCACCAAATAATCTCAAAACGAAACTATTAAGGAAATAAAATGGACTCAAATAATACCAGAGAAGGTCATTCAAATGAATTGACCTTAAATTTTAATCGACTGTCTAATGCCTCCCAAAGTGTAAACCCAATCATTTCATGCTCAGGCTTTCCACTGCAGCTGAATGAAGGACATTTACATGTGTTGACCAATCGAAGTAGCAAAATTGTGAAAAATGAATCTAATTCAACCTTTTTTTCCTTAAAATTCCAAGTAATAATTTTTAGTAAATGATGAAAAATTGTTTACCAATCAGAAGAAAAGTCAATCAAAATTAGATTTAAATAATAAATTATTTGTTTAGTTTTGAAACATTGTTAAAATGCTGAACGAAAACGTTTAATTTCATTGAAAATTTTTCGACAATCAAAGGAAATTATGATTAAAGTATGAACCTCTTATCATAATATTACTGATCATTCAAATTATCAATGCTGTCATTGACTTAGTAACGAAATTAGTTAGCCTGTAAAACTTCATCAAGCTACGGATATGAGGTTCTGAACACAAAATAAAGTTGCTTGAAGACAAGATTTGTATTCAAGTTCAGCTTTTAGATGATTTTTGTTGACCTTTTTTTGTAGTTGTCCAATTTTACATTTGACCAGTTTACGGTTTATCATGATAGGTGATCATGTTTAATTGTAACTGTTAAAAGGAAAGAAACAGATAATTAAGTGAATCAATATGATTCCGCAGTTATTGTTGTTGGAAATTTTGGAAAGATGAGAAACAGCAAGTGATGTATAAATTTACATTTGAAAACATCCTTGTTAGCCTGACGATTTTAATTGTAATTAAACTTGTTGACAGTTGTAGGTTAGAGTAACTTAATAGTTGACATTGTTGTTCATGATTTGCCCTTGAACTGATCATCAACCATAAAAATCAATTGTCAATTGTTGGCTTTACACTTAACATTTACAACTAATAATGTAAAGTACATGTAAAACCAATGAGACTTGGACTAGAACCAGAAAAAAGTACTCAACATTCATATTTGTTTTTTGGTTTGTTTAACTGGAGTCTGTGATTTGATTAAAAATAATTGTTTCTGCTAACAACACTGGATTTAACTTGATAACTGGATAATGATGGTCATTTTTATCCCATTTTATCGTAATTTTGATTATCTTGATACATGAAATCTTATATTAGCTTAACAAGATATTTATATCAATCCTTTCACTCTTAATTTAAATGTGTTTTTAGAATCGTTCAATCATTGAGTAAACAATTCAAGCATCAGAGTAAATACATAAACAATGATTCTAGTTTTGAGGCTCAATTTGTAAATATAACCAGAAAAAAATGGCCTGGGGTGATAATGAAATCGGGTAATCATATTTATCCTAAAGGGTGTTAAGGTTTATTTCTTGCAAAAACAGGGGAAAGAAAAAAGATCTTATCTGAAGATAGAGATGAAATCACAAAGATAAAAGGTTAATCAAAATACCCAAGCAAATGAAAGTGACCGATTCATATTTATCGCCATGTTATCACCATTTTCATCTTTATTTTCAGATAAGATCGCTTTTACCTTTTTCTATTTTGCAAGAAATAAACCTTAACACCCTTTAAATAAAATAATCATTTATTACTGGAGTTGGTTGAAATTATTAGAGGAAACTAATGTGAATCATAAATCGCGCTTCAATGAAACCCAAAGGTTAGGCCAATCATGTTACCCAATATGGTAACCATTGGTACCTAAAGGTTTATCGGGTTAAAAATGTTTTATCAAAAGTTTTAGGCCTAACTATTGTAATCTGTGAGACGACAATTGAATTTTATTATTTAGATTTGGTAACAATTAGACAATATTGGACCCGATTGATGGAAACCAGGATTTTGATTTTAAAGGATCAATGTCATTGAACTTGAAATGATTTTACTGTTTACCGTTGATGCTATCTATAGTTGTTTTGAATAGCTGTTCATTGTTTCCGTTGGATTTAAGATTAACTTGATTCTATCAATCATTTGATTCCGTAGGATGGCCAAAAATGATAAAGGATCTTTCAAAAAGAAAAGGAAAACAAAGGTAATTGGTGATAGATGATGATAAAAAGAAGGAGAATACGATAATGAAAGGAGGAAGATGGTGAAAAAAGGAAAACAGAAACCAGAAGAAGGAACCAGTTTAAGGGAGGGATTTGATTAGAAAGCGAAGAAGATGAAAAAATTAAAAGAGAGAATTGAACTTGAAAAAAAGGAGAAGAAATCTGGTTGTTTTGATTTGAAAGTGTTCTGATTACTACATCATAATTAATCTGCACATCAGCATCATTTTCGCTGTGTCCTCTCGCCTCACCAGGACATTTTTGGGTCCAAATTGAGTGTTCATTGCTTTCTATCGTTTTCATCTCTATCAATACACATCTTTCATTATCTACAAACATCAAAATGCCTCCATTTGCAGCGGACTCATCACTTCCGTCTTCCTTGGTAAGTCACAATCTCTACCCATTATATCTTAACCCATCAGTGCTCACCACACATTTAACAGACCAAATGATTCCAGAATTTCAGAATCAGCTATCAAATCTCTCAAAACTTACCAGGTTAGGTCGTTTATTTTGCCAAATTAACATAAATTGATGATTATTCATTATGAATCTGTTTTGATCGCTGAAACATTTTTAGTTGAGCTTGGACCTAATAAGAGTTGAATTTACAATTGGCAAAGTAAACGCGCCCAACCTGGTAGTTCATCAACTAGTACTCCTGATTGATAAATTAACCTGTTCAAATTTCATGAAAACCAATATTTCAAGTGAAAATAAAACACTAGCTCCAGTTTTATCAACATGTTCAGTGGTTCTAGCCTCATGCATTCTTATTCACATGTTTATTTTGACAAGGTTGACAATGATTACCCCAAATTGATACAATTTAACCAGGGATTTTTCCAATAGTATCTTAATTGTTATCCTTAATCTGAACGATTTTCAAGTTTGATTTGTCATTGCATTGCAAAATTGCCCTTGTTTTAACTTCTCACATTATTTCCTCTCTTCCTTCTCGAACAGATTTGCTTCATCAGAAACCTTTTATATTGAATTCAATAATAATTAGTGATTGAATGAAGGTAAATCTGATCAAGGTAATCAAGGGAAAGTTATAGTTTTATCCATAAAATCATTACATTGACATTTAACAAAAAGCCATTAATTTCTTGGTGAATAATTTTGAAATTATTGATATCATTTTGTTCACATTATTCAAGACTCGTATTACTGATCATCTGCTCATACAATTATCGACAAATTCCGAATAATCAACAAAACAAACAAAAATCTGTTTTGATGATCCTGAGAAACTGGTGATTCTGAGTTTTGTAATAACCCTTTAGGGTAAACCAGATAACTTACATTTGCAAATAACAAAAACAAATGAAGAAACATTGACATAACCCTGAAGATATAAAAAGCATCAGATGATTCAAAACTTGTTGCTATCTTAATGTTTAATCATTATATAATAACCTGATGAGTTAATTTGTTTTCATGAAAATTCATTTCTTCATGATACTTGTAGCTTCCATTGTTAGTCTGTCTCATGAATGTAAGTCAATCAAATGATCAAAACAACATTCATTTTTTCAAATAAAATTGTTGAACGAAAATATTTTGTCCATTTTTTACAAGAAACAATAAAGTTAATTGTCACAATTAACCAACAATTGTCGAGCAAAAAATAATCATTTGTAATGAAACCAGGAATTAAATCTTATTCAAAGATACAAAAGATTCCAGAAAATGGGTTTTGGGTTGAAAGACCAGAAAAAAATGAAACAAAACAAAACATCTTTCAATATTGATCTCAATTGAAACAATGAAAGATCCTATTAACTGTATTAACATCATCACTATCCTAATGGTGATTAATTGATTGAGTTAATGGTTAGTCAATGAATAGGAAATGATAGGTTAAAGAGGCCAATGATGGAGGTCAATATGATGATCACTGATCAACACCTAATTTCCAATTGATTGTCTTAATCGAAAGCTATCAAATCTGGTCAACCAGTTAAAATTGACCAACAATTGAACACTTTTTTGTTCACCTGTTTAACCTTAGTTACATTGAATTGAATTAAAACTAACTTTGTGTTCACAAACAATTTAATTTTACCTTGACAAAGGATCAATAAATCATTAGACGCAAACCATAACAGTTAACTTAATAGATTTGCTTACCAATCAATTGTCCAGAGAAATGCGTTCAAAACTGATTTAAACTGCATTTTTGTTTAACAGTCAATCTGCTAACTATTAACCTTGATTGTAACAGCAAAATAACAAATCCAATCAAATATCAATGTGAAGATGTTGATAGTTTTTTTTGTTGCTTTCAATTCAATCATAAACAATTACTCTTTATTCACTCACTTATTATAATTCAATTGACTTTAATCATTTACCTTGAGATGATAATGTATTTAGAAAATGTTTTCAACATTTATCTTTAGTGTTGTCGGTTCAATTGGTTGATAAACTTGATTAGCTTCATCTGTAGTTCAATAGCATTTATCATCAGATCAAGCCCCTTAATTGTCCCAAAAACAAATAATCGGGTTGATCCGGACAATCAAGAAGCTCGGAGTTAATCCATCTGTTCACCCAAACATGACTCGATGTTAGGAAAATATCAAACGAGACTCAATTTTGGATTCATTTCTTAGCAATCAAATTGATAAAATGGCGAAAATAATTTAAAAAATTAACTTGGAAATTAAAAGCTAAAATCATTTTAGGCCTAACGTTTAATGTTTATGTTGCTTGATTAAAATGGACAAGTAAATTGCTCGTTGGTCATTTAAATACAGTTGAATTGCTTATCTATTTATTATCCTTAAGTGTCGAAATCAATTGTTGAATCAATGGTCACTTGATGAAACCAGATTTGACAGATTCATTGAGCTGTAAATGTAACTCGGTTTGACAATCAATTAGTTGTTGATTAAAAATGACAAATGATTCAGGTTTTTCCAAATTTATATAAATTGTGATAAAATTAACTACAAATTTATGCTTAATCAACAAATAAAGGTCAATGTGCATCATCAACTAACTAAAACCAGTGAGTTAAAATGGTTATTAAATTAAGCGACTTGATTAGTTGAACATCCAACAATTTTACTAAACCTTACTTATTGACAATTTGGAGGTTAGTTTGGTGTTTAAATTGTTGGTTTGATTAATCTTGAAAATATTGTTTCATTGATTTGCCGAGAAAATTGTTCAACCAAAGATTGAGTTATTTTTATCGCAATTTGATTCATGATTTATGGAAAAAAATGTCAATTAGCAAAATAAGTCTATTTATTGTTTTAGCTACAATCAAAATCAACATTACCATTAACTTACATTAGCCATTGTAATTATTTGAAAAACAAGGACAAATCAAGAGGGCAAGACAATTATTTACACATTAAATTCAACCTTTAATTAAAGACACAACTAATCAACTAATCAACAAACCAAAACATTGGGTTTACTCGTTCATCAACTCTTAAAATTGGGTTTCAGTCTGGTAACATCAAAGAGTTACTCTTTGGGTAACACACAAAACTGGTTTAGTTATTGTTGCTTTATTTTGTATCAATAGTGAAAACTAATTGTAATCAGCTGTTGATTGGGATTCTTATGATTAACAAATTACAATATTAGTCCTTGAAATGTCGTTTTAAAAATAGCAAGTATTGGGAAGTTGAATTAAATTGTAAAATTATCTAAACGGACATTAAATTGGTGTTTTTAATTTCCTAAATCTTCAATCTGGTTAATCTTGAACTGATTCCTGTTTCTAATTTTGTGGTTTCATCAGTTTTTGGATGCCTTCAACTGAATTAATATCATTTCCCTGAACTTTTGCAGTAAGTTGATAATGGTAAAAGAGATAGCAACAATTAGATTAACAACAATTATCCAAGGTTTTTTGTACACTGAATTGAATCACTTTGGAGTTTGATCAAATCTTACATTGAATGAAATATCGTTTAACTAGCACAGTAGATTATAATTAATATTACAATAATCGATGGTTGGTGCTACTGGTTAGTGTCTGATCCTTTTCCTTGACTTTCACACAAAGAGTCAAGTAGTAAATTCATTCTGGTCAATTGGTCTGTGATTATTATCTAATGATAATCAAATTCGTGATTGATGATTCAATTAATGTTGCCTCTTTTGTCTCTAAATATAATCTCTTTCAATTGACCATTAACTTGAGGTCAAGGATTGATTAATTGTCATGTTATTACATTTTGTAATACAATTCAATTGTTATAAACAAATAAAAAATGTACCAATAAAGCTTCAGTGAACAGCAAGTTTAGAGTACAATTAAGTTGATCAGTCTTGATTAATTTTTGCGGTTGGCCAGATAAGTTGAAATTTCACAAATCAACAATAAACTTTTGTTCAATTTGAAAGGCCACAAATGGCATTGTGATCATCTGATTGCCAATCAAGCTTTGTAGTCTCCACCAAATGACCCTTTGAAAATGTCCTTCTAGGCGTTTCTCTCAACTTCTTGACTCCACCAGTTGTTTCCTAGACTAATTAGAAAAAAATTTAGATTAGAAAATGAACATTTCATGTGGATTAATTTTACTGTTTTACAGTAACAATAAAAACATGGTTAATCCTATGGGACGAAAAGTGGATAAACTCATTTCAATTGTTTTCTTAGATTATCTGTTTATCCATTTATATATTCCAAATTGGTCATGTTTTCAAACAAAGACGGCTTTATTCTGAATGTTTATTGTCCCAAGAGTCTGAGTCTTAAAGCAGGAACCTTTTGAAGACTGAAATTCGGAGTCCAAATACTTTTCTCAAACCAAATAAGCCTTTTTTGAAAAAGGCTAATAAAAGGAAGTTGAATTAAAGCCTGAAGCTTAAAATCTGGTTAGGAAGGTTGTTAACTAACTGATTGTCTGCATTTTTAGGTTCAATAATGAGACCAAAAGGTTGATTATGGTTTACAGTATAAATCAGTTGAGAATAGTTTGAGGTTAAATTGGTTTGTTTAATTAGTAACTAGAAATCGAATCTATAATTTTCCTTAAATCTCTGGTTAAAGCCTGTAAAAACGTGTTTACTTAATTATCGGCAGAATATAGTCTTCTTTTGACCCTGAATTCAGATCGAGCTATAGAGGCAAATGGTAAGAACTTTTTCTAATGATGTTAAGTCAATTGCTATACATGGACATTAAATTCAGACTGACTCGTAATATAAAAGAGAAGAAGAAGTTTTATCTGGAATAGTAATTTGATTATTGATAATTGAAAAACAACTTTCATTATTAATAATACGGAAAACGAGACTTCCCTAATGACATTATCCGGTAATTGTTTACAAAATGAAACAATTAATAGGTGAAGAGGGATAAAGGGATAAAGTTCAGCTATTAGTTGAAACAATAGGATCAAACAATTGAAGCTTCCAGGCTTAACCGAGTAATATAATCTCGTTAGATAATCAGCTAAATATATGTTAGCAGGGTAATTGTACATGTTGATTAGACCAAAAATAGAATCTGATGAAATAAAGTTGAGGAAAGTGAAAGATTGAACCGAGATTCTGAGAATAATTTTCCTGAATTTCTACGATAATAAAATCAAGGAAGAAATTGATCCCAATAACTGGTTATGTAATAGAGTAATAATGTAATAATGCATTAGACGAAAGATTTATGCTGAAAAGTTATATCATGTAATTTTTAGCCGCAATATTTAAAACTTAACGAGTCAGCAAAGGGTTATGTTGTTTGGTTACTTTTGGTTGATGATTCAAAATAACCAGCGGCAGTTTAACATTACCTGGGGAGAACGAAAAATTTATGAGAATAATCACAAAATGATTCAATAATCCTTGAAAATTTATTTACCTTTCAGTCCAATCCATAGGAAAACAACAGAAAAAAGAAAATTGTTCACTTGATGATCGCCCAAGGTTGCTTTTTTAGGTTTCGAGTGATCAATTAATTCCAAGTGTTAAGTGCACAAGAGCTCATAGCCAGTTACATAATTCCAAATCGTCATAGCGATGGCCAGATGGAGGAAAAATTTATAGTAATATTCACCACGAGAGAAGAGGTTGCCATTTGAAAAATCGTGTTTCTAGTCTCTGTTTGTAATTTTTCTTGATCCTCCAGCTTAACCTGAAATCACACATGATTCCTCTTGAAGATTAATCAATGTATTAGATATGAATTTTCGTTGAATAGGGATAACTTGCTGGAAAACCCTGATGCTAGAAGAAATAAATAAATTTATCAATTCAGTTGTTTTTTCATTCGATTATTTTTTTTACCTTTTGTATCTAAAGATTAGATAGACTCTTCCTTTGTCAATCAAGATCTCCAGTTGCCTAATAATCCGGAATCAAATAGTTTAACAATTGTCACTCACAGATTTTTCTTCCTTGTCTTTATCTAGCGGTGCAGTCAATGATAATTAGTAAAAGATGATCACATAGAAACACAAAAATAAATAAGACAATAGAGTACCAAAACCAGTCAGTAAATAGGAGAGGTTTACAGAGAGAAGAAGATAGAGAAAAAACAGAGAAAACAAGAAAACTGTAGATGAACAAAGAAAGAGAAGAAGAAAAAGAACGAAATCAGTTTTAACAAACGATAAGCTAATGGATCACATGAACTCAAAAATGTCGAATCCTTAGAGGTTCTTTTACTCTTATCTTTACTCTTTTCCCTCTCAAGGGACACTCACTGAAAGGGAAAAAGACACTTGACTCATATTTTCACACCCCTTGTTTATCAGTAAACCCTGTTGCTCCCTCACCTTACTGTATTTAAGCTTGTTGTCTAATCCAACAGTTTCATCATCATCTGCATAAATGCAAACCTTGCTAAATTTTCAACTCTGACTATTCAACTTATGTTGCTATAATTTTTATATCTGTTACCATGCTTTAAACTGTTACCCTTTTTATAAATATTTCATTTCCTCTGTTAAACGTTTTTTTAAAACCTCAGAATTCTTGTTATGTTTTATTGTTAATTATCTTTAATATATTTTTTTTCATCTTTACGTGTGTTTTTTCTGCCAATTTGACAACATGGTTTTCGATTCTTTATTTGATATTCTTCAGTCACTTTTTATCCCGCCCAATCCAAGTGAACCTTCAGAGAACGATTGTAAGCTGGACTTGCCACCTTCTTTGACATCACCATCATCACCAACATCATCATCTTCATCGTTTTTCTCTTCATCGACACCTTCACCTTTGCCTTCTACTTTATTCGATTCATCTTTACCATCACTTGTAAATAATTCAATCATTGAAAATGCTGAAAAGGCCTTTTCCCAATTGTTTCAATCTTTAAAAAAGCACAGTTCCACCGAAACTAAATTATATTGTAACATTGAACAACTTTATGGAGGAGTTATTCAAATTGCTAGTTTTGCTCATGAATATAATTTTCAACAAGTTAATGCCAATGGATATTGGACTTTTGTTCGTAGTTGTACAAAATTGGCAAATATGCTGAAAGATCGTCTTAGCGATCTATCTATCCATGATGATCTAGAATTGCTGACTGCCAGTTATTTGAGACTTCTCAATCATATTCTTAATTTTCGAGAGATTACTAAAAGTGGAATAGTTGACGAAAATTTTAATAATCTCTCAGTTGATGAACAAAAACTTGCAGATCAGCAGCAACTACAGCAACAACAACAGCAAAAAGTGATACCAGTCAGTAGAGATGAAGTAATTTCCATTACTGATGAAGATGGTTATCATCAGAGCAATGTTCAAGGCAATGAAATTTCCACCGACAACTTGACAGAACCTCAAAATTTTAATCATCAATCATCTAAACCCATTTTACCTCTATTTGTCCCACCTAGTGCTTACTCTGTCGATATTTTAAGAGAAGCATCTTCAAGTCAAAGTCAATTACTGCGACTTTTTTCATCTTTTGGAGCCTTCTGGTTTTGTAAATCGATGAGAATTTTCTTTGAAGTATATATATTTGCTGTTGCTTTTTTCGGGGAACTGTTTCCATTTTCATTGAAAACACTTTGGTCTCGAGATTATCGAGCTGATTTATTTACAAAATGGACACAATGTCCATCAACATCCTATCCTTTCGATATATGGGAAATTTTGGACTACAAAGTAGTTTGCAAAGGTTTAATACCCCTTTTATTTCTTGGCAAAGGGATTCAAACACGAAATATTGAAGCTAGCCCACAAAACACATTTGTGTACACCAGAGATGGCAAAGATGTTGTGGTGAATCAACCAGGTGGAAAAGTGACTCCTTCTGTTAATGAAAAACCTATCAAATGTCGTCTTATTCACAAATCAAACCGAGATACAAGTAAAGGTTATCTTTTATTCCACGTTCATGGTGGAGGTTTTATAGCTCATTCTCCAGATTCACATGAAAATTATCTCAGACAATGGGCACACGATGTGCCTGACATGACAATATTCTCGGTTGGTTACACCTTGAAGCAGAAGTTCCCGACCGCTTTACAAGAAGTTCTCGACGCATACCTTTGGGTTACCTCAGGATCTCCTGATGTAGCTCAAGCTATTGGTTTTCAACCTAAAAAAATTATTTTCTGTGGTGATTCAGCAGGCGCTAATCTTGCTCTATCACTTCTCTTAACTCTCAATGACTTGTCCAATCGTGATCCTAGTGACCAAAGACTAAGGCTTCCGGATGGAATTTTCTCAATCTATGGCGCTTTCCTCCTCTCGCCGCTGGTCGGTCCTTCACGAGTTATGGGCGCAATAGATCCACTTCTCTCGCCTGGCGTTTTGCTTACATGTGGAGGTGTTTATGGAAATATCGTTGACGATCAAGTAGCGACTGAAGGTGGGTTCAATCATCATATAATTGTTTCAATTTATTTTAAATTTTGACTTTTTACTTATTCTGACTTTATATTTTAACCTTTTATAGAAAGTATAAGTTTACCTAGATGGGATCCATGTGATGGTGTTGCTGAGAATGTGAAACGTCTTCTCTTGGCCACTTATTCCTTGGTAATATCTATGTCATCAAATCAAACTCAACCATGGTTTATCTGTGATAAATCAAACTTCTCCAAGAAATTAAAGACTCTAGCTGATCGAACTCATACACCGTATGCATCACCTTTAACATATCAAAAATTTGATTCTCTAAGTAAAATCCCTATGCAGATTTTAACTTCAGAGTTCTGTCCACTATTAGATGAGAGCATTACAATGGCTAAATTATGGAAAGGTAAGGATAGAATTAAAAATCTTGTGATTTAAACTAATGACATTTTTCTCAATCATATTTCAGGGCCAGTTAATCTTGATGTCATGGAAGATTTACCGCATGGTTTCCTCAACTTTACCATAGTCAGTCCTGAAGCTCGAAAAGGTGCACTACTATGTAGTCAACGGCTTAAAGAGATGTTCGAATAGAAGTCGCTCGCCTTGATCAAGAATGTTAAACTAAAAAATTTAATTAACGGAAGCACAAGACACTAAATGATAAAACGCTATTTTGTATTGCATTGACAACCAAAAATAAAGGAGAGTCAAGTTCAATATCGGTTAGGGCCTCATAATTTCATTGAATTGTTGAGTGAATTGATGGATCAATCTGAGTCTATATTGTATGTTTGACTAGTACGATCATAGTAGTCGGTTGGTCGGAGAAGACGAAAATAAGACAAAAGAATGAAGAATCTATAGATTAATTGAAGGCGAATTTTGACTGTTAATCATTTAAATTGATATTAAGTGTTGATAGTGTTTAATGATACCAAAGTTTACCCTTGGAAGGCCTTTTTCATTGAAAGATTCACAAATAATAAATGGTTAAATGATCATTGAATAGATGAAGATGACGATTGAGAAATAAGTGACTGACAGACTGAGTATGATAAAAAGATGAATGAGGGTGAGGAGTTAGATCCGTTATTGTGCGTTTAAAAATAGACATATTAGTGAAATATCGAAAGAGTAAATAAATTAAGAATGATGATACAAATTGTGAAAGCTGGAAAAAGATGAAAATTTTCACCTTGAAGGAATTGACATTTTTCTTAATAATCTTGATCATTTAATCTTCACTTCTCAGTCAGTCGATCATCTTGTTGATCATCTAAATCGATGTGGTTAACAATTGATTTCTCATTGCTCTAACCAGCCTAACCAACTCGGGCCTCGCAACTTATACCAATCATTCAACAGTCTTTCATTTATATTTTTGCATTCCGTCAAACATTACCATTCATGATTATTCCTAGACAAAATGATTTTATGGACATCAGTGATAATCAAATTGACGTTAAATCAACTAATTTTTACCTTTTAACCTCATCATGTTCATATTGTCGACCATTTTGATTAAAATTTGTGCTCAGTGAATTTCCCAGAATAAGCTCAATTTTTTCAACTGCAATTATAAACCTGAAATTAAATTGAACACAAATTATATTGAATAACTATTAAACTGTTGATTTACTGAGTGTATCTTTGAATTACACATTTATTTACAGATTAAATATCAAAATTAAAGGTAAACCAAAATCGAGCGAAACAATTAGAAAATAAAAAAGACAAGTGAAAAGACAATGAATAAGTTTACCTGCAAGGAGATACTTGAACTTATAAATCTACTTCGTATAGATGTCTTCATGTTTGTGTATATATTTGGATTTATGTTACCCAATGTAACCCTCAATCAATTAGTTCAAGACAAGGTTTGTCTGAATGAATTAAAATATGATCGTAACTTCTGTCTTAATTTACAAGCAGCTGAACCACAATTTGAAATTCAAAAAAATCGTGTTCTTGAATATGCAACAACATTGAAAAATTATCAAACTTTGATCGCAACAACTCCAGGAGTGGTCCTTTCCCTATTCATTGGCTACTGGATTGATTCCTATCCAAGTCATCTTAAATACCTTTTATCAGCCCCAGCAGTCGGTGCAATTATCCAAGCCTTGCTGGTTATTTATGATTGTGTTTATTTTGAAAGACGTAAGTTAAACAAAATCAATTCCGATTCATTACTAACATTCATTTTTACCCATAACCTTTAAACTGTCAACCAAATCCACCTTCAACCCTTCATAGTAAATTTATATCTAATTTGAAATGATATTCAATATCTTCAATACACAATTAATATCTAAACTTTGAATTGCTTTCATTTTCATTAATCAGATATTCATTTTCCAAATTTTTCAACATTAATATTCAACTAAAGATTCCTAATGATAAACAAGCAAAATACCGAAGTCGATTGAAAGCTTAGCTTCTGTTGAATGTATTGATGTTAATCATTGCCATAATTCAATTATTTGAAGAAGGTTAAAACAAAAGATTTAATATTAGATTCATGAGAAATCAATGATGAGATTCAATTTAAGATTGAAGTGGAATTCATTGGTCATGAACTTTTTCTTCAGACGGTCAGTAATTCATAATTAAAATGAAAATTGTAATGTATTCAAAAATCATCTCACATCAAATTACTTAAGATTTATGGTTTGACGTATCTATGTTAGTTGATTTATGTTGGCTCTACATTTTGATTTTTGATTTGATTTTAGCTCATCAATCATTAAATTGTTGGTTCTGATAGTCTAGTTCAATAGTATCAAGCTAATTGAGATAATAAATGACCTAGTAATAGGAGGATGAAGGATTGATGATTATTAAATAAGTTTATTTCATGAAATGAGCCTTAACTGTTTACAAGCATTTTTCATGCCTCGAATCTTTCACATGTTAGTATTTTTGAACTTTAAGAAACACTTAATCTTGTTTAATTTTCCCCTTTGATTGTTAAAATTAATGGGCAATAATGAATAGAGTTTGGAGAAAAAAATCGAGCCATTTATATCAATCATCTGACTGTGAATCAAAATGTTTACCAATGTTGAAGGGAAATAGACAATTTGAGATTGTTTCCTCCATACAGAGGCATGAGACGATATCAACCTTGATTGAGTATTGCCACAATCAGTTAATTGGCAATTTCCTGAATTCCAATTGTTATTCGTAGCAAAATTAATCATTAATCATAGTATTAACGACCTAAATCTTACCATAGATGAAAGAAATGTCTCTTAATAAAGGTGAAAATTGAATGCAGATTTAAATTGAAATTAAATTCACAAATGAATGTTAGTTGCTTCATTAACTGTCTCAATCAATGGGACATCAATCTATATGAAAGACACCATTGTATCCTTGATCAAGTAATTACAAATGTCCAGTGGCTAGTTACTCACTAGGTTGAAGTAGCTAGAAGATCTGAAACAAACCAGTGTTTTACAAAGGGTATACCAATTAAACTAAACCTTTGCACCTAAATTGTTCACTAATATTGATATTTATTTTTTTTGATTTTTTTAGATCCAGCTACGACTTTATATTCATTCATCTGCATTGGTTTCTCAGGAGGAATCGGCCTAGTATTTGCAGGAACTTATATTTATACGACGAGAATGACTCCAGTCAAATATCGATCCGTACGTTTTTCTGTACTTGAGTTTTTTGCTTTCTCTGGTAAGATTTATATTGATTGTTTACCCTTTATTTTATATGAATTTGATCATTATCCAACCCTATTGAACCTTTTCAACAGGTTTTCCAGTTGCAACAGCATTAGGTGGTAAAATATTGGCCTTAAAACCTTGGTTTCCGAATCAGTATCGTAATTACATTGCTGTCTTTATTATAACCGTTGGAGCTAACATGTTTAACATCATTTGGATTTTATTATTTCTTAAAGAGGAAGTACCACTCGATGAATCAAATAAATCATTAACCAAAAGCAATACAAGTACATCTTTAAATAGTGCTGCTAACAATAATAATAACAACAATAATAACAATAATCTAAATAGTAGCAATAACAATATCAACAACAATAACATCATAAACGAGAAGATAAACAAAACCAATATAAACAACTCCATCAATAACACCTTGAAGGCCCCTCAAAATGAAATGATTGATTTGAAACATGAGCTGTCCGGATTACAATTACAATTGGACGATAAGATGATTAAATCCTATGAAAACGGAATCAAACCTGTGGACGTCAATGAGCTTTGCATTATTCGTTTAGAGACTGACAAAAAATCTGGATCCAAAGTGATGACGCTTATCAAAGATATTTTCAATCTGGAAAATGTTCGTAATATGATTAAAACGTGTTGCCGTCGTCGTCCAAACAAGGGTAGACTGCGTTTGTGGCACCTAATGATGGGCATGACAGTGGCATTGATTGGTCATCTGGGAGAAGCCGTAATTGGATATCAATTTACCCAAAAGGTTTACCACTGGGATGCTGAATACTTTTCCTATGTTAATTCAGCCTTAACATTGATTCCATTGATTGTTCAAACCATTTCACCGGCCATTTTAATTCACAAGTTTCACCTCCATGATACAACAGTGGCTGGAATTGGCTGTATCTCCATAATGATATCAACTATTGTTAAAGGAGGAATCCTCGAGTCTTATGCTTATTTCATTGCTTTCGTTTCGGGGGCTTTCAGTGGACTTCTTCCGATTGCCTTTCGATCCCTTGTTTCTCGGGTAATTGATTTCAATGAGATTGGACAGGTTTACGCTCTTCTGGCCTGTATCGAATCTTGTGCTCCAATGATCTCGTCCATCTTTTATTCAACCGTATTCAATGCCACCATTGAAAACTATCCTGGAACCGTTTTCCATGCAGTCACATTGATCTTTTTTTATCCTTTAGCGGTTATCCTTTGGTTGGATTTAACTCGAAATAACTGGGATGGTGTTGTCCTCAATGATGATCAAGATTCCAACAGTAATAATGGGATGATTGGTAAAAATTTGGATCCTCAGAAGATGATTGCACCTCCTGAATTGATCATTGAAAATTTAATTGTGTGAATCAAGTGTGAGAAAGTGAACCCTGAAAGAGAATGAAAATTTAGTTCTTTAGTCTGTTTAAAATAATATTATGGTTTCCACTGATGATAGTATTTTCAACAATATTATCTTTGCCATACTATTATTATTATTAACTTCATTATTGTTAACATTAATTAATTACATCTATACGTCAAACGTTTCCAATTTAATGCCAGCAAATACTTTCACCTTGTTTTTTGTAACCATCAACAAAGTTCATCATTGTCATTTTTCATCATTACATTCATATTTACAACCCTAGCCAAACAACCTAGAAATTGAAAATAAATCCTCTAAATTCATTTTAAGCATTCAAATAAAAATGAAACTCTTATTGTTTAATTCAACACATTATGAAAGCTGATTGAATCATAACTGTATAAACTGTTTCGATGCCAAATAAATGAAACTTAATAAAATACTAACCTCAGGGTGTGTGAATTTTTCGAATAAATCCAATAGAAGCTTAGCAAAACCAATTTTTCTGGTCAGAAATGAAATTCAGAAAATCCAGGAAACCAACTAGAGGTGTCTTTAGATACTTTTTCAAAAAATCAGGACTAAAAGGGCCATTCCAAAAACACGGAAAATTATTGATGATGGTTCAGATGGGATAATTGAATCGAAGACGCATACATTACATACATACTCGTACATGTCCTTTTATTAAGTATATTGGCCAACATATTCATTTCCATTGATTCCTTTGAAGAGGTCATCCAGATCATTTCCAAAAAGCTCTTGTCCTTTTGTTACTTTGTAATGGACGTGATTAGTGTATTGAACACTATTGATAGCATCAACTTCAAATCCCAGAACCTGATAAAGATATTAACAATTAATACAGTAAAGTATTGATACATTGATCTGGAATGTGTAATAGAAGCGCCATTGACAAAGATGCCAAGTGTGAAGGTACATAATGAATGAAAACATAATGACATAATATGTGGAGAACACGAATACATAATAAAACCCAGACTTACCTGTAAAGGGAAGGTTGCACTTTTATTTCCGACATAACCATGCACAACATAACTTTGAATTGAAAGAACCCGTGGTGAATCCATTAGTAAGTGTTTAATATTTGGACAGATGAATATTGCTAAGTTTACGTTCAATAGAAATTAAAATTCTCAATAGAACCACAAGCAGAGAAGTAATAACCAGAAAAAAACAATTACCTGAACACTTCTGTGAATCTATTTTGAAGAAGCATGAGACTTATGCTTCTCAATTACCATGTTGTAATCGGATTAGCAAAAATGCATAGAGCTTGAATCACAAAAAAAAGATTTTTGAACCACTTATAACCCTAAATTTCAGATGAAATTTGTTTAAAATAACCAAAAAGCCATTGTCGCTGACAATTTGTCGATTCATGTTGGCTCAAAAGATTATTGAAAACAATTTTGACCAGTACAAGGCTCAGAAAATCTTTTTTTTCAGGTTTAAGTTTTTGCTAAAGTTAGAGTGAAGGAGCGTTTAACACTTCATTACTCTTTGCCTAAAAATTAAAAAGAATCACATAGATATCAATATTGGTACTCGTATCCATAGTATCAGTCAAAGAAGAAAAATCTTAAATCTTTATTTTTTGTTTTACCTCCTATGGTTATCTTGCTAATTGGTGATAAAAATCTTTGCTCAATTGACATATCGTGTTATATCTTCTTAACTTCACATTACTTTTCACCATCAACAACAACATCACCACAACAGCTAATTCAAAATGTCTAGTATTTTATATTATAGTGATTCTGATGTATCTGTTTCAACCATTTTAAAAAAACTACAACCTTTCACTTCTATAATCAAGAGTGTTGAATCTGAAATTTGTTTTCATGTTAATAGTTCAAGTAAGTTTTCTTTACGTTTATGCTTTTTATTATTTTCTTTCAGCCACTTCTATATTTAAATATTTTTCAACTTACAGGTCCTTTGAGTGGAAAAGACACCGAAATATTGGAATGGGTTTTAGGCCAAACATCTTTTACTTCAAATTTAAAGAAAAGGTCAAATTTGCAAGCGAAAGCAAACAAAGATGACTCGCTCCTTATCGAGATTGGACCTCTACTAAAATTTGCATCGCCATACTCTTCCAATGCCGTTGCCATATTCACCTCTCTAGGATTAAATATAAATAGAGTTGAAAAAACGACGATCTATTTGATTAAATATGAAAAGGTAAGTCTTTTTTGTATTATCTTAATGGCCATGATTGAGAATTTGACTAATTCTTTCTCCTTTTTTTCTGTAACAATTTCAGGGCAAGATGAATGAGAAATTGGAATCAAACATTGTCAATTGTTTACATGATCGAATGACCCAGCAGCGTTACTCTTTAACAGATGATATTTTCAAATCTTCATCTACTCAGTCAAGTCGCCCATGGACAGTTGTTGATATCATGGGCAAAGGAAAAGAAGCCTTGAAGTCAATCAACGATGAAATGGGTTTATCGTTTGACGATTGGGACATTGAATACTATACAAAGCTTTTTAAGACGGAGATTAAACGTAACCCAACTTCAGTTGAATGTTTTGATCTTGCCCAATCTAATTCAGAACACTCAAGACACTGGTTCTTCAGGGTAAGTTCATAATCATCATTATTATCCATCTTTTATCAACACCATTATCACTTCACTTGCTTCATATGAGATAATTGATAATTGCAATCACTAAGACTCGTCTACTTTTATTCAGTTTTATTGATAAAAAATCAGGAAAAAATTCGATTTCTATCTTTATTTTATCCTAAATCTTTGATAATATCTTGAAAACAAATGTTTTTCATATTGATTTTGATATTATCAACTTGACTTTGAAGATACTTATTAATTATAATCTAAATTAGAGGTTATTCAAGGTTATTTGATTAACCTAAAAACAAAATTCAATCCGAAAATTGAGAGTTATTCACAAGTTAACATCTGCGAGACAATCAGAAAATATTGGATGAGCTGTCCTGCTTATTAGTTTGTATTTTTGCATATTATGCTGATGAATTACCATGTTTATAGAAAGTTATGCTCTCATTTATTGAGTTCGCTATGAAATCTTATTCAACCAGCACAAAAATCTCAAGTATCAACTTACATTTTCCAAATCGACTGAGCATTGCTTTTTGCTGCAATTTGAAAGACCTCCTAATTGCATTTCATATTAGACTTTTGATTTTACTCAATTTAATTATGATGAAGAATTTTAATAATCTTTCGTATATAACTTGATTTACTTACTCCTGTTTTTCGCCTCAACAGGGTCGATTGATTATTGATGGAGAAGAGATGAAAACCAATCTATTTAAGATGATCAAAGAGACGCAAACTAACAGCAATAAGAACAATATTATTGCATTTAGTGACAATTCAAGTGCCATTCGAGGTTTCAATGATTTACACATAATGATCCCAAAAGACTCGGCTCAATCATCAACCATGTTAATCAAACCAAAATCAACCAGACATATTGTGTTCACAGCTGAGACTCACAACTTTCCTACTGGTGTTGCCCCATTTCAAGGTGCTACAACAGGTAATGTAAACAGACCATCCGGATTTTGATTAAACAATGAAGATACTAATACATTAGAATAAGTATTAAGAATCAAATTTTAAAAGAAAGACTGAAAATGAAAGTTAGCCTTTATTAATTATGTATTTTTTGATTGTGTTTTGTTATCTTAGGAACTGGAGGAAGGATTCGTGATGTTCAAGCAACTGGTCGAGGTGCTCATGTGATTGCTGGTACAGCTGGCTATTCATTTGGTAATCTATTGATTCCTGGTTATCCATTGGATTGGGAATCAACCGATGAAATTTATCCCAATAATTTTGCTAAGCCATTGGAAATAGCAATAGAAGCATCTAATGGTGCATCTGATTATGGTAATAAATTTGGTGAACCAGTGATTGCCGGATTTGCCCGATCATTTGGAATGAGACTAACAAATGGTAAAAATTAAAATGACCTAGAAATCAACAAATGTTGAAAAGTTCTGTCAATCTTAGAAATTTAACCAATATAATAACAACTGTTATTTGTATTACAGGAGAAAGATGGGAATGGATCAAACCAATTATGTTTAGTGGAGGAATAGGAAGCATTGAAAGTAAATTTTGTGACAAAAATAAACCAGCTAAGGATATGCTGGTTACCAAAATTGGTGGGCCTGTGTACAGAATTGGTGTTGGTGGTGGAGCCGCAAGTTCAATTCAAGTTCAAGGTAAACATTACTAATCTCACTGTTTTTTATTTATAAAATTTGAGAATTATTAACTTTATCGTCAATAATATATCAAAAAAGCGAAACTATTTTGAATATTGAAATAATAATTCTTGCTCTTGTTTATTGTTTGAACAGGCGATGATAAAGATGAACAATTAAATTTGGAAGCTGTTCAAAGAGGTGATCCTGAAATGGAACAGAAATTAAATCGATTGATTCGTGGTTGTATTGAAAGACCAGGTAATTTGTGAATAGTAGCCAAAACTTCAAATTCAAATTTTAATAATATCTTCCAATTCCTTAGATAATCCGATCCAGTCAATTCATGATCAAGGTGCTGGTGGAAATGGAAATGTATTAAAGGAAATCGTTGAACCCAATGGAGCAGTTATTTATGCAGATAAATTCACTTTAGGTGATCCCACAATTGGTACACTTGAACTTTGGGGTGCTGAATATCAGGAAAGTAATGCTATCCTGGTTAAACCAGAAGATGAGAAGACTATTGAAAAGATTAGTAAACGGGAAAAATGTCCAGTTGATTTTGTTGGAACTGTTACCACTGATGGTCTTATTAGACTAGTTGAGAAACAACCAAAGCAGGTCAATGAATCTAATAAATCAGTTAATCCAGTCGAACTTGATTTGAAACATGTTCTCGGTGATATGCCACCGAAAACTTTTAAACTTGATCATCTGGTTAATCCTTTGAAGCCACTCACACTGCCAACCAATTTAACTCTCATGGATGCGCTTAATCGAGTCCTAAGATTACCTTCGGTAGCATCAAAACGCTATCTAACCAACAAAGTTGATCGAAGTGTTACAGGTAATGTACGATTTTAAATTCAATCTGACTTATACAATAATTTAGGAATAAGTCGTTGCTCGTCATCAAACTCCTAAATGAAAAATCTAAAGCAACTCGAGTATTTTTTCATTTATGCTGTTGCTATTTCTTATTTACTATCTTCATTTATTTTATTACAGGACTAATTGCCCAACAGCAATGTGTCGGTGAACTTGGTGTACCTTTGGCTGATTATGGAATGATTGCCCTCTCTTACTTTGATACAAGGTAATGTAACATTGGATCAATCCATTTTCATGACGACTCTCATGATTATTTCCATTTTTTCAAGGAAAACTCACTTTTATAATTTATTTGTTTTCTTTCCTTAATAGAGGAGCAGCAACATCAATTGGAGAACAGCCAATTAAAGGGTTAATTGATCCTGAAGCTGGAGCCCGATTAAGTGTCACTGAAGCTTTAACTAACCTAATGTTTGCTTGTATAACAAACTTGGCCGATGTTAAATGTAGTGGTAACTGGATGTGGGCAGCTAAACTTGAAGGTAAAACCAATAACATTGATAATCTTATGAATGGTCAAGATGAGCTTCAATAAAACTAAATAAATAGATGGATAGAGGATTGAATCCATCGTTAAAACTAATCAAATTAATTTTAAAATTCGATATTAATTTTAATATCCAGGCGAAGGTGCTAAGCTTGTGGATGCTTGTCGTGCAATGTGCAATATAATGAGCCAACTGAACATTGCTGTGGATGGTGGTAAAGATTCATTGTCAATGGCAGCTAAAGTTAAAAATATGGCTTCTAATAAAAGTGAAGTGGTTAAATCACCGGGAACTTTGGTCATTAGTACTTATGCTCCGGTTCCTGATATAACCTTTAAGGTTACTCCTGTTATGGAAGGTCGAGGTAAACTTGTTCACATAGATCTCAGTGGCTATAAAGGTAAAAGACGAACTGGTGGATCAGCATTGGCCCAGGTTTATGGTCAACTTGGTAATTTGGTTCCTGATGTTGATGATCCTTCAATTTTAAGGAAATGTTTCCCCATGATTCAAGATTCGATACGCCTTAAAGAAGTACTTTCAGGTCACGATATCTCTGATGGAGGTTTAATCACTACACTTTTAGAGATGGCTTTTGCCACCAATTGTGGTTTAACACTGAACTTTACTACTTTGTTACCAAATGAATCACCCATTGACTACCTTTTAGCTGAAGAGGTTGGAATAGTTGTTGAAGTATCAAAATATAGTATATCCTCTTTTATGGACCAATTAGCCGCAGCTGGAATACCAGCTTCAATTATTGGTGAAATTAATTTAAAATCTGATATCATTGATATTAGTTTCAATGGTCAACCATTTATCAAGGTAAACTAAATTATGAGGAAAAAATGTTTCAGGATAAATTAGAAGCTATAAAATGACTGAATTGATTCAAGCACAAACATTTTTTCAATTGAATAATTTTAACCTGAAAATATGCTTTATTTGCCACCTTTAACAGCTAAATGTAAAAGAAATGATGGATATTTGGGAGGAAACAAGCTTCGAATTAGAGAAACACCAAGCAAATCCTGATTGTGTAGAAGAAGAAAGACGAAATCTTAAGCATAGACGAACTCCACTTTATGCTCTTTCATTCGACCCAACTCACACTGAACTTCGAAAGCTTAATGGTTCGTAATCTATAAGCAATTTATATTAAAAATGTTTTAATCATCCTTTTTATTTAATTTTAGGACCAGATGATTATTTCTTAAACAGGCCAAAAGTTGCTGTTATTAGAGAAGAAGGAATCAATGGTGATCGTGAAATGATTGCCAGTCTTCACATGGTTGGTTTTGAGGTTATTGATTTAACCGTCACTGATCTTCTCCATGATTCAGGTATTGAAGAAAAAAGCCTTTTCTTATTTTAAAACTATTTAAATTACAAAAATCATCACAGTTTCAGTTTCGACAGTTTCCACTTTTTACAATCGATTATTTGTTGATCTATCATGAATCACTTAAATCGGGAATATAACGTGTTTTTTATTTTTATATTTTAGGAATCAACTTGAATCAATTCCGTGGGTTAGTTTTCCCTGGTGGATTTTCATTTGCTGATGTTTTAGGCTCTGCAAAGGGCTGGGCGGCCACACTTCGATTCAACGAGAACATTAGCAATCAGTTGAACCAATTTGTTAAGCGCAAAGATACTTTCTCTCTCGGTGTGTGCAATGGATGCCAATTATTAGCTTTACTTGGTTGGATTGGAAATCAAGAAGACGGTATAAGATATTTCTTGAAAAATTTATGCACTTTTCTTATGTGTAATATATTTTTGTTTTATTTTCATGAATTTAGGCTCACAAGGAACTCAGTTAACTCACAATAACTCGCAAAGATTTGAAAGCAGATTCGTTTCGGTTAAAATCAAAGACAATAATAACTCCATTATGCTCAAAGGAATGAGTGACTCTGTTTTGGGTGTTTGGGTTGCCCATGGAGAGGGTAAATTTATTTATAAGGACAAATCAATTCTGGATAAATTAGTTAAATCTAATTGTGTTGCATTAACATATGTAGACGACAATGGGGTTGATACGGAAAGGTAATTCACTACGACTAATATTATCCTTCAATATTTATCATCTTTTATTGTTGAATCTTGTTAACTATTTTTTGTTTTATATTTCAGCTATCCGATGAACCCCAATGGAAGTGCCTTAGGAATCGCTGGATTGACAAGTTATGATGGACGGCATTTGGCCATGATGCCTCATCCAGAAAGATGCACACAATTATGGCAATGGCCTTACGTACCTAAAGAATGGAAGAGACTGACAGTCAGTCCGTGGTGTAAAATGTTTTACAATGCTTATGAATGGTGTTTGAAGCATTGAATCAATTTTTTGCATTTTCTGAGCCAATCCATGATCTATTTTTTACTTCATTAGTTTTGATAATTGATATATCTTCACAGTCTGTTATTAATCACTTTTTGTTTAATAGCAGTATAAAGTGGCCATCAATTTTTTGTTACACAAATTAGATGATATAGTTCCTAATTAGTTTTTGATTGCATTGTTGAAATATTTTCTTTTCCAAAATTATTAAACAATCGTAGTAGTTATTTGCTACTTGCTACAAAATAAACCTTGAATAAAATTTAAATCAAACGATGAATTTACCATTAAATCGATTTTTTGAATGTTTTTTACGTCGATGAAGAGTCATGTAAACTTCCATTAGATGATGGAATCTTTTGTCGGACTTTATCTATCAACTTGTAAGTCAAAATATAATAAAGCATATGGATAATGACGGAAAATCGTGTAATAATCAGCATGATTGTTGTCAGACTGTTTTCACATCTCATACAAAATCAATTGTCACTTTGAGTTGGATAACTCAGATATCTAATTGACAAAACTGATTGACAAAAGTAAACAAAACCCTTCAATCATCTTGTTTTTAACAATCCCAAATCCAAATTATGCTATTGATTCGACAACTTAAAATTAGAAAATGAATTAAAATAAATTTGAACATCCATTAGATCCAGTGAGAGTCTAATTTTTAATCATCTTAGTAATTACAATCATCACTTAATAAGTTAATTGTTCAACCCTTCAAATGATTCATCCAGCCTGCATCACAATCAATCATTAAGGTATGCATTTGATATGTTTAAATTAACATTGTAATTACAATTTATGCATGAAGGTAATAATTGTGCAAATCAAAAGAGATAACTTGAAATCAATTCCGAAAAAGAAAGTTCTTCAGCTTGTTTACCACTAATATTATTTATTTTATTAATGATATTATCTTCAACATATTATTACTGTCGAAAACTTAATTACCGTTAACATAAATTAACTACATTTGTAAGTAAAATGTTTCCAATTTAATGTCAGTAATACTTTCACTTTATTTTTGTCCATAAGCCATAACATTTTGTTCATCAGTCTCGATTTTCATTATTCATTAACAATTACGATCCATCTAGAAATACAAGATAAATCATCTAAATTCAGTCTATGTATTGAAACAGAATTCACATAACTTTAACAATCTTTAATTGTTCAACTCAACACATTATGCAAGCGGATATGTTAATTATAACTGTATAACCAGTGTTTATACTTTAGCGTCTGGCTTTTTTTCCTTACCACCACCATCAAGATAGCGAATATTACAATTAAATTGAACGTTTGTTCTACTTGATACTATTAATAAATAGTTATCAAATCAAAGAATAATAAAATATAAACTATAAATTATAACCAAACATCACACAAGACTCAGAAAACGTTCCAATAATCAACAAGCGATCCACAATTTAACTTTTGCTTCCAACTAACAAGTTTGAGATATTTGAGTTGCTTCAATCGATATTTTTGGATCTTCAATGTCCGATTTGCTTTGAATTATCTTCAGCTCTAGTGAATCGTCATCAAATTTGCCAATTTCGGATGCATAGTCGTAGGTTCTTTTGAGTATTATTTGCATGGTGGCAATGGTTTTCTCAATTGAAATTTTTAAATTGTAATCAGTTTTGTGAAGCCAAGCCAACATAAGAGCAGCGAAAAGGTCACCAGAGCCGACAAATCGGGCATCAATTTTGGGAAACACCAATGAAAACCGTTCATTTTTATCCCCATTGAGTCGACTGGCATAACAGCATAATGTTTTATCATCTGAGATTTCAGTGCTGGTGATCACAACACATGAAACACCTTTAGAGTGTAAAATTTCAATTGCTTTGGAAATGTCTTCAGTGTTGTTTATTTTAATGCCAGTGAGTGCTCTGAAAGAAACGAACAGGATTGTTATTATTATTATGAAAAAGATAACGACAAATATGGATAGATTGTCCATGTTTTAATGCATTGATAACTTACTCAGCTTCAAACTGATTGGGAGTTATGATATCAGCTAATGGTAACAATTGTTCCCGATAGATTTGAACTTGATCAGCAGAAACGTACTAATAAAAATAATCAATCAGTAAAAAAATTATCAGTGTTCAATGAACCAACAATAAAATTTATGATTTAATGATACCTACAAATTTTCCATTATCACCCATAACAGGATCACAAACTGAAAAGATCAAATATATAGAAACGTTAAAATAAAGTCAAGTTTGGTGCATTTCCAAGTTTTATCAGACCTTCTGACATTTTATAAATGAATCATAACTTATAATGATATGAAGTTGATGAAGATATTGTCATAGCAGAGTTTGAATCAAATGTCAAAATCATTTTATCAACATCGAATAGGTCTGATTATCGATTAATGAAAGAAAACCGACAGCCAAAAGCTATTGCGACAGTATAACTAAGCACTGGTCTAATCGTTTAAGCACCTAAATCTTGACAATCTAATCTTGATATGATTAAATCTAATTAATACAGAGATGTTAACAATTTTACCATATTTGAGCTTGGGGTTCATCTTTTTCATCTCGGTAACTACTTCCACAACTTTAGATAGGAATGACGCCGATCGACAATACCCTATTAAATAAAATAAATACAAAATTAAAATTCTTGCCGATTGGATAGTTAAACATGCCAAACCTGTTAGTAAATAAGTATATTGGCCAACATATTCATTTCCATTGATTCCTTTGAAGAGGTCATCCAGATCATTTCCAAAAAGCTCTTGTCCTTTTGTTACTTTGTAATGGACGTGATTAGTGTATTGTACACTATTGATAGCATCAACTTCAAATCCCAGAACCTGATAAAGATATTAACAATTAATACAGTAAAGTATTGATACATTGATCTAGAATGTGTAATAGAAGCGCCATTGACAAAGATGGCAAGTGTCAAGGTACATTATGAATGAAAACATAATGACATAACATGTGGAGAAAATGAATAAAACCCAGACTCACCTGTAAAGGGAAGGTTGCACTTTTATTTCCGACATAACCATGGACAACATGACTTTGAATTGAAAGAACCCGTGGTGAATCCATTAGTAAGTGTTTAATATTTGGACAGACAACAAAAATAATGAAAAACGGTTAACACGTTTCAACTGGAAGGTGAGCAAATTGAACAAATATCAAGGAAAGAACCATTTAAGCTTGATTTATAATCGAGTATTATTGAAAGACAATTAAAGGCACTTTTTGATGTAAACTTAATTGTTTAGATTTAGGAAGACAATGTTATTTCGATAAGAAATGATCGGATGGAAAAAAACATGATAAACAAAGATACAAAGATCATATGGTTTCCATGGATCTTAACAGCTTTATGTTTCCATATGAGGAGCAACTCGGCGAAGCGTAAATTTCTTTAAATCATATTTAATTTTCAGAATTTATTCCAGATTATTTCATTTATAATCAATGTTAGGTAACAATACTGTTATCTTGATGATGATGATTTAGTAATTTTTGCAATTATCAAAAATGACAAAACCCCAAATATGGTGATTTGATTCTCAATAAATTTATCAAGACCAACTAATGTGATTAATAAAAATTTATTCAAGCTTAAAACAAAATTAGCGGATATAGAAATGAAGGAAACAATAAAATGATTGCAATTGAACTTGATGATAAATTTGGGAAAACACGATCAAATTTCCGTCTGGTATGATGAATATCTGATTTTACACGGAAGACGTCGGAAGCTTTTATTCACCATGGTTTGCGGATTGAACTTTTCAATGATAATTAGTTCTTTTCTTCCAAGAGGCCAACGATATCTTTTTCAATTTGCTGTAAATGAAAGAAAAAATAATTTAGTATACTGAGTAACTCAAAATCATCATGTGCTTAAAGCAATCAATAAAAAATAGCTTTGAGCAACAAGTTAACAACTTGGATATAACTGATAAATCATTGACCAATATTAACATAAATTTTTGTCGGTAGTTGTTAGGATGTTTATCCAAATTGTAACTAATTAGCGACTTAATTTATGAATATAAATTACTCACATTTGGTTCAGTGGTTGGAGAATATCGTTTGACAGGAACACCTTCTTTATTGCAAAGGAACTTGGTGAAATTCCATTTGATGAAATCACCCAACATTCCTCCTTGTTTGCTTTTCAAGTAATCGTAAAGTGGAATGGCTTGTTTTCCGTTTACATTAACTTTACCAAAAAAGTCAAATTCAATTTTCTGTTTGACAACATATTCCTTGAGATCCGTTTCACATGCTGGTTCTTGACCTGCAAATTGGTTACAGGGGAAAGCGAGGATGGCGAAATTTCCGGAATCCTTGTGTTTTGCATAGAGCTCATTTAACTGTTTGTAATTGTTCTTGGTGAGACCACAATTGGACGCAACATTAACAACCAAACAGACTTTGCCTCTATAGAAAATTGGAAGAAACAAGTTTAAATATTGGTTCAAAAATAAAATCAAATGAAATGCGTATTAAAGTTTACCTGTATTTATCTAGAGGAACGTCTTCTCCATCGAGATTTTTCACGGTAAAATCAAAAATTGAACTGGCATTTTTAGGGTCAACGGATTTATTTTCTTCGGCCTGAAAAGATTGAATGGATGAATATTAGAAAAAGCACATACAAAGAAGATTGAGTTAGCTATTTAAAAGCAGACGATGACACTGGTTTCAAAATGTAGTCTTGTCTTGTTGACAAAATTAGGCGTTGATTATTAATCAAAAACATGATTGACACATTGATTTTAATAGACATATTGAAAAAAGATTAAATCGCAATAAAACTTACCATTTTGATGGTTTCTTTGTCCTACTGTTCTTGTTCAGCACGAAACTTGTTTTGGTTACAAAGAGAGACAGAGAAAAACTGGATCCAAATGTTTACAGTTTGCAACTTCTTGTTTGCCTTTGCGTACGATTGGCTCTTTTCTAGTTTGAATCCAGAACTAATAATACTGGTTATCTTCTTGATGGTTGTTACCTAAATTAAGTAACTAATGCATAAAATAAAGTGCAAAATCTATACTGATTACAGGAGTTATCAGGGATTGAAGAGGAGGGAGTAAATACTCGACAACTTGTGAAGTAGATCCTAATTAAATCACAGACCAATTAGATACTGACAATGTTATCCAAAGAGTTGGATCTTTTTTTGTTGGATCGAGTACTTGAGCACTAGAAATTTCAGAAGCTAACAAATTATTAATCGAAAACAAGAAACATTGAAAGTTGGTTATGCTGATGACAGCCATGAGATTTTAAAATTGTAAATTAATGAGCAAGATGAGATAAGCTAACGAGTGGCACCAAAATATGAAGTCATATTACTTCATAGAGCTAATTATTCTTCCATTGACATTGTTAGTAAAGAGCTTATTCCTAGTTTAGTGATAACAAGTGCTTCAAAGTGCAAATAAGTTCAGGCATCAAGTTTTAGCACGAAAAAATACATTAATTGATTTGCGGGAAGAGTTATATTCAGCTTAATTTTTCAATTTCAAAGTCTCAGCTAGCTTGAATAAAAGCATCAGCGCTAACAGCTGATATGATCTACGCCTCAGATTCTGTGGCAGTTCAAGCGAATCTGATTCCGCCTGAACTAATTTAACTAAGCCTATTAAAAATAATCTGAAGAAATTCAGCCTCGAGTAGTCTAATTAAATCCTACTGTCTTGACCAACTATCGTAATTTTTGAGTATCGACTCAGCAAGCTGAGACTTTGATAATCTTTTTCATTTTGATTGAAATTGATTGATATTAACTCAAGAAAATACGGTAAAGATTGAACATAATTGCATTAAAAATAAAGATTATCTTACCGGAATCAGAATTCAGTCAAACGACCTTTCTTTGAACTTTGGTGCTCTTTACAAGTACTGAACAATTGGAAATTAAGCCGTAACCTCTAAGGATTTATGAATAATTATGAATCGATTGTTCTCTGATGGACGAAGTTATTTCTGATGAACTAAGAACTGATATGAAAAAATGATTAAACTGTTTCCTAGTGCCTTATCAGATGAGGACAAACAAGCCAAAGTAGTGATCAAATTGCTCAGAAGGTTACATTTGACTTACTGTGAGCATTTGTTTTACAAATCGATAATCTAAAATCATAAAACTTATTTCTAACTTTTAACTTTTTCCTGACATGAATTTTACTGGAAACTTATTCTGACACTTTATTGTGAGTTATGTTGGCCCAGGTTATGTTAGCTAATCAGCTTTTAAGGCACCGCCGAAAATTCAAAAACTTTTGATAAAACCTACTGCCATCTAGCGCTGAAAATAGCTATGATCTAACCTTCAAATTTCTGTATAAAGTCGATAATTCAAGCAGATTCAAACACGACTTTCATGCAGATAGTTAGTTTAAATCTAATACAATAGTGTCAAGTTAAGTTAAATTTTTGCTTGTGTGGACTGGCCAGTCGCGACAGCTTTAAGGTGCTATATAATCAATTAATTCACTATTTGTTTCTGTTTTGATTCCTTATTCAATACTAGAGCTGATGAAAGTCTTAATAAATTGTTTCATTGTTTTGGCAATTGTCAATTATCTAATAGCAAGCAAATCTATGAAACTCTATCGAAGTAAAAGGTAAACCCTGAACTCTTGTGAAGCGAAAATTCAGATCCCTCGAAAAGACTTCAAATTGATCAAGGCATCAACTTCAATCAATTCAGACTTGGACAATTTAAGCTGGAACTGAGCTAAGCAAGGAAGAATACAATCAATCCGATTGATTGAGTACAAAATGAAGTCTTTCATGGCACATGACAACCCAAATCAAGACAATCCGGGAATAATTTACTGTTGATTATTTAATGTTAAATAATACATGACTTGTTTCAGTTAATCAGTTTGAACATTGATATCTACTTGGCTACCTTTGCTAATAAGATTTACCAAGAGAAAGTGTCATTTGATTGTTGATTGATTAACAATGTAGAGTCAGGTCAATCTTGAAACTGTGTATCTAATAATAATATAAATTATTATAATAGAAATAGAGTTTCCTTTTCCTGTTAAAGAGGTTCATCATTTTTTGAACATTTTCCCTCGGTAACCATGAAAAAAGAGGCAGAAGTAGAAGGAGTTGAAAGCTATTCCAAGGTTGTCTGAAGTAAGTTCATCAACCCAATTGAATCAATAGGGATGAAGATCTGGTGGAAAGAGAGAAAAGAAAGGGAAAAGGTAAAACTGAAATCTCCAGAGGAATCATGAAACCAGAAAATTTTAATCATTATGGTTATTATGCCACGTAACAGTTGCTTTGTTAAATTAATTATTTACTCAGTGTGTAGGTTAATATATTGCTAAGTGTTAAAGGTTAAATAAAATATCAAAATTTTTCAATGGCAAAGTTAATTAAATAGACATACATTTTATTTACAATTAAACTTAATCCAAACTGCAACACACTTGAATGTATTCATTGTATAATATTAGTCTAATATTAATCTATCAATTTGGTTGTGTGACTGAATGCATTCTGAACAATCTATATGAATCAATTCTGAACAATCTATATGAATCAAGACTATGCGGACTTGCTATTAACTTGAATGTGTGTTTAATTAAGTTATGGGTTAATGTACTAACAACGCTTTCAAGTTAATGCGAAACATTAGTTAGTCATACGAGTACATATTTCATGATTTAATTGATAATCTCTCGCAGCTGAATTCATACTAAACGTTGAAATTTTGCAAAAATAAATAATGATAACAATAAAGTTTAACGACTAATCATATCTTTGGCTTAGGTTTATGGTTATGGTTCCTCCACTTTCCTTTTGTCAATAAATAAAACAATTTAATTGTTAGTTTTTGATCCCAATTGTTGGTGAAATCAATCTATTTTGTAACATTATCCATCTAATATTGACTAACGATGATTAAATGATTCTTGATCCAAAATAAAGTTATGAAGGTTGATTGGAATCCTGTTGAGTGTGTCATCTTAATCATCCAAGATGGCCATAATATCTTTCCCAATTTCCTAATTAGAATAAAAAAAATGAATTAGTAAATAATGAAAATCAATGTAAAACTTGATGAGAGCTTGAGTCTCCATACTTAACATGCATATTAAAATTTATGGTATTTCCAATGAATTCAAAATTTATGATCTAATTGTACTTAGAATTGTCATTTAAGATGAATTTACTGTCAGACAATAATTTGTATTAATGACAATTCAGTCAAGGTAAAAGAAAATTTAAAAATGTAAAAAATGGTTAACAAAGGGCTAAAAATGAAGCTCTCTACTTCAAATTCATATTTTATCTTTCTGCCATTTTCATCTATTTATCAATAAAAACATTTAAAATTGACATTAATAAAAATTTGAAAAATAGCTCAATTATAATGTCAAAACAATGAGAATGTAAAAATACCATAAATTACTCATAGAGTTAAACGTTTCTCAGTCAATCTTTGGAAGTCTTGTTGATCGATGCTTACCAAAGGCTCAGTTCTGGGTCCATATCGAGAAACTGGTATTCCCTCTTTATTACAAAGAAATTTGGTGAAATTCCATTTTATGAAGTCACCCAAAATTCCACCTTGTTTGGACTTGAGAAAGTTGTACAACGGACAAGCCAATTTACCATTAACATTGACTTTGGCAAAAAAGTCAAACTCGATTCGTTGTTTCAATTTAAACTCCTTGAGATCAGTTTCACATGCAGGCTCTTGACCAAGGAATTGATTACAAGGAAATGCAAGGATGGCAAATTTACCAGTATCTTTAAATTTGTCATACAGCTCATTCAACTGTCTGTAGTTTGATTTGGTAAGTCCACAATTGGAGGCGACATTGACAACCAAGCAAACCATTCCACTTTGATTTTCACATCAACAGGTTATTTTGCGGTACATGGATGAAGGACAAAAGAAACAGAAATATAGTTATAATCGGGTTAACAGTTAATCTAAATATTTGTCATTGTGTGTGATTAAAGTAATCACAGTGAAGCGATTATAGTATTACAAGGTTTTATGGTCAAATAGCGATTAAATATCAAAACTTACCGATACTTTTCAAGGGGAACATCTTCTCCGTCCAAGTCTTTCACAGTGAAATCAAATATTGAAGTTGCACTTTTCCAATCAATGTTGATATTTTCATCATTCTAATACCCAATTGAACAAATATTGGAACAAATAAGAATTATAAACTGAACTTTCTAATTCACTACAAAACTGAAGCTATCAGAATAAGTCGGTTTGCAATGGTCAATGGTAAGACTTGACATTGAGATTATAACTCTTATCAATATTCAGGATAATTAACAGACAATACGCTAATACTAATACAAATAATTGATTAGTGGACTCACCATTTTTCGTGATTAAAGTTGAGATTTGCCAAGAAAGAAATGCTATTTTCCAATGACCATAAATTGAAAAGTTGATACAACACCAACTGTTTACTGTTCAACTAAATAAATGTTGTCAATTCGAGTATTTCAAGTTGATCTTGATGACAAAATGAGTCGAAGCAATTAAGAGATGATCACGAAACAATATAATTCAATGACAAGTTCAGTTTAGGTCTGAAAAATGATAACGACAATAAACGGAATATTCCGTGATAACTGCATTGAAACAAAAGAAGAGTTTAATGTTTTTAAATTTTTCAACAAAACAATAAAATCTAAATCACCATTAGAAAGGACAATTTTAATCATTATTTACCTATCTGATCAAATGTGTTGATGTGAAATTTTAATGTCGATTGCATAGAAGCCTAGAATCAATTAAAAACTGAAAAACGACTAAAAATGAATATTAAAAAAAACGAAAGATTTCCATGTTGAAATGAAATGAAAAGGTTTCATTTGAATAATGGTTATATACATAATGAATCTATTGATAAAATTGAATTACCAAAATAAACTCTGATAATTATTGAAAGTAAATTGTAATGAAGTGAAATAAAAAACTCAAAATACTAGGTTAATTATCAATAATACATCATAAACTAGGAAGCTGGAAAAACGTATTAACATTGAAAATTAATGGTAGAAAATTGATTCTCATTGGAAAAGTAAATTTGAACAGTTTAACAATTTAAATATAACACAAATTCACTTAAATTGCTGGCTTTAATCTTGTGATCTTTCTTTAAATGTTTGTTTTTCTAGTTGTTGAATGGTTAAACATGAGCCAAAATTGTTAATTTCAATCAATTTGCTTGATTATTCAGTGAAGATGAATTAAAAGTCAAAATCAAGTCTCAATGTTAATAGGAATCGAGAAGTAAATCAAAGTAAAGCAATTAAATATTGCTGTCGATTGGAAGCGAAAATGATTCCTGAGCCAATTTTTGTTCAAAACACAAGAAAAAATTCATTTGAAAAGCAAAAAGGCGATCGATATCAGGAAAAGTGATCAAAGATATTAAAAATTAACATTATTAAAGTATAATTTCATATTAAATTCACTTGAGATTCATTTAATTTGTATTTCAAACATCTAATGGTTAGTTGAAAAAGAAAATGAAAATTCATCAGAAAAATGGATTCATTTGGAAACAGATTAATCACAAATTGATTGTTTGGCTTTAGATAATCTGTGATTGATTCATTCCATCGCTCAAGTTGACGATAATCAAATAGCTTGACTTTGAACTCAATAACAATTTGAAATCGATAAACTTTCACTTTTTTGTAGCTAAAACAAAAAAAAGGTTTAAAATAACCTGAGGTTACAATCAACCTTGACTAGGTTGGTTAATTGTAAAAACAAGTTAAATCAAGTGAAATCACGTAAGGTTGAAATGAAACATGTTTTTTGTTGTATTATTACGAAGCAATAACAATTAACTGGCTTTTCATCAAAATAAAACTCAATGTTTTCTAATCATTTGAATCAAAGGTTGATTAAAAGAGTAAATATGATTCAGGTTAATTGTGATTATTGCGACAATTGACTGTCAAAATGACCAGACTTTTAGTTTTGCATTATTATTGTTTGGAGTCATAATGAAAGTTAATATAATAACATTGTAAAATCACAATTGATGGTAATAATGGTTGTAATGATATTAATAATAATAAAGAATAATGGTTTTGATTGCATTAATAATTATATATTGATAGTAATTAAGCATAATATAGTAACATAATCACAATGACAAAGAAAGTAGAAGAGGAAAGGTCAAGTAAAATGGTCAGGGTGAAAAGGAATCAAGACAAAAATTGGAATAAGTCTTTAGATTTTTCGTACATTTAATTGGATACATATTACAGATTTTTGTTTTTCAATTAATTAATTAATTAATTTCCAAGTGTAGTTCTACAACCTTATTACAGTCTGTGATCGACTTTACAACATATACAAGCGTTCGAACAATTAGAAAAGTGCATGTATGTTTATATATGTAATGCGTTATGTGTTGTGAGATTTCCCCGCTTCCCGTTGTGGTTTTTTTCATTTTGTGAATTGTGAGAGATACATATTTATATTTAATTGGGGATGGAAAGGGATTATCATGGTTTCGTTTTTATATAATATTATGTATAATCAAGGGGTGTATTTTTCAGGCCATTGAAATATTAGAGGGAAAAAATGAACAAAAGAAAAAAAGAAATGGAAATTAAGAGTTTCAAGCGTTTTACAGATATTATAATACCTTGAACATTTTAAGAAAAAAGGGGAAAAAGATGAACAAAAAAACCAAAAATCATTTGAAGAAAATCTTTCCGACCTTAATTAATTAATTAATTATAATAATAATCATGTTATTATACTTTTGGAACAATATAATATAATATAATATAATATATAATATATACTGTTTAGTCTCATAAAACACAATTAGATTCATTATTACATTCATTGATGGTTTACACTTCAAATGATTACATAGAGCAATGGACAAGGCTAAGCATGCGTTTGTCCCTGTCAAATAAAATTTATCCTCAACAGAGTAATTGACCTGGAATGGTCTATTACATCAGTCAGGATCAATTGTATTGACAGTATAACAGAGGGAAGTTCGGGAGGGGAAAAGCTTATATGCATATGTATATATTTATAAATATTTATATATTCCTTAATTATTCTCACCCAAAAGTTAATGATTTTCAGGATGATATAAGGTATAAAAAGATTGATACAGTTAGCTTTCAATGGCTTAATCATATTTTTTGCCGAGTCGAGTTGGGGTTTTGCTTTTCAAAGAAAATGCAACAAAATAACGTAACAAACACATACGTTGTCAAATTAGCCTCAGTTGTTTGTTTATGTTTGTTGCGATAATGTGCACTTTTTTCCTTATTGGATTGTTCCATTAGAGGGTGCACCAATTGGCCCAAGATCACTATTTTTGGGCATAAACTTTTCCAATTTGGCGAGAATGTGTTTCCCATACGTGTATTTTCGAAGAGCCGCTAGATGAGGGCGGATCCTGTTGAGAAGAGCTTTACGTTGAGGTTGTTCAGCTACTTCAATCATCTTTTGCACAACATAATTTGCAAACTGGTCTTTCATCATAGTGTATAAGGCACTGTAAATTTCAAGGAATTCAGAAAAGTTGAAATTGCATTAGTATTTTGTGCTAAATTAATAATCAATAGTCAATTGTTTGTTTGTTTTTTGCTAAAAGTATTACCTGTCATTATAAGAGCAAACTTCTTCGATAAGTAAAGCTCTCTCACTCCTATTGGCATGAGTGACACATTTTTCCACAACATTGCTAAATTAGGAAAGAAAAAGAGAAAATTAGTTTTAAATAATTATAAATGGAATTGAACAGGTGTATTTAATTTCTTTATAATTCAACAATTATTTGACCAGTCCAAATATACAAGGTAAGTATGCAAGATCAACGCCCTCTCTTTCTTTTAATTGGGCGATAATATACAATGGAGAAAACCGGATAGAGTTGGTTGAAATAGTAAGAGTGAGGAGGCAGAGAGACAAAAAAAGAGAGAGAGGAAAGGAACAACGTGAATAGATATTTGTTTCAGGAAGAAAAGGAGGAAAGGATAAATGGAGGAAAAGGGAGTTGTATACATATGCATTGTGCAGAAGTAGAAAAAGAGAGCTAAAACCTTGGATTGGAGATAAAATTTCATATCAATAACTATCATGAAACAAGAACAAAAAAGAAAAATGATAAAAAAATATGATAGACAAAAGAGAAAGGAAAGAGATGATGAAAGAAGGACAACCCGGCGAGTAGAGAGAAACAATTTTGAGAATTGAGAGTATGTCTTTTGAGGACCAAGTATCTAATAAGCATGAATGGTAACTAACTGATATTATCCTTGGTTTTAATTTGGATTGAAAACAAAGCTTTGTTGATAATTTAAAAAATTAATCAGACACCTTCGTCCTTTCAGTGCATTAAAAAAACACTTTCACCATGTGAGTAATTATTTTGACAGCATCTTACCTGGCAAATTTATGCATCGAGAGGCTTAATACTTTTCCTCGTACGTTAGCGATAATCCTACTCTTATCCTCTGGTCTTCCATGTTCTAAAACATGCTGAACCACATAGTTACCATACTGGTCTTGAACTAATTGCTCGGTATGTTGATGCAGTTCTTCTAAGATAGGGGCAGTTTGCTCAGGCGTACAGTGTTCCAGTATTCTTTGGATAACTCTGCATCCATATGGGTGGGTTGACAATGAAAATACCTGTAAGAGGAATAAAGAAAGTAGAAAAGAAACATGGATACAATTGAGTGAAGCGAAAAAGACAGATAGAGGGAGAGTGAGAAAGGGATAGGTAAAGGATAGACAAACAATTATTTCATGAAAACATGAAAATCTATTAATAAGAGATGCAAGGAGCAACTGTAATAAGTGAGATAAAATTGTCTAGAGTAGATGATGAAAAGATTGATCAAATGCATACCTGTCCCTGAAAAGCTCCGATAATGAATTGAAGAGCATGAGGATCCACACATTCTATACACTTTTGGACAACATGATTACCATTTTGATCCTTTACACATTTCAATACATGTCCATCAAGCTCCTTAACAATTTCTTTTTGCTGCTCTGGAGATATTGATTCAAGAGCTTTTTGAATAACACGACAACCATACATCTGGAGAGCAAGGGGTAAAACATGACCTTTCACTTTCATAGCTAGTGCTTGTTTCTGTTCTGGTGTGCCAAACTCGAAGAATTTCTGAATAACATAATTCCCAAACACATCAGTCATTAAATTGTAAGCATGAGCGATGATTTCTTTGAAAACGAGTTGCTTGTCAGCAGCTGTAGTTCTTTCTAATTTTTGTTGAATAAAGCGCGAACCATGTTGATCTTGAGAAAACTCGACAATGTGATCCGTAAGATCTCGTAATTGAAGGTTTGGATATCTATTGTTTCGGAAATCTTCAAGCAGGCGGCTACGCCCGGTCGACTTGTCCATAGAGGAACTGTAAAATAAAAAGAAAATGAATGAAAAATTTGTTGAAACCGAATTCAAGGTTAATGTTGATAAGTGGTTCTTGGTCAACGAATTAATAATTTTGTACTTTCAATTAATTAAAGATAAACAATAATCTTACTTTCTCTGAAGAAGTCTATTAGGGAATCCAACTGAATTAGATGAACCGAATACACTGCCATTCATTGGTCCATTTCTTACTAGATATTTAGCTTCAGCTCCTGGAGCAGCTGATACCATCCTGTTCGCACCTAGGGCACCTAAATTAAGATCACCATTCGATCCATTCATGGTTGGTGATGGCGTTAAACTTTGATTGGGTGGTAAAAGGCCTATTGGCCCGGGTCCAGGTGATGCTCCAATAGTATTGCCAAAGTGACCATAAAATTGACCATTTTTACTGCTTAGATGTCGTGAAAACTGATTGCCATCCAAGCTTGTCGAGAAAATACCACCACTGATAGAATTGTCAGGACGTCTACTCTCAAATGATTCTCGTCTAGGTGAACTGTTCCCCAAATTGATACCAGACGCAAGAGAGGCTCCAATAGGCCCTAGAGCACTATTTCCATAGCCACCGTTCCCAATATTATGTGAAAGGTTTGGATTGTAACCAAAAGAATGATTACCATTAGCAAGATTAGAAGATGACACTAACGAATTGTCTGGATATCCTAGGCCTGAATTAGTTTCTGATGTATACAATGGATTATTATTAACATTAGAGGTGCTAGATGAAAAAAGTTGGCTTGGACCGGAATGATTACCAATACCGGTCTGACCTTGACCTGGCATCATCCTCATATTACTATTTGGGCCTTGATTATGAGCTGGACTGATCATCATTTGAGGTAGAAGACGCATTATTGTGTTCATACCTCGTGCAGTTCCAGCTGAACTACCCATTATTAGAGAGCCATTTTGATCATAATAGCCATGGGGTGTCATCATCTTATACTGTCCTTGAGGAGGAGGTGGGGGTGGAGGTGGAAGTCCAGTGCCGGCTGGGTTACCAGAATTATCACTTGGTCCTTGTGGTGTTAACGGCCTTTGTCCATTTCTTTGAGCCATTAATTGTTGTTGCTGTACATGGGGTGGAGGTGCTTGAGGATGCTGGCCTTGGCCACCTTGAATCATACCTGGATACATTCCCCAGGGTGGTAAGCCGTAATAAGGTGGCATCATGGTTGGTGGTGGTCCCGCAGGAATGAGATGTCCCATTTGAGCCGCGAATGGATCTTGGTAATAGGTGTTTTGAGGAAAGTGATTTGTCCCTGCTCCAGGTTGACCGGGCGGTGGAAGAGGCGGAGGTCCCATACCAGAAGATGGATGCTGTTGGAGGCCCTGGCTTTGTTGCTGAACCGCAGCAGCAGCCGCTGCGGCCATTGCTGTCGTATCTTTGTCATGGTTAGTTAAATTATCATGGTTAATTAGATTATTTTTGGTTTGAAGATAATTCTTGACTAATTTTCTATACGAGTATAAATCAGATTCATTATTATGGGCTATCAGTTGTTCTTGGAGCTCTTTTTCATAGTCAAGGGATAATACGAAGTCAATGATTTCTCCATCTTCATCATCATTCTGCAAAAAATAATAATATTTCACAAAAAACGTTCAATTCTATTCAGCTTGAAAAACTATGGAAGAGTGGAAATGTGTGACTCTATGTTTCACAGAAATTGGTTTTTCTCTTCAACTTACCAAGTTGTCTTTATCATTCACGTGGGACTTGATCGCAACCGATTTTTCGTAACCAGAAGCCATCGTGGTTGTCACAGTCAACTTACAATAATTAGATGATATTATATGTTATTCACAAAAATTAAATATAGTTGTCTACAATTTCTATAATTTACAATTTTGATTTTCTAGTACAAGATAGTTAGATACTCACATACATCTTGCAACAAATGAGACTTGAGTTCTAGAGACATCTACCGGCTGTCGCTTTATCTCAAAATTTTGAACCGCTAATTTTAATTTTACAACAACAATCAAAATTAAATGAATCAATTTAAATTAATCAATTACATCCTGCAAATGTCTCGAAGCAAATAGCCATTAAAATAATGCATTTAATCCAAGCTTTAAATTGTACTAGAATGCCAATAAATTAAAAAATATAGCTTCTAAAAATCTCTTATAGTATAAGAATCAAAATAGCAAAAAAAAACAGAGTTTCAATATTCAACAATAAAATTATCTAAACAATTAAGATATAGCAAATGGATCAATAAACTAAGTCAACTTATAATCCTTGAAAATGCAACTTTCACATAAAATTAAATTGAAAAACTGTTAAAATTGCAATAAAAACATCTAATTAAAAGCCATGAAGCAAATGAATGAATGAAAAAAACAAAAGAAAAAAATGAATGGGAAAAAACTTTCAATGGTAAGTTTGAAAAAAAACAATTTCAGGATAAAGACAAAAAAATATTTGAATTATTAATTTTAAATGATTTGGACAAAATTTAAAAGAAATAAAAAATGATGAATTGGGGGGTGATTGAGTTATAAAAATAGTGGTCAAGATTAATAAGTAAATAATGGTCAACATTGAAAAAAATCCTTTAGATATTGAATAGGGAAGCGAAAGAAAGAAGAAAAATGAAGAGTCTCAAGTAAAGGAGGAGGAGATAAGATGAAGTAAGACGCTGAAGAAGATAAAGAAGATGAAAATGCTATATCTTGCTTTTATCTTCGGGCACGCGACTAAAACTTTCCCACGCCAAGACTTTAGGAGATCATCTTAAAGTTAAAGAAGCTCATCATCTGTCTTCAGAAAACTTGTTATGAGGAACAGCTAACGTCTTCTTTCGTTACTTGCGCCTTTTTGAAGCGTGTGGACTTGCACTGCAAGTATATTGTGCGTAAGAATTTAAGGTAAAGAAGAAATGGGGGCCATAAGTGATCTCCCCTTCAAGGGAGACCACGTTCCAATGCATCAACTACATCAACTACGCACACTTTTCATCTTTTTTATCTTCTCTTTCTCTTCTTCTCTTCAAACCGTGGGAACTTGCTTGCCGTGGGAATCGTTTGGGAAAGACAAACTTTTGCAACGGAATTCATTCCCACGCTGCCTTAGCATAGCTTTACCTTAACATTCTTATGCACAATATACTTGCTCTTCTTATGTTCCTTTTACTTCTTTCTTGTTTCTCTTCTCCTTCGTCTTCTCCTTCTTCTTCTTTTTGCCTCATCTTGTGCTTCTGCTTCATCTTATGCTTCATCTTTACAATCACCACCACTATTATTATTATTATTATCATCATCTTCTTCTCCATTGGTATTAACAACAAACGGCCCTTGGACCAAAAAAAGCGAACGCTTTACCAATTTGAGTTTCACTTTAACTAAAGTCTCTCAACCAACAACATCACAACTTGCCTTATAACCAACAACCAATAATAACAACAACTTACAGTTATAACTTGAAACTTTTACATATTTCTTTTAAAACTTTTATATCCAACGTTTGCCTTAAATTATAATTGATATAATTTAACAATTTAATACATTTACTTTGTGTATTTCAATATTATTTCAACTTTATTTCATCTTTATTACAACCACACAACAACACAACAACTTCACCATGAAATTACCGATTGTTAAAGCTGATCCTCTATCCATTGAGATCCCTAAGAAACCTCCTGGTAAATCTGCCTCTGAACATCGAAGAGCTACTAAACCAATTATGGAAAAACGAAGACGAGCCAGAATTAATAACTCTCTGGAACAAATTAAAACTTTAATTCTCTTAGCCTTAAATAAAGACGTAAGTATCTTTTTAATGCAAAAACATTTTATTTTCCTATTTCTCTATGTTACATTTATGTAGACATTTCTACCACATTATTTACATTTAACTAATCAATTGTCTTTCTTTCTCTACTTTCATTTATAGCCAGCTAAACATTCAAAATTGGAAAAGGCTGATATTCTTGAGATGACTGTTGAATATCTTAAAAGTCACAATACTGTTCAACCTATTGACGAATCATCTGCAATTAAAAGTTATAAAGCTGGTTTTGACGAATGTGCCTCAGAAGTTCAAAGATTTGTTGAAATTGTGCCTGATATGGATTCAGCAATGAAGAAACGAATCAAATCTCGTCTCAGTAACTTCCCATCTTTAAATATCGTCAACATTAACAACCTCAATAAAAGCAACAACAACAATAACTTTGTATCATCAACCACCTCATCACTTTCATCCACTGGTCAATTATCACCTGCACTTAGTCCACTCAACATGAAATCCGAACCAATTGAACCTTTAACCGTTAATCGTGATGCTCTCACAACCATCTCATTCAACTTTAACAATTTAAATGAAAATACAAGTGAGCTCGGGTTAACACCTCCATCATCAGCAAATTCACAAGAAGTCTTCAGTTTTCCACCTCATCCTAATCAACATCATCATCAATATCATTTCAATAGAAATTATAATCTATCTCCTATTTCACCGCAATCATCCACCGATGATGGAATGGACTGCACTCCTGTAGATTGTTCAAAATCATCTAAATTAAATTTTGAAATTGTTTGGAGGCCTTGGTAAATTAAGTGTCTTACCAAATTGGATTATTCACCACCGGTGCCTTAAATAATCAGTTGTAGTTGATTGTTAATTCACAATTTGATACAACAACAACGACAACTTAAGTAAATAACAGTAAATTATCAATCCATCCAGATGATTGAATTATCAGAATCATCGTGACAACCAAAGTTAAATGCTTTACTGTATAATTTAAACGAAATGTAATATATATATAAATAATTCAAAATTATAAATGCAAATATATAAATTTATGTAATTGTTTTCCAAACCAAATGATGTTCAAATGATTATAACTCAAATGTTTATGATTAAAAAAAATTTTAATTCACCTAAACACTATGCATTCCAATTTTTGTTCAAGACTTCAATTTTTTTTAAATACTTTAAGTATCTGAGGATACATTAATGTCCATTTCACAGTTTAGCAATTTCAGTGAATCTAAATGAAATCAAAAGCTCGCATGATGATATGATAATGAAGAAAGTTAATTATCTATGAGGGTCAATTTTCTCAAGTAAAATTAATTATCGAACTTCAAATAACAGTCAGTCAACATTAAACAAGATTTCAAATTGATTGAAGATATCATCCGAATCACTTTATTGCTTCTCAGATGTTGAAAACGTTTATACGTTTTAAATGTTGTTATAAAATTTCAATAAATCTATGATTAAAAATAATATTTGATTCACCTGAATACAATGCCTGCCAATTTTTCATTACAATCACAATAAGCTAAGGTATTTACATTTAAATAATATATATTAATGGCACTTTACTATAACTATTTTTTTCTTCTTCTTCTTCATATAAACACATACATATACATAGTTATACATGTATTGTAATTTACAATGGTTAAGAGATTAACAAAAGGTGAATGCAACCAGCAACCTTTCACCAGCAACCTAAAGGTCAGTATTATTTTCCCATGACGAGTGTGCCACTGACACGTACCTTTTACCTCCACTTTTCAATCTTTCCTTGTCCTAGACAATGTGTACTTCGTGGTAGTAATATTAGTAGTAAATAGTAATGGAGAAGCCGTTTTAACCTGTGGGAAAAAAATTCAAAAGTAAATATGATGCTTCAATGATTCGCCCTTTTACCTTTTCATCTTACTTGCATTTTCTTACAAACCATCAGTAAGGAAGACGAAGATGATGAAGATGAAGATAAGGTAAGAAAAAAAACAGGCACAAGACACCTTAAAGGAATCAATGAGATTTGCTTTTCTCAAATAGAATCAAACATTTTTTTTCCTTTTTACGTCCATTGTCTTCTTTGGACTCGTGGACCAAACCCTTGTCAAGTCTTTAAGGTTTTTCTTCATTTTTTGTCCTCTTTTTTAGTCTCGAGCTTCTCTCCTTTTTGTCCTCTTGTATTCACTTTTAGATTTGTTGAAACGTTATTTTGTTGTTGTTCCTGTTGTTCTTGTGACCATTGATAAATACAGAACCAATGACAATGATGATGATAAACTCTGTAAATATACAAGAAAGGTGTGTTAGTCAGGTTTATCTTTTGAATACTTGGTTGTAGGAATAAAAAAACTAAAAGTTTTTGATGTTATTTTATCAATGAATATGTCTTTTTAGTAATGGTTTAATTTGAATTGTGAATGCATGATATTTGGTTGATGGTGTTGTTTTGAAAATGATTTTAGCGTGCTTACACCTTTTCAGATTGTTGAAGCTCACGCACATTTTAAAATTACTTTCAATGTTGATAAAAAAATTTTCATTCTACTTGTTTACTCTGTTGTATCATCATCAAAATCACCATCACCATCACCATCATTATCATTATCGTGAATACAATAACGAAACCAAATACCATGATTTGAAAATCTTGATTGTTGCCTGTTACAACTGCTTCATGCAAACGCCCTTGTATATTGTTTTCCCTTCAAACAATCAGCCTTTTCTCCGTTTAAAAATTATAATAGAAATTTACTTTCAAGCTGTTTGAAATAATTAACTGCTCAAACAGAAGAAAATAATGTCAATATCTTGAGATTTGGCTTATCCTTAGAAATCTGAAAACAAAATTAAAAGAAAATGAAAACAGTATCAAACTATAGTTAAACTTGTTTCATTGTAACACTGACTTTTTTACTTACCACTTGACGAACTTTAATTGTTGAAATTAAGCACCAAGTAAAAGGCAGAAACAAAAATACAGAATGAGATAGCAAAGGAAGCAGAGAATCAAACGAATAGGGCTTACATAACGTTACACAATGAAATTTACTTTTTTGTAGAAAAATTTCACTTATTTCAGCACTTAAAACTAGAAACACAATTAAATGCAGGAACTAAATTATAAATAAAATAATTTTGATTGATTGATTGCACAAATTGATTGGAAAATTAATTAATAAAAATAACATTGCCTTTACCGGTTTAAAACGTCTCGATTTTAGATAAGTTGTCGATGTAAACAAACCCAAAGGGATAATTTGCTAATTAAAAGTTGCATTTAAAATTAATGCATAAAATGATTTGACGTCAAAATCTTAGATTTTTAAAGTTTCACTGAATTCGGATAACTTCAAAACAGATTTCATCTTTTAGCAATAATATTAAGTGAGTAACAAATTATTTATTCATAAGAATTTTTTTTCCTGATTGCTCCACCATCTAGAAACTGATGTGACCGTAGCACTATTAGTTGGCATTAGTTAGATGACCTTATCTCTATAACACGCGATCCATGTCTTGAAAAATGATTTCCTTATGTAAAGAATCAACTAACTTATGTAAGAATTATATTTACAGAAAATTTCAGAGCTTCTTCATAACCGTTTCGTTAAAAACCATCAAAAATTGTTTCAACTTTGAAGCACAATTGCACTGAACGGCATATGCTACTGAGCTTTCGATAAGACCTAACATGGCCTTTAAATGTCCTTCTCTCATAACTGACGAGAGTCGATTTTTCACTCAACCCTGTCATATGTTTATAATGATTATTACTGTCATAATTTGCTATCAAATTTGAAGTATCATTCCCTATTCGATAGAATTGCTTTTCACTTTTAATTGCTATTTGCTTAAATGTGTTCCGTTAACTGTAAGAATATATTTTTTCTCGGATTTATTACTTTTTTATCTGACTGAGTGCTCGTGAGTGTCCACAGTTCATCTGAACTCTGAACTCATTGACCAAGAAAATTTTATGTTAAAGTCTCGCTGTGAAATAATTTTCCTGTTATGCTTTCTAAAACCAATGAAACTTTGTACTAACTTTGTAAGAAAATCCAGACTCAATTTGTTTCAATAGAAACTGTTTCGTCTAGTTCATTTTTCTCATTAAGATCTTCCATTGTAATTAATTTTCTTCGTTGATTCAATCATTGATTATGTTCACGTCAATATCAATGAGCTTTGGTTTATTTCCTGAATTTTGGCTATTTATCATTCATTTCTTAAAACTCTTTAAATTGAATTATAAGTTGCTATTTTATTTTAATAAACTGAATCTTTTTCTCACAAACTTAATCAGATAACTTTGTTATATTTACTTCTCGTTGTCATTATTGATTTAAAAATAGATACACAAGCGAAGTGTTAAACTAAAAAAAGATGGTTTCAAGTGGGAAAAGATTGCTTTCTTGACCACTAGCCAAAACCCTTTAAGAAGGCGCGCAAAAAATGGAGCGATCTTTTTGAGAAAGAAAGTAACTTTTACAATATCAGACTTTCAAGCTTTTTTGATGAAAAATATTTGAAAAAATGCTTAAAAAGTCTAAAAATTTGTTTAAATTGAGTAAAGCCTTTTGTAGATCTGATTTTTGTCAAAAATTTGATCAAATAACTTTGACCTTTTGTATCAAATGAGACCATGTCTCTGACAGTAAAAGCAAATATGAAAGCAACATGTTTCCAATCATCCAACTTGCCTTAAGAAAGGCACGCGTTTTTTCCCACGCTAAGGTCAGCTCTCAGTGTCTTAACTGGAAGATAAGGAGTTGACCTTAACAGAAACAGCTTCTTCACCAATGGCCCAACAATATGCTCTAAAACCAGTAACTCTAACGTTTCTATACTTTGGGTTAGTCTGCAACTTGTATGCCTTTGACTCGGGCATTTACATACAAATTGATCAGCTATATCAACAATTAACGAACATTTCGTCAGTTTTGTTTTTTTCTTAATCTAGTTTGAACATTTGTTATTAAATCAACTCTTCACATAAATACCTGGATATACATGAGATGATAAATGAAAGACATCATTCAATGACAATGAATCAAATGAACAACCTTTGATTGACATGAAAGATATTGATTCTGTTTTATACAATCAGTTGATTAAATATAAAAGTTGGATAATTTATAAATAACAATTTGTAAAGTCCTTGAGCTTTTAGAAGTGGAAAAATTCAAATTTATTAACGGAAAGGAAGACATTAATCTATCAAAGGTAATCCAACGGATAAACAAGTGAATAGACTGTTTAATTAGAGTTGATTTAAACGGTTAAAATGATTGAACAAAGTAAAATAATAATGATGATGTTAATTGTTAGGACAACAGGAAACAGGTAAAAAAAGGCAAATGAATCTAAATAAATATGTAGACAAGAGAAAAGCAAAGATTATTATAATGGCGGCAATTAATGAAAAAGTCCATCAGTTTCTTTTCTTCTCTTCTTTTTCAATTAATGAATGAGAAGAAGATAATGATAATGTTGATAAAATCAAAGATTATTCCAATAAAAATTGAGTTCCAAGTCACAATAGAGTGAAAATTATGAACGCAAATCTGTCAACAGGAAACATTGGAAAAAACAAGTCAAGGTTAGAAAACAAGACAATTATTAGCATAATAAAATGAAATGCTATTAAATTATTGTGGATGCAAGATCATTTTGATTTGTGAATGGCGTTAAATCCTAAATTAGATAATTCATTTGTGTAACAATAATACAAAAAAATAAAATGCTAAAACCTGGAGATTTATTTTGTTTGTTTCAAGCTTGAGGAGTAACTCATTTCCGGAGCAATTCAGCATTCCAACGGCTCAAACATTGATTTAAAAGCCATGTTCGTAAATTTTGGCTCACAAAAAAACAACTTTGTTACACTTGATGAGAAGAGGGTGATGACGATAATGATGATGATGATGATGATGATGGTTAATCATTTAAGGAGGGTCAAGCTCTTGTGACTTGTTTCATTCACAATAAACACTCAAACTGTTTTTTTCTGGTTAACAAAAACATCTCTGGGAAAGTTATCACCGTTTCAGTTAAATTGTAGTTTGCATGAGTAAATCTTCGTTTAACTTGTCTCATTGCTTCTCTCGTTATTGTTATCGCTATTATTATCATTATTATTATTATGGTTATTATTATAATCATGCCACAAGTTGCCATCTTCAGTAAAGGTTTTTACATTGATGGAAAAAATTGGTGAATCAGTTAATCATTAGTTGATAAATTGTTCCTCCAATTGAAAATGTCATCCCAGAGTTGAATTTTTAAAGATGTCAATGATTGAAATAAAGGAGATTAGGGGGTTGAACTTTAAAGAACAAAGCAATTTAAATCATCATTAGAGTTATGGTTATTGTCATCGGTAAATTTTTATTGACTTCTAAACGGTTTATTAGCTTGGATTATTATATATATATTTTATATCTACAAATTTAGTTTAAAATTTGAAGGGACCAGAATCACCAAGTCTATCTTCCAACAATGATTTTGGATAACCGATAAGGACTGGTACAGCAAATCTGATTTCTGCAGTTTTCACCCATTTTTTGGTAGGAGCAAGACCCTCTTCATCTGGCGGTATTCCTAAATGCTCATCAGATAAAACGGCCATATCAGGAGTTGGATAATGTTTGGCATAAAGTTCGTGTCCTTCATAGTAGAAATGATACATAAGCCAGGCCCAGACAAAAGCGCTTAGTGCAATAGTGTAAAATTTGTTTTCCTTTCCTTCATCCCACAATCTATTCCATCTAGGATCACGGTATACAGTAGATCTGTTTTGAAGAAAAAAAACACAAGTATTAACAAAATGATTAAGATTAGAGTCCAAGAAATTAAATAGCAAAGGTCTCATAGAAATACTTACTCATGCTCAAATTCATTCTGCCACCAAATATCATGACGAACAACCGGATTTATTCTTCTAGTTTGACCATCATAGTCCTCCATAATACGCTCATGATGACCACCAGAATATCTTCTAACTGCCGATAACAAAGAAAAAGTACGTGGTATCCGTCGTAATAACATATTATAATTGATAATAATCAACAAAAATTGAAAACACTTCTCAAAAACAATATTTTACTGCTCAGATCATATGATTGAAGCTTTTAGGTTGAAACTCTAGGTAACTCCATCTAGCGATACAATGAGAAAGAGAAGATTTATCCTTGAGAAAGGGAGGCAGAGTGAGAGAAAGGCAGAAATTGTTGTTACAATTTGCACAAAACGTAAACAAGCTCTCCTGGATTGATTGTTTAATATTTAAGATTTTTAACTCTTGATGGGAATGGTTTCAACATGGCCCATTTTTTTCGAGGAATTTCACGATATTTGTCTGGTAAGAATGTATTCAATTTCATTATTAATTAACTTTAACCCAAATTAAAACTCTTTTCCTTGTTCTAACCATCTTTTGCCTTTGCCATTTACCTCTAGTTTATTAGTGTGAGTCGATTATTTTTCTCTTATTTTACCTGTTGTCTGATGCAATTTGTTTTCTCAACTTCAATTTTATTCTAATTAACTTGATTCTTATTTTTATGGACACAATTTTGATTCCTTTGACCTTGATTATTCACTCACAAATACAATCTGTTTTTAAAATATAAAAACAACATTTTTTATTGGCTAGAAATGAAACCTTATGTCAAAAGCTGACCTAACCTTTACCATTGGGAGTTTACCTTAAAATAAGGAGAAAAATTTCCTCTTACATTCATTGATTCTGTTTCTTAATCCTGTTTCTTTCTTTTCATTCAATAAGCTTACTTCAGGTTCATTTGTACCTTTAGTATTAACTCGATTATGTTTACATCATTTCATGTTAATTAGTCTGAATTTTGTTTACCCAGAAAAACAACCAAAGTTGTTTTTCACTTTTGTCAATTATTACTGTCATCAGATGGAGCTACCGCCAAGTCTTTCCCCAGCTAGTCGATTCGTGTGCTAGTTAAGTTGTTTATTAAATTTGGAAGCTTTTATTGTTTAACTAAATTGCGCACCCAACCTACAATCAAGGTTAAATTGTTTACAATGCTATTTTTCCCTGTAACTATTTCTAATATTTACACAATATCTTGTCATTTTCCGTTAATCATTTTTCTTGTTTTTATCTCGATTTTTTCCAGGTATCTTCCACAAGAAATTTTCTGACGAAGTTGACTTTTCATCAGAAAGACGGGAATCTACCAATAGAAATGGTAACAGCATACGGAATAATCGAACGTTGAATGAAGATTCATCTATTGTAAATGAGGGTGTTGTGGATTTTATATCTGTCGATCCTTCTATGATTGACATTAAATTGAAATGGGAAAAATGCCGTCTAAGTTTAATTTCAACATCAGCTGGTTATAATCTACAATTTTACAGTCCACCTAAATCAGTTAAACCAAAATGTGAACTTTTATGTTCATCTATTATTGAAGCAAGGGAAACAACAGTACTTGAGATGCCTGATCAAGATTACACTTTTGTTCTTAAAGCTGAATCTGGTCTGGAATATGTTATCGAGGCTTCCAGTGCATCCGAACTAAAAGATTGGTTAAATATCATTCACGCCTGTATGCAATGTAATAATTCAGAAAATATTGATTTGAATAATATTGAACTTTCAGAAACGAACATTCGCAACGGATCTCTTCATCGACGTCGTTTAAACTCTGTGTCTAATACTAATAATGAAAACAACACCAATGGTCATGCCTCATCCCCAAACGCATCCCAACCCGGAACACCGTTAACTGGTGGTAATGATATTTCATTATTTCTCTCTCAATATCCATGGTATCATGGACTGCTTACACGGACTGATGCTGCTGAGTACGTTTTGAGAGAAGGTTCACTTGGACATGGTATTTTCCTTGTGCGTCAAAGTGAAACTCGCAAAGGAGAATACGTTTTAACCTTTAACTTCCATGGTCGAGCAAAGCACTTGCGACTTACAATTAACGGTGAAGGACAATGTCGTGTTCAGCATTTATGGTTTCGCAATGTGTTTGATATGTTAGACCATTTTCGTGTTCACTCAATACCTCTAGAACTTGGAGGAACCGCTGATGTTACTCTAACCGATTTTGTTATTTATCAACCATATTCACCTCCTAGCTCAACGCACGATTCAACCAATCTTACCGACCTACATAATCATCATCATATTAATCATCAAAATTCTTCTCATCCTCATCAACCATCTCAGTCACATAATATTACAAATAATTCAAATCCGTTGCAGCAACAAAGCCGATCATCTACGCCAAACAGCAACTTTGAACCATCATCTTCCTCACCAGATTCTCGACATAATTATTTAAGAGAAAGAGTTCCATCTATACCTGAGATCCAAGAAGTAATCACATATGGTGGATCAGTTCGACTACGGACAGTATCGCTAGAGAATCTTAATCAACTACAATCACAGCATTTAGCAAGTGTTAATGGAACAACTCGAGCTATTGATAATACTTATTCCTTTATTTAAAATCTATAATTGTGTACCCTACACCTTATTAATTTTTTCACTCTCTTTCTCTCTTCTCTCTCTTTCGCTGTCTTTTCTGATTGTTAATCAGTATTGCACCAACATGCAAATTATTTGGTGGTTTGGAGTATAAGGGTGACTTCGTTTTGATACCCGACTGTATTATAAATTTAATCAAATCTTGCAACACGTTTTTTGATGTGACACAAATCAAGATCGCATTCTAGTCCCTAACTTTCCTTAATTTCCTTTTCTGTTCCCTTCTCTATCTCTTTTAATCACTAACTCATTCAGTTTTCTTTTCTCTCTAATTTTAAATTAGCTAATAAAAACATAAAAGTTGTTGAACGAAATTTTAAACTTCAAGCGATTTCAATTTTTTAAAGACCGAAAAAAATCACGACTTGAAGTATGATTGTCATAATAATCAAGTGACACAAGTGATTAAGTTAATAAAATATATTCTTATATTTTAATATTGAATCACAAAAATTGTGATACTGTGAACTGTACAATAAATTTACAAAAAAAATGAACAAGTGAGATAATATGACAAGAGTAGTGACAAGAAAACTTCAACAATAATAGTTAATAAGGCACAGGTGGTGAATAATCCAATTTGGTTGACACTGAATTACCAAGGCCTCCAAACATCTTCTGAATTAAGTTTGAATGATTTAGAGAAATCAACAGGAGTGCAATCCATTCCATCATCAGAAGGAGGAATAGGTGAAAATCTGAATAATTTGTGGTCATTTGCTGAGGGTGGAGGTGTTAACCCGAGCTCACTTGTATTTTCATTTAAATTGTTAAAGTTGAATGAGATGGTTGTGAGAGCATCACGATTAACGGTTAAAGGTTCAATTGGTTCGGATTTCATGTTGAGTGGACTAAGTGCAGGTGATAATTGACCAGTGGATGAAAGTGATGAGGTGGTTGATGATACAAAGTTATTGTTGTTGTTGCTTTTATTGAGGTTGTTAATGTTGACGATATTTAAAGATGGGAAGTTACTGAGACGAGATTTGATTCGTTTCTTCATTGCTGAATCCATATCAGGCACAATTTCAACAAATCTTTGAACTTCTGAGGCACATTCGTCAAAACCAGCTTTATAACTTTTAATTGCAGATGATTCGTCAATAGGTTGAACAGTATTGTGACTTTTAAGATATTCAACAGTCATCTCAAGAATATCAGCCTTTTCCAATTTTGAATGTTTAGCTGGCTATAAATGAAAGTAGAGAAAGAAAGACAATTGATTAGTTAAATGTAAATAATGTGGTAAAAATGTCTACGTAATGTAACATAGAGAAATAGGAAAATAAAATGTTATTGCATTAAAAAGATACTTACGTCTTTATTTAAGGCTAAGAGAATTAAAGTTTTAATTTGTTCCAGAGAGTTATTAATTCTGGCTCGTCTTCGTTTTTCCATAATTGGTTTAGTAGCTCTTCGGTGTTCAGAGGCAGATTTACCAGGAGGCTTTTTAGGGATCTCAATGGATAGAGGATCTGCTTTAACAATTGGTAATTTCATGGTGAAGTTTTTGTGTTGTTGTTGTGTGGTTGTAATAAAGATGAAATAAAGTTGAAATAATATTGAAATACACAAAGTAAATGTATTAAATTGTTAAATTATATCAATTATAATTTAAGGCAAACGTTGGATATAAAAGTTTTAAAAGAAATATGTAAAAGTTTCAAGTTATAACTGTAAGTTGTTGTTATTATTGGTTGTTGGTTATAAGGCAAGTTGTGATGTTGTTGGTTGAGAGACTTTAGTTAAAGTGAAACTCAAATTGGTAAAGCGTTCGCTTTTTTTGGTCCAAGGGCCGTTTGTTGTTAATACCAATGGAGAAGAAGATGATGATAATAATAATAATAATAGTGGTGGTGATTGTAAAGATGAAGCATAAGATGAAGCAGAAGCACAAGATGAGGCAAAAAGAAGGAGAAAGAGGAGTAAACAGTAAAGAAAAGAAAAAGAAGAAGAAAGAAGAGTATAAGATGAACAGTGTAAAGGTATTCTCTCTTTAAGAAACTATCGTGGGAATGAATTCCGTTGCATTTACAACTTAAGCTATTAAGGCTAGTTGTAGAGTCGTTCCCACGCTCCGTCTTGTATTGGTATGTGCAGAGCAGGCCAAAGTCAACTTTATAAGCTTGGCAACCTTCATTTGGGTAGTTTTCAGGCCGTTCAAGACTTTGGTTTCCCACGGTTAAAAGAAAGAGAAGAGAGAGAAAAAGAAAGAGAAATGCACTGGAACGAGCCGAGCTTAGTTCTTTACCTTGTTACTCTCTTAAACCACACGTCAGGCGCATACACAACAAGTTTTCAAGTTTCTTAAATGTTTCTTGGGGAGCATCTGCTTTCTTGCCGTGAGAAAGTGGTCGCGTGGACACAAGATTAAAAAGGTCTTTTCTTGTCTTTTTTCATTCTTCATCGTCTTACTTCTTTCTATTCAAATCATCTTTCTTCTTTCGCCTACTCCTTCTTTATTCCCTCTCCCTAACCTAACGTTAGAGACACAATGGGACGCAATCTTCCAAATATCTTTCTGGTTTCATTTTTTATCACTCTTGATGTGTACCAGCAAAACAATGTAGCTAGAAACTTTAGTATTAAGAGTTGAGATTTGTTAGAGGCATGAAGTTTATTCGTGTAATGCAAAAAGTTTTATGATCATCAGTTTTTCATAAAGGAGTAAATGAATCTTCCTTAGAGTTACAGTTTGTAAAGTTATGGACTCTGATTTTTAGGGTTTGTAGGAGTATCTAAACTGAGTCCATTTGAGTAATTGAAATTTTTTTACGATCAGTAGTTTTCGATAAAATCGAGTTCAAAGTTGAAACATCGATTGCCTTTTATTCAATTATGGAAGCAGATTTTTTGATATAACTCATTTTTCTCACGTATTTTTTGATGACCAACCAGAAAATGCAATTACTTTGAAAAATAATTTTTTCTTTTTTACGTAAAACACATAAGTTCGATTTTTAGCTAAACCGGCCACATTCTATGACCGTAAGATTTAGAGATCTGAAACTTATTATTTGTTGATAAAAATTGTAGGCACACATCGACGATAAAACACTTTCTTCAATTCATGGATAGTTCTCTTGATTTTGACCATTGGTCTCAGAACTTTTTGCCTCAATATTTCGTGAATGGCATTTCCTACAATCATCATTCTTTCACCAATTTAGTCCTTTACTAATTCATAAACCAATACAATTCAATAAATTTCCATAAGCTCATTTAGGTTATCATACTTGGACTTTAAATGTACGAGCAACAACTTATTCAACCAACTAAACTCATCTTAACTCATATCTTGCTGTATAAACCAATTTTCTGGTTAAACTTGCCAAAGAAATGCAAAGATTGATGCCAAAGACTCGAGCAATTGAATTAAAAGTTAAGACTTTGGTGGGATTTGTAGGGAAGTTGAAACTGATCCCATTTGTACAATTCAAGAATTCATCCGATGGACAGTTTTCAAGAAAATCGAGGCCAAAGTTAAAGCTTCCATCGCCTTTTTTTCAGCTATGGAAGAAGATTTTTTCATAAGTCTTATTTTATATCATGTATCTTTTGATGACCAACCATTTTATGGTCTTATTTTAAGAAATAAAATTTTCTGCCTCTTTAAAACGGATAAACTTCAACTTTCGAATAAACCGACTGCGTTCTGTGACCATAAGAGCCAGAGAGCTAAACTTATCATTCTTTGATAATATTTGTTGGCGCATCTGAGTAACCGAATTCTTTTTTCAATTTAGTAACAGTTCTCTTGATTTTGACCATTGAATCGAAAACTTTGATCAATAAGTTTTCGAGAATGGCATCACCTACAATCATTATTCTTTGCCTAAACATTAGATTTCATTATGGGCTATAATATAGTGAAATTTAAGATCATTAAAGATTCTACAGAAAAAGCAATAGCATTTTATTACTTATGCTGTCAGCTTTGATACTTGATTTATAAAAGTAAATGTTTATGCAAACCAAATGTTATGCTTTAATATTAGAACGAAGGATATTCATTATTAAATAAATAAGCTCAGATTTTACTTGATATTCAATCATATCATGTTATAGCCGATGCAAAAATCTAATATTTAGTCAAAGAATGATGATTGCAGGTGATACCATTCACGAAATATCGAGGCCTAAAGTTTTCGATTCACTGGCCAAAATCAAGAGAAATGTCGATGCGTTGAAAAAAGGGTTCTATCGTCGATGTGTGGCAACAAATTTTATCAACAAATGATAAGTTTAAGCCCTCTAACTCTTACCGTCACTGAATGCGATCGGTTTAACTGGCAATCGAATTTATCTATTTGTTCAGAAACAGAAAACTTTGTTTCTCAAAGTAAGTGCATTTTCTGGTTGATGATCAAAAGTGACATCAGCAAAGTGATTTTCATGAAGAAATCTACTTTCATAATTGAATAAAAGGCGATCGAAGGTTCAACTTTGGACTCGATTTTCCCGAAAACTATTGATCTAAGAGATTTTTCAAAAGCACTAATGGACTCAGTTTTTACTACAAACAACTACAAACCATTATAAAATCTGAGCTATTTCATTTAATAATGAAGTTCCTGCTTACAAATAAGCTTTTGGTTAGCTTTGTGAATCAAGTCTCAAAACTTACAACATAAGCAATACAATAATGTAAAATGCTATAACTTTTTCTGTAGAATCTTGAATAAATTAAAACTTCTATATATCATAGCCCTTAATGAAATCTAATGTTTGACCAATGAATGATGAATGCAAGGGACACCATTCCTGAAATATTAAGGCTCAAAGTTTTTCAGGTCAATGGCCAAAATCAAAAGAAATGTTGGTAAATTAAAAAAAGTGTTCGGTCATTGATGTGTAGCAGCAATTTTTTATTGACACCTAATAAGATTAACTCTCTAACACTAACGGTCACAGAACGCGGTCGGTTTATTTGTAAATTAAAGTTTATCTGTTTTACAGAAACAGAAATTGTTTTTTCATTGAACAAGGCCATTTTCTGGTTGCTAATCAAAATTAACATCATTAAAATAAGACTTATGAAAAAATCTTCCTCCATAGCTGAAAAAAAGGCGATCGAAGTTTTAACTTTGACCTCGATTTTCTAGAAAAATGTCCATCAGATGAATTATCTAATAGCACCAATGGATTCAATTTTTATTTCCCTACAAATACCACTGAGTCTCAACTTTTTACTCAAATGTTTGAGCATTTGGCAGCCCTTTTTGCAATTCATTTGTAAGTTTAACCAGAAAGTTGGTTATTTTAGCAAGATATTGGTTATTATGAGCTTAGTTTGTTGAATATTACTTGTTTAGGTATTACTCGTCCATTTACAGCACAAATATCATGATCCAAATGTGCTAATAGAAATTTTTAAGTTGAATTAAGTTATTAATTAGTAGAAGATTGAATTTATAAAAGAATGATGATTGTAGCTGATGCCATTCTCAAAATATCGAGGCAGAAAGTTTCATGCTCAATGGTCAAAACTAAGATAACTATTGTTAAGTTCTTAAATGCAATCAATCCATTACGTGAGCTAACAAATTTTATGGACAAATAAAAAGTTTCAGCTCTCTAACTCTTACGGCCATTGCTTTCGATCGGTTTAACTGTCAATCGAAGTTATCTATTTGTTCAGAGACAGAAAACGTTATTTCTCTAAACAAGACCATTTTATGATTTTTCATTAAAAGATACATTAGTTAAATAAATTTTGTGAAAAAATCTGCCTCCATAGCTGAAGAAAAGGCGATCGAAGTCCCAACTTTGACCTCAATTTTCTAGAAAACTGTCCATCAGATGAATTCTTGAATAGTATCAATGGGATCAGTTTTAATATCCTTACAAATGCGCCAAGTCTCAACTTTTAATTCAATTGCTTGAGTCTTTGGCATCAATCTTTGCATTTCTCTGGAAAGTTTAACCAGAAAATTGGTTTATTTAGCAAGATATGAGCTAAGATGAGTTTATTTGGTTTCATAAGTTGTTTCTCGTACATTTAAAGCCCAAATCTCATAACCTAGGTGAACTAATGGAAAGTTATTGAATTGTATTGAATTTTTAATTAGTAAAGGACTGAATTGGTGAAAGAATGATGCTTGTAGGAAATGCCATTCTGGAAATATTGAGGTTAAAAGTTTTGAGACCAATGGCCAAAATCAAGGTAACTGTCCATAAATTGAAGACGGTGTTTTATCGTCAATGTGTGCCAACAAATTTCATCAACAAATAATAAGTTTCAGCTCTCAAAATCTTATGGTCATAGAATGTGGTCGGTTTAACTAAAATTCGAACTTATCAATTTTGCGTAAAAAAGAAAATTTTTTTGCTCAAAGTAATTTGATTTTTTGGTTTGTCATCAAAAAATACATGAGTTAAATGAATTTCATGGTAAAATCTGCTTCCATAATTATGCGAAAAGCTTTGCAAGTTTGAGCTTCGAACTCGATTTTCTCGAAAACTATTCATCTCGAAGTCTTTAAATCGCACAAAGGGACTTATTTTCAGGCCCCTACAACCCAACAGAGTCTAAATCCGAAAGAAATTAATTTCCACCTGTTTTTTACCTATTTTGGTCAATTTGTGTCAACTTATGTCACAGTTTGTTTTGTTGAACCAGAAAAGTTGATAAAAGGAACAAAAGAGGGCAACAGTGAAAAATGCAACCAAAAAGTAACTGTAGTCGCCTTATCCTGAACCCAATAGAGAAACAGTTTTACTATTTATTTAAACTGCTGTATTTATTTGCTGTAAATCATGATAATTTGTAAGATATCATGCAACTAATAAAATAACTAGATAAAATGCACCTAATAGGCCGTCCTACTCTAAACCCAATAAAGTAACAATAAAATACCAGAATTTGAGGTCAACATAATCAAGGCTGATTCATAGACAACTTTGAGTATAACAACCTTTTTGTTACCCTTATGACCCTTACCTTGACTAGACAACTAGCAGAGGCTAAAGCTTTAAACTAACCTTTTACCAGTAATATTAATAAAATGCAATATTGAAAAAGAAAGATGAAAATTTCTGTTAATTTAATTTTTACAATCAAGTCAATTGTGATACCAATGAATCAAATGAAGCCAGACCAATAGTAATACCAGACAAACCAGGAAAAGGCAAGGAAACAATGTTTCTAATACAAAAGATTGGATAAAAAGTAAGTAAATAACCGAAAAAAGGTTTAAATGAATGGCGAGAGGAAGAAAACAAAACAAAAAACGTGGAGATGAAACAGATGACAATGAGTGGAGATGATTTAAGAAGAGGTCGTTTCACAGTTTTCTGGTTAAACTCTGGTTGGGATGAACTTGGTTAGGCCTACAAATGATGTAAACCTACGTCAAGCTATTGGTGAAACTGAAAGGGGTGTTGGTGTTGCAGCGAAGTAGTATTGCAGGAGTCAAATCAAAGGAGTCTTTTGGATGAAAAGAAAGAGATGATGAAAGGTTTTTTTTTGAAAGACTGTTTAAATGTATTTCAATGCTGTATGTGTTTCAAGGAAGAGAGAGAAAGAAGAGGGAAGCAAAAGAAAGAGAGGAAAGTAAGAGAAACACACTGATGATGAGAGAAAGCCTTCTAAATGGCATCTTCAATCCAATATAATATCATACCTCTTAATAAAAATCAAATTACACTTGTTTAATTGTTATTAACCTTCCCTTAAACCAGCAAATACAAAACACACCAAAAAAAAGGGAAAAAAGGTTCCACTTTTTTCCCTTTTTTTCATCTTTTTAACACATTCAATTGTTGAAAAAGCTTTCTCTTTCCTCCCTTCATCATCTTCATCTTCATCTTTATCATTCTTAATCCTTTATTTTTTGTTGTTATTTTCATCTTCTGTCTCATCTTCATCATCAACACTGTAATCGTCAATGGACATCATCATGTGTATGTATATCTAAATCAGTGCGACACAACAACAACCCAATAATAGTGTTTGACAGCAAGAAAAAAACAACAACAACAACAATAATAACACCAATAACAATAATCTAATAATAATAATCATTGTAACAATAATAATAAGAATAATAATAATACAAATTGTCTTAATAGTGATAATCAACAGTAATAATAACTAATCATCAAGATCACTGCTGGTTTTGTTTAATAGCAACATAATTGATAAATTTTGTGTTCAAATTTTCATCGCAACCTTTGCTGGATTTAAATCATAAGACATACATTAGTATCTGGAAAGCCTTTTGGCTTATTTGTGCTCTTTTACTGTGTGTGTGCTTCTGCTTTGAATGGTTGCTTGTAGTGTTACACCTTCAAATATACTTGAAATTAAATTTGTTTACTTTCAATTAATCATCTAACCAACTAATTTATTGTGAAGGATAAATCCATCCAATTAAGGTTTAAATCAAAATGACTCGAGATAGATTAGCAGCTTTAAAAGCGGTAAGTTTCTGGTTAAAATGAAATCCAGTCCAACCTATTTACCAGAGTAGACATGATAACCAAATTCAAAGTCCACTGCTTCAACCTAATCTAGATATTATTTAGATCAACCCATAGCCTTAAACCATAGATTAAATAATCAGCCTCAAACCAAAACCTAAAACTGGAACCCAAAAGTGAACCCAAAACTAAACCTTAACCATTAACTAAACCCAAAGGCCCAACCCAATGTCACATCATAACCTAAACCTAAAAGGCTATAAAATTGCTTAACCCTGTACAAATCGTATCTCGCCAATTTCAGTCAATATGAAACCAGAAATTATTCTGGTTCAAACAATGTTTGATATTCAGTAGATATTTAAATAACCAATTAGTTTACCCAGCAATGAGAATCTCTTTGAATTTGCTTTTAATTTCCCTGTCGATCACTGCAAATCCAAATTTACTAAATCATCTTTTTTATATTTTTATTAATGTTTCTCATTTTTTTATGTTCCTTCTTCCACCCACCTTGTCTCTGGATAACACTATTGGATCATTGGATCAATCTTGCAGGCTGCTGAAGATGAGGATGAATTTGAAGTTGAAATGCCTAATAGTGATGTTAAAAATGAATTTTTCCAACAAGTGGAAGAAATTATGGAAATGGTGGAAAAAATGAAAACGGACGTTGAAGAGGTCAAAAGGACGCAGAGTGCGATATTATCATCACCAGGAAATGATGAAAGTAAGAGTTTTACAATGTGGCTATAATCGTTAATATTAATCATTATCATCATCAAACATGATTAAACATTTAGGAATGTTTACATTTTTTTGCACAATCCAAACAAATGTCTAAATATATCTATTAATATTAGCTAATGTTGTAACTGCTTCAAAATTATTCAATTATAATCAGCTAGACTCTAATTTATCAATCATTAGCTAATGAAAATTTTCACTAATAATCAACAAGAAAGCTTAATGAACATCATGATCATTACCATCACCATCGACAGCAAATATCAACATGGTTTACTGGAAAAACTTAATTTATTCATGATGCACACTTTAAGTTTATCATTATTTACAATCAACATAATCACCAACATTGTTTAACCAATGGATTAATCAGTGAGACCAAATCAATTAAATCTCAACTGGCTTGAAATGAATACAATGTTCACAAATTTACAACAAGAAAGTGGACAAAAAATGGCAAAAAGGACCCAAAAAATTGGTTCAATAAAAATGGAACCAGAAAATATCTTTCATAACCTTTGATCACTTTTCACTCCCAGTTGATTCTTATAGTTGATGGACAAGGATTGAAGGTTAACCAAGCATTAGATAATGATTATGAGTGAAGTTTCCGTGAAAAAAACACTGATATTTTTAGATAATATATTTATATATAATAATGATGAAAAAGCTGAAAGAAAGAAGAAAATGAAAGGTTATCCTGAAATCGATCATCATCATCATCATAATCATCATCATGATAAGGTTTCTTCCTGTATAATGGCTTCCCTTAAAATATTAAACTCTAAATAATATGATAAAATAGGTAACACAATTTTGTTGCCAAATTTTTTACTCACAATGGTTACAGGGTGAACCAGTTTTACCAGATTATTTAGACCTCAATATTTCATTGGAATCAATGATGAACATATTTTCATTTTAACTTCAACCTTTCCTGATAATCATGATTATTTCATCATTATTGTTACATTTTAGTTTCTCGTATTTCTTGATTGTACACTTTTCCAATCTCCGTTGGCTTTTTTCTTCTTGTTCATAGCTACTGGTCTGAGATTTACAATTATCAATTGATTCCTCTATTTATAACATCAATAAATCGATTCTGTATATAACTGTTATAATATTCAATCAGATTCTGTTTTCACATTTTCTTGTTTCTCCTGCTTTTTTGTATGAGTGTGTGTGTGTGTCGTTTCCTTCTGTCTGTGTCTCTTTAGTTTCCACTCTTTCTCTTTATCCAGTTTATCTTCCCTGAAAATGAAATCAGAATTAGATGATGATAATTTAATGCTAATAACACAATAATAATGATAACCAAAATAATAGCCATTGATTGGAGATTGAAAGAAATGTCACTCAATGAAAAACATTGTAATTTATTTTAATAAAGATCAATTATCTTAATCTTATGTTAATCACTTTTAGAAGCGATTCTTACTATTTTAATTAAATCATTATAATAACCATTATCCATAATGATACTTTTACTGTAGTTGAACACACAAAAAGTGGTTTTATTAGATAAAAATTATTATGAATTTTGGTGACTTTACTTCATTTTTCTACCATTCTGATCTTGTTTCTTGATTTAACTTATTAACTAGACATTATTGTGGTTATTATTATAAATGTACATTATAATGTGTATATTATGTTGATGATGATGAACATTAAAATTAGCTTAACTTATTACCCTTTTCCGTTTTTATAACATATTTGTTTTTGTTGTTTCTCCCTTTTATCTTGTCCAAAAAATTTAGAGCTGAAGGTTCAATTAGATGGTCTGATGACAACGATTAAGAAAAATTCAAATGTGGTTCGTGGCCGATTAAAAGCAATGGAACAGGAGATAGAGAAGATGGAGGAATCCGGTGATATGTCGGCCGATTTTCGAATCAGGAAAACTCAACATTCAATGCTTTTACAGAAGTTTGTTCAAACAATGACAGACTACAATCAAACCCAAGTCGATTACCGAGAAAGGTGTAAAGCAAGGATACAACGACAACTTGAAATTGGTAAGTTGGCCCAGGTCCAATGGTCCAGGTCTGCGTGACTCGATTGCACCATACTTATGCATTCCGAATTTCAAAATCAATGGTAAAAATAGATCCAACATGGAGATAGCATTAACTTGAAGCAGATGAGTCTAATTGATAATTTAGCACCTTTTATCAGCTTGATTTTCCTTTGATCGCTTAACAGCAAATTTAACGAGCCGGATACATGACAGCTTTAAGCACCAATTTGTGGTTAATTCGGTATTCCAAAATGCTTATCTCATTTCATTGGAAATAAAAAATGGATAGACAATTAAGCATTGATAGAAAGCTGTAGAAGCATTGTTATCACCATTGTAATGATCAATCATTGATTGCGAAGTTAAAGTTACAAGGATACTTGGAATAAAATTTATGTTACATTGTATTAACTAATAATTTATGTTTTCTCCTGGATTCTTGATTAACTATTAATTAAATAGCTGGTAAGACAACAACAGCAGAGGAGGTTGAAGAAATGCTTGAAAGTGGTGAAAGCGCTCAAATATTTACAGAAGGGGTAAGCCATTTTATTTATACATGTCTCAATTGATTGAAAACATGTCCAGTTGATTTTACCATAATAATATGTTGATTAAACATTTGTTTTTGTCTTTTTTTCCAATTGTTATATAAATCACAGATTGTTACAGATACAGCTCAGATGAGGCAAACACTGGCAGATATTGAAGCTCGCCATGCAGATATTAAAAAGTTAGAAAAAAGTATAGTTGAATTACACGAAATGTTTCTAGATATGGCAACTTTGGTAGAGAGTCAAGTAAGTAACACATTTTAATACATTCACTGATAATTAATTGATCATCAAACTGTACACTGGTAATTTAAATAACGGACATCAAATATAAAAATGAAGACAAACAAAGCTGTCATGAACAGAAACCAGAAGAAGGGACAAAAGAGTAAAAGTGAAAGATATAAATAAATGCGCCTTTTTCAAGCATTTACATTGGCTGATCCATGAAGGCGCCTTTTTTGACACCTTCAATCATCCACTTTAATATTAAATTCAATTGAATTAACTGATTATATTTGAATCAATATGACACGATTGAATTTAGATCAACTTAAATATGATATGAGAAGAAAAGCCTCCTTTTTCTGTGTTTATGTTTACATTTATTTAGTGGAGAGCCTTTTCTCTGTTGACCAATAATTATTTTACATAAAGCTTTTTATTGATTTTACTTTTTTTCCCCTTCAACTGTATCAATCTCTATGTTCATTTCTGAATCCTCTTTTTCACCATCCTGGATCCAGTGAACCACGGAAAAACATGTAAAACAGCTTTAACAGTATTAAAAAAAGGAGAGGAAAGAAGAAGAAATAGTTCTTGACCTTAACATTCAAAAATACATAAATAAATAGAGTTACATGATTCAGCTGTTATTCAAAGATAAATTCAATTGACTATACAATTTCAAGTGTTACAACCAATTTTACAATCGTTTTACCTAAATTTATTCATTTTTCTTGATCCATAATTGCTGAACTTAACAAATGCAATTGATGAACCAAGCATCAATTATAAATATATCTTCGTATTTGATCAACTATTAACAAGGCAAATTTATTAACTTTTTTTTCTGCTATTTAATATTTGTTAATATTTCGATGTAAATCAATCAGTTTGATCTGATCCATTACTCTGATTAAATTTATTATTTAAGCTCAGCATGATCAAGCAGGTAGATAGAGTTTCAATTGAAGATTCAATAAACATTTGCAAAAAGTATACCAATTAAAGGAATACATTTACTGTTGACTCAGTAATCAAATTACGCAGGCGACAAAATTGTTGAACAACATAATATTTAACCTTAAAAAGTCAATCAAGTATCTAATTGAAAATGATTAAATATCAGATTAGATATAATAGGCTTCTATGCGTAACAATGTAAACACCGATACATATTGATTAATCTATTTCAACTTTCTGGTTAGACTTTCTGGTTAGCTTTTCTGGTTTCACTTAATGGTTAGACTTTATGGTCCTTAACAATTTCAACTCTGTGGTTCAATTTTAGATTGTTTGACCATTCCTGATTCTTTCCATTTTGCTTCGGTCATTCCTGATTCAGCCATTTCTGGTCCATCTTGTCCGGTTTAGTTTTATTTGATTTATAATGATGCTTTGACTTTTCATGAGGAACAACTTTTTGATGATGAGATTGATTGCTGTTGACCCATCAATCAACAATTACAATTTTCAAGCCAATTTGTAGACTGATCCATAAACAAAAAGTTAGCCATTAATCGTTAATTGTTACAACCTAAATGGTTAAAAAAGGAAAAGGTAAAGCATTAAATAAATGTAATACTGATATAAATTTCTCATCATCTATGGAAAAAATATTTACTTTAACAATAAAAGTCATTCATCTTACCTTTCTTAGTTTTTTTGCCCAGTAATTTACTTGAATCTCACTTAGGAATGAAAACACGTAAAGGAAGAGAAAGGGAAAGAGAGAGAGAGGAGGATGATAATGATGATGATGATGATGAAAAAGAAGAAGATAAGATGTTGAAGGAAGATGAAGAAGAAGGAAGAAGTAGATGAAAGGTGTTTTGTGTATTTGGAGACACAAAAATCGATCAACAGACACTTGGGAGTTTGCGTTGTGTGATGTTCAGTTGATTGTTTCACGTCCCATGAAATACGACTCAGTATCATGAAAGGCAGCAAGAAGGTAACAAATGAAGATGAGGATAAAGATGAGGATGGTAAGAAATAACGATAAAAACCTTAGGATGACTTGAGGTTAAAATGGGGTCACCTTATTAACAGAAGCAAAATTTGTACCCATGTCAATGTCTCCTTGTTTTTCATCAGAAACCCAGATTTTAGTTCCTCTTGGTTTTCATCAACTGGATTAACAGCAATTACATGATTGTTCTCATCAGCATCAATTGAAACATTTATCAAATCCACTTTTTCAACCAGTAATCTTCATCATATTGCAATGCATGTTGAGTTACTACTCGTAACTTACGAGACTTTTCTGGTTTTAACGAGAAAAAAACAGCATAGCTTTCCATACTAATGCATCACTAAATTGTACAATTGAACATTATTTAGAACAAATTAACTAATTGATTTTATAGATTCTAATTGAAATTGTAAATCATAATTTGTCTTGTAACCGAAAATAAAAAAAGAGTTAACACAGTCAACTGTTCAGTTAGGCTTAGATCTAAAGCTTGAATCTTGATCCAAGTTTTGATCCCAATCTTGATCTTGAAGGCTTATTTTTACGATGGGAAAATTTGTCCTTTAATAATTGAAAGTTTTCAGGTTCAATTGAGAGTTGAAAGTGTCATGATTGATTGAAGATTATAACCTTGTTATTCACTTGTCATCTCTCAATAATCAAAGTTAATTAAAGGTGTAGAGTAACAACAAAACTCAAATCTCTTCAATGAATCTTTCGTTTAAACTTTAAAATGTACATTTGATTTGGTAGGAAAGAAGAAGAGCAAAATTACGATAATAATTTTTTTTCTTCTTTGCTTCTCTCTCTTTATTTTCACCTATTTTTACTCCTTATGCTGATACTCTTGAAATGTTTAGGGTGAAATGATTGATAGAATTGAATTTCATGTTGGTAAAGCAGTTGAATATGTTAAAGCTGGAACTGAAGATACTAGGAAAGCATTGAAACTTCAACGTGAAGCTCGCAAGGTAAGTCATCATAATTTTCCTCTCATCTCTCTAATCCTCCATTATTATTTTATACTCCCTTTTTTATTCGCAACTATTACCTACCACTAGAAACCAGGGAAGATACAAAATCAATCACTTTCATAATAATAAACATGAAAGTAATAATTCAAGTACAATCAGAGTGAGAAGCTTAAGCATTTGAAAAAATGCTTCTGAGCATGTAACCAGATAAAATGTTACATTTATTAGATATTACTAGTTGCCATTATGTATGCATTCAAGGTTGCTGTGATATATATTTTCAATGCATATCCAGACTTGTCTATAGATTATAACAATAAACAAAATTATAATTGCGACAATTCCTTTATAATTTACCATCAGCTAATTTTTCATTTGAATACAATTTTCATGAAAGCGCCAAGCTTTAGCAAAATCAAATTACGAGCCAAATCGTATCCATGCCAATAGCCAATGAAAAGCGTTTTAGCTTTTTTTCTGGTTCAAGCTTTTCTGGTTAACTTGGATTTTATATTCTTTTTCTGGTTTTTCTGGTATTTTAAATAATTATCGTTTGGGCCAATTAACTAATTGCTGTTTTTTTTCCTTCCACCTCTTTCTCTTTGTGCCTTGATTGATTTCCACAGAAAAAATTGATGATAATCGCTTGCATAGCAATTGCTGGTCTTATTCTTGTTCCCATGGTTTTCAAATTTATCCCATTACCATTCTGAAGAGATTTATCTTTTTCTTTGTCTCTCTCGTACACTTTTTTCACAATTTATCTTTATTCATTCCCGGAGAAGGAATTAAGTGTGACAATAATAATACAATAATAATTTTCATTTACCTTCTACTTCCACCAAATAAGGATTTACTCAACACTGATCACAACGGTAACAATGATTATATCAACTGTAACCAGATTAAATAATTAATGATTACAAGTTTTTAAACTGTTAACAACAACAACAACAACAACACCATCGTCATTCTCATCACTCTCATCAACATCATCATTATCATCAGCCAAAAAACACCAGAAACAAACACTACAACAGCAAAAACCTCAAAACCTGCAACAGGAACAATGGTAACATCCATATTGATTTGTTCTTAAATAAGTATGGTGATAATAACAAAGCTAAATGAGAGATTATCAAAGATAAAAGGAAAGAGTTAGATTTAAGGAGGGAAAGAAGATTTGTGTTATCAATATTAACCAACAAAACAATCATCTAATGGTCCAGTTAAGTTTAATGATGAAAACTACTCAACCAGTTAAACAATTAAAGAATTAGTTGATGATTATCAACTCATCTTTTTATTTTCTTCTCTTCCTTTCCTTCGATCAACCTCTGCGATTTGTTCCTCGATTGTTTCAATCTCTCATCATCATAATTACCTTGTGCATCATGATCATCTCTTTTTTCATTTTACAATTTTCATCGGTTCATATCAAGAAGAGTCAACGGATGATAAGAAACCCACATTCACACACACAATACTTCAAGTCTAATATAATATGCAATACAAGATAAAATTGAAAGCAACCATTACCAGTAGCATTGAACCACTTTAAAACCATCCAAATTTTGCTGACAAACAATTAAATCACAACAACAGGAATTGAATTTTCTTTCAGTAACATACACCAACACAGTACACCGTAAACTACATGTATATTAACATTCACTCAAACACACACACACGCAACACACAGAAAATGTTACTCGAGATACAAGCCAATATTCAATTCTTTAAGGATTATTGGAACATTAATTAAAAGGTTAGTTATATTTATTCTGAATCTGTTGATTCCTTTATTACATTTTCCTCATCACATCACATGATAATCATGATGATTGTTTTTGAAACAAAACCAGTAACCATTCACATAGCAATGATATTATCTTCCTTTCAACATAACTCTTTTGGGTTTCACCGATTTTATTACCACCAAATTGACTTTGTTCAGGTTTAGTTTTCATCATTAATACAATTGAATAAAACTGTATAATCATCACGGACTTTATCATTTACTTTAAACGTGATATAAATAGCTCCTAAACAATAATCAATGTTGAGACCAAATAGATTTGTAAACCCAATTTAACCCAATCATCTTGGTTATTATTTAAACACACACACAAATAACCAGAAAAGCAAACATTCTCACCATTGCCAAAAAAATGAGAAAATCTGAATTCTCTTTACCATTATTATCAATTTTTAACGATTCAGAAGAGTAACTGGAAAAATAATTGAACAATTTATCAAAAATCCAATTGTATTATTAATAATTTTTAGATTATAACTCAAAATGTCAAACAATTCCTTTTTTTTACTCCCTTCTGTTTTCATGGGTTTATGAGTTTCTTGTTATTTCACCTTCATAATATTATCTGATCAACATACTTTTTTGTTCAACCTCAGTTTAATAGTAATCATAATAAACATTCATCATGAACTTGACTAATATTAATAACTAAATATATATAATAGTGAATACAATTGTTCAATATTTTTCACCGCTTATCCTATTCCAACATCTTCATCACAACTATTCATAATATTTCTCTTGCGGCAAAATTCAATCTTCAACTCTTTACCTCTATTCATCTCTTGCAACTTAACATTTTAACCCTGAAAAAATTTCAATCTTGTTTTGAAACTTTGAACACAGATTTGAACACACTGCTACTTATAATAAAATATTCAGGTTAAATTGAACAAAATAAAAATGAAAGGTTATAAAATAACCTGTAAATTGATGAAAATTTTTCATGTTTACAGGATAAAGGAATAAAAGTAATAACTTAACTCTGTTAGGCATTTAACAACTAACTCCATAATCATAATGATTATAATACATAAACAGTAAAGTTAAAGGTCATGATAATCCATGCTCAAGTGAATGATAAAAGGCAAACAAAATAAATCATCAAGATAATCAAACGAAATTATCTTGATCTAATTCCATTTCCATCATGTTTTACATGTACATTTTTTTTCTCTGATCATCATTATTAATATTATATTTTGTTTCATTTCATAGGTTAACAAAATCTTATACAACAATGGTGTTGAACGTAGAGGAATTATTTAAATATAAATCAAATATATATATAATCAACTACAAATTCAATTATACAATAGTGAGAGTTTGAGCTCAAAAAAAGACGAATCCAGTTGTTTGTGCTTTTTACTATTACATTAACAAATTACATTAAACCCAAAAAGAAGGAATTGAATGACAATAAATGGATAAATGGTGATGATGACAATTATGATGAATCTCTTGGTGTAAATACAAATCTTTCAAAACCTTTGATGAACCACAATTTCAAAGCAAACAATCCTGTTTACCTGGCTTACCTCTTTCGAGTCAACAATTTAAAAAGTTAACCTGCCACAATAAACGAGAGAAATGGTTTCCTTTACTTTGCAAATTAAAATGTGATTTTGATTAGCAAACAGGATTTTTACACAACTTGATGGTCAACACCTCTGACCGTCTTTTGTCTTCTTCTCAATCATCAATTGCTGTTGTTACCATTGGTGTCATTGCTGGTTAAGGATAACAACATTTTCCTAAAGCAAACCCAAAAAATCCTGTTCCAGCTTTAACTCATTGACGCATTGGCTCACCGTTCATCTCTTTTTGGCTGTTTTGTTTTAATTTACGGCCAAACTGTAATTGATTTTCATCTTGGATCAAAACGAGGAATTGATTCTCAAGCTAACATTTTAGTTATAATTTGTGTGCAAGCAAATACATAATGAATTTCATTTTTTACTCATAAACAACGAACCACTGAAACACACTCATGGACACTATCTTACTCTCTTATGAATCAACGGATTTTTTGTCAAAATCTCAGCACAATTGGTTTGGTCTTTGACCATTTTTTCATTTTCTAATTTCTTCAAAATTCATTTGGAACCTAATTCTGGTCTCTTGTCTAGTCTACAAAGCAATTATTCATTCCTTTTGAATGGCAAAATTTGTCTTCAAATACTTTCCTTTTTAATTGTCTGCTTGATCTAGTGAAATGATGTGAATGAAGACACTTTGATGAATGCCCGATACAACATTCAAATAATAATATAAATTATTTGCAGTTTAAAGAACGTTAAATACATTTTTTGGATAAATTCATCAACAAATTTTCATGAAAAGCCCATAAAACACTCAACTTGACTCAATCTCTCACGTACATTCACTGGCACACACACACACAACACACACATACATTTGGACACAATTTTTGCAAACAAACAATAATTTTAATTTTATTTAATTTTCAACATAGAAGTGAGATATTTAATTGTTGTGTGTGACTGCGAAAAATTGCTCTTCTTTTGCTATTTGTGTTTGATTCATAGAGAAGAGGAAACCAAAAAATGATGATGTCAAAGTGGACGTTTCAATTAGCATCATACAAAGATAATAATCGCCACCATCACTACCACCAAGCATAAACTATTATTTGTTACAAAAACGATTTGCGACGTCAATCTCATCCCAAACATCACCATCATCATCATCTCCATCTTACAATCTTTCCTCTTTCTCTCTCTCTCTCTTAAACTATATCTTTTTCCTTTCATTCCCAGGCAATTTTGATGTTTTTCATTATGAAGACGATGTGTGACAATATCTATTTTTCTCGATTCTCAACAGCATTTTAAAGTTTACACCTAAAAACTGCGCAATTCACTTTACCAGAACCTAACAAAACCTGATGATGACAAACCGTTGTAAATATTTGTGAGTACAAAATCCATTTTTCCCTCTCCCACTTTTTTCATCTTTTTTCATCTCATCCTTTCCAATCTTGATGATATGGCAAAGTTGGATAGAGATTTGAAACAAACACTTTTTTCATCTTTGGGTTACTCCAATCCTTGTTTTTTGTCTGTCAACTAATCTTCCTTGTTTCCCTTTGAGAACCAGAAAAACTTAATAATAATTCAATCCAGTAATAGTAATACAAAAAATATTAATACTCATAATGATAACATGCGTGATAATCATAATAGCACAAGAAAAACAATTCTGATGTCAATATGAAACTAAATAAGTTTAAAATAATTCACTAGAATCAAGAGCAAAGGTTGGAGTAACAAGCAAAAGCAATCAGTTAATCAAAGATTAACATTTTCATATATTACTTTTTTCAATAGTTTCTTGTGTTTCAATATATTTCAGATGATCATTTCTATGAAAAACGATGAAAAGTCTTCCTTTCCCCACACATTTATGTTTTATTTGCATTTTTTAACAATTTTTCTCTTTTTTCTCTTTTTTCTTTTAGAGATTTTAATTTTGGTTCCTACTTTCATTGGTTACAATGAGTTTGGTTCCTTTCCCACCAAGAATGAAGAGGATAAAAATGACGCAGACTTACATGTACATAACCTGAAATCATTTCCACTTGAAAATCATCAGCCATTTTATCAACACAATTTTCTGCTTTCTTCTTATAGACATTTTCACCATAATCTTAAGCTTGATCTCAACAATTCTCATTTCAACTCTTTCTTTCCATCTACAGGTTGATTCTTCCTTCGTCTCGACCATTCAATGTTATGCAGTTTTTCATCTTTATTAACTCATCTCATCTCATCAATCATCCTTTGCGTTAACCCTTTCCTTCTCCTATGCTGACCAGTCATCTTCCAATAATCACAATCAACAATGACGAAATTATCAGGCCTTTTTTAATGAGATAATCCATTTAAACCTTTTTTCATTTTCACTCAATGATAATCATTCAATATTGTTTCTGTTGACTTTCATTTTTTTAATCCCGCAATATAATTGTCACAACCCATGTTAATCTTAAGCTTGACTGACAACACCAACAACTGTTGTCGATCAGAGCTAACAATCATCTTGAAAAATTGAATGATTTTACTGTAATAGAGAATTGTAAATTTTACTTTCTCTACTCTTTTTTGCTTTCGTTTCAGCTTAAATAACATTGATTTTGAAAGATGTTTGAAGATCCAACCTGAAGATTTTTTTCCCCATTTTTCAATCATTATCTAACCTTTTTCTTGCTGTTGATTTACTCGATTTGTTAATTGTTTGTTAATATTTGTTTAATTGTGAGTTGTTTGTATAACTAATTGTTTTCTCCTATCTTTTTTTGTACATTTAACAGAACTGATTATTGGGTGTCGTCTACCAGAAATTTGTAGTTACTCTCCGTGGGTCAACTATAATCAACTCTACTTTAAATTACGTAGAGCAGTGTGTGCCTTTTGTCAACTATCCTGATTCAGATTTGGATACTTGTGCCTCGGAATAACACTTTGATCAAATTCTTGGCAATCAATTGATAACCTTTAATTGGAACCTAACATAATTTCACTTTCTCTGTTTCCCTGTTTTCATCAATATTTTACAATCAAAGATGCCATCTAATTGTAAAATAAGGAAAGCAACTTGAAATCAATCTCTTCCTTTGATTAGTATTTTATTTTCTAAATCTCTGCCTGAATTTGGTTCTACCGTTTGAAGCTGTCTAATCAAAGGTTGCCAATTGATCCATTTATATTGCATCAAGTGTTCAAAGGTACAATGGCAACAATCAACAAACGGCACACTACAAATTCAACACAATAAAACACTCAATAATCATTCGCTTTTAAAATGTACATTAGTGAAACAATTTGAATTGATACAAACATAAAGACAGTTTAATCACAAGAAATGATTGAATGTATTGAGATTGAAATTAAAAAAAAACAATTCTCCAACTATAGCAATATGATTGGAATAGGCAATCGTATATATATAAATATAAATATATATATTAATTAAGCTACCATTAAATAGCTTGTTAAAGAACTAATATAATTAATTGGATTACTTTACGAAAAGATGCCTTAACAAAAAAAAACAACTCTTCAACAACCACATTGATTGTGCTCTTTTTTGCAACATAAATAAATTCAATTTATAAACAACAAACATTGTTCATCTATTTATTTCCTAATTTTTTCATTAAAATTTAGCAAATTGACAAGATCAAGAATAAATTATAGCAGATTAATCAATATCAACTCATGAACTGATTTGAAAGAATCTTAGACACGTGATTTTGACTTGAGCAACATCATAGCAACCGAACCAGCTGTAAGACAAAACCAAACTGTAACTGTGATGTGTTATTTTTGAGTAACATTTATTATCATGATTAATCAATTCAATTTATATATCTGTTTATTGTTTATTGGAAAGTGAAGATTATGTTTTCCTTATTTTATGGATTATGGAAATACATATTCAAAAGAGATGAGTTTTACGTGTTAATTCTTGGTTTAGATAATGCTGGTAAAACTACTTTTCTGGAGCAGACTAAAATTAAATTTAATCGTAATTATAAAGGTGTTAATCTCAACAAGATAACCACTACAGTTGGATTAAATATCGGAAAAATTGAGTACAAAGGTATTGTAATGAATTTTTGGGATCTTGGCGGACAACATGAGCTTCAATCTTTATGGGATAAGGTTTGTATTTGTTTTTTAATTATTAAGATATAATATTTATTACAATTTTGTAACTAATCTCTTTTTTATATATAGTATTATGCAGAATCTCATGGTATAATATTTATAATTGATTCAGCTGATATTGAAAGAATTGAGGAATCAAAGGCAGCATTCGGTTAGTTGTTTTGGAAAAATCAAACCAATGACGTTTTTGTGTATACGTTTTGATGGCTATAAAATGTATTTACTATTTTTTTGTCTCTTTATTGCAGAAAATATGATTACAAATGAACATCTTGTTGGTATTCCATTATTAATCGTAGCCAATAAGCAGGATATTCTGGTAATTGATACATTTGTCTAAATTTAAAAATTATTACATCTTTAAAAACCTACATGTACTAGCTATCTAATGTTATTTTTATGTATTTTGTAGGAAGCATTGTCACTCGATCGGATTAAATCAATTTTCAAATCATCTGCTCCTCAAATTGGGAAACGAGATATACATTCAATATCTGTCTCTGCGTTAAATAGGTTTGTGTTTAATAATTTGGACAATTCTTGATTGTCCATAATCATAGATATGAAACTTATATTGATTGATTTTCTCTTGAAACAGTCAAGGCATAACTGAAAGTATTGATTGGATGACCAATTGTATAAAACGTAATGTCCCGAGTAGACCCCCTAATAACGCTGAAGAATAGTTCGTGCCATCGTATCTATTAGCCAACTAAGTGCATTTATTGCTGCTGGTTACTCAAGATTGTGGTTCATCCGTTGAGGATTTGTGAAAAGACACTCAAGGAAAGAATGTAAAGAAGATAAATTTCATGGGTATTCAAAGTTGATGCCAATATTGATAATAGCTCATTGTTTTTGATTCGGGCCGAGGGAAGTTTATCTGGACGAAGATGAATTTGTCATCATCTACTTTGACATGATTATGGAAAATGTTAATGAATGAAACTTTTGGAGTATGCAATATTGCAGATAAAGATGGACCAAATAAATATAGCCTCAACACTCGTAAAGTCCATCTGATCGACCTAAATATTATCTCTGAATCGAGATATTGAGCTCGCCAAAAAGTAGGATCCAGTTGATGGATTGCTGATTCTTTGGGATTTCTGAAATGAATTTGGGAACAATGAAAAGTGCGAAAGTGCGGAGACAAAAATTGAGTGGTTATTATCCATAAAGATACTTTTAAAGATAATTTGAGGATGTAATCAACAAGTACATAATGGATGTAATAACTGAAAAAAGGGAAAAATTCAGTTCTACTGATATTCTTGTCATAAATGTTGTTTTTGTTTCTTATGGAATAAAATCGTTGGTTTAATGTCTCATCAACATACTGAAGCTCTTCTTTTTATAGTCCAAAAAGACCCATTATGTTTAAAAACTTATTATAGTTATCATTAATTAAAGATACAAAATTAACATCATTAAAATTAAAATTACAGAGCGTAATTCATTACAAGACTGTTAGCTTGGTTGCTGCTATGGCGTTGCTAAGGTTTACTCAATCACATGTTTAGTTTGTTTTCAAATCGTGTTTGTCAAAGTCTTCTCATTTTTACCTTCATATTTTGGTGAGTTTTAATTATAATTTAGCTGTTTATATGGTTCAATTTTTTATATTTTCGCTGTGTAATTTTTCACCATATCTGTAAATGAATTGATTATTGAATGGATTTGATTTGGCTAAGGAAAATTGATTGTTACAACACGCATCTACTTAAGTTCAAAAATGAGAATCAGGTCGATTCTTAATAAACTCATTGTTATTGGTCTGATATCTATAACAATTTGTTTTTTTCTAATCATGCGACTGTTTTCTGATGCAAGTTCAACAAAAGTTTCTTCTCGCTCATTACATTCAACATTGTCCCAACCAAAATTAGCTGTAATTGTGCCATATCGCGATCGTTTTACAGAGCTTCTTTTATTTGTGCCACATTTATCCAGATTCTTACACAAACAAAACATACCTTTCACAATCAATGTAATCAACCAAAATGACTCTTACCGTTTTAATCGTGCCTCTCTGATAAATGCTGGATATTCATTAGTGAAAGATAACTGTGACTACATAGCTATACATGATGTTGACTTGTTGCCACTTAATCCTAACTTGGAGTACAGGTATCCTGAACATGGTCCATTTCATGTGTCATCGCCAAATTTACATCCAAAATATCACTATGAAAAATTCGTTGGTGGAATCTTGTTGATCAAAAATGATCATTTTGAACTAGTGAATGGACTTTCTAACAAATATTGGGGTTGGGGACTTGAGGATGATGAATTTTATTTAAGACTTAAAGAAGCCAATTTGCAAGTGAGTTTAATAATCTGGTAATCAAAATATTCTCAATATAATAATGAAAATTTTATGGATTTCTCAATAGATAACAAGACCTACCAACATTGCCACAGGAATTGAAGACACATTTCTGCACTTGCATGATCCAGCTGTCAGGAAAAGAGATTACGCTAAGATTTTTAATCAAAGAGAAGTGAGTCGATTCATGGTCGAAGTTAATTTATTAAACAAATTTCAAGAATTTAGAGTATCACTGATTAATGTTTTTCCCTTCCATTCATTTAGATTACTCGCAAAAGAGATAGAGAGACTGGACTTCACGATGTCAAGTTTGAATTAACCTCCAAAACTAAGATGACAATTGAAGATTTTGCTTGTGATATTTACTCAGTCAAACTTAATTGTGACTATAAATTGACGCCATGGTGTGATTTTTCTCTAGTCAACAAAAACAAACCAAAAAATGTCAAGCCAAAAATATAAATCAAACAATTCCGTGAGTTATTTTTCCAGGTGGATTTTCATTCGTTAAAAGTGAAGTTGTTAAATCACCGGAAATTTTGGTCATTAGCACTTATTCTCTGGTTCCTGATATAACCTTTGAAGTTACTCCTGTTATGAAAGGTCGAGGTAAACTTGTTCACATAGTGGCTATAAAGGTAAAAGACGAACTGGTGGATCAGCGTTGGCCGAGGTTTATGGTCAACTTGGTAATTTGGTTCCTGATGATGATGATCCTTCAATTTCAAGGAAATGTTTTCCCATGATTCAAGATTCGATACGTCTTAAAGAAGTGCTTTCAGGTCACGATATCTCTGATGGAGGTTTAATCACTACACTTTTAGAGATGGCTTTTGCCACCAGTTGTGGTTTAACACTGAACTGTACTACTTTATTACCAAATGAATCACCAATTGACTACCTTTTATCTTAAGGAGTTGTAATATTTGTTGAAGTATCAAAATATAGTATATCCTCTTTTATGGACCAATTAGCCGCAGCGCGAATACCAGCTTCAATTATTGTTGAAATTAATTTTCAATAACCGTTTATCAAGGTAAACTAAATTATGATTTCCGGATAAATTAGAAACTGTGAAATGACTGGATTGATTTAAGCACAAAAAAATTTTCAATCCGATAATTTTAACCTAAAATATACTTTATTTGTCGCCTTTAACAGATAAATGTCGGTTATTTGGGAGAGAACAAGCTTCGAATTAGAGAAGCATTAAGCAAATTTTGGCTCACAAGGAACTTAGTCAACGCAATGCAGATTTGTTTCGGTTAAAATCAACGAATAATAATTCTATAATGCTCAAAGGAATGAGCTAATCTGTTTCAGCTATTCGATGAACCCCAATAGAAGTGCCTTAGGAATTGCTGGATTGACAAGTTATGATGGACGGCATTTGGCCATGATGTCTCATTCAGGAAAGATGCACACAATTATGGCAATGTCCTTACGTACCTAAAGAATGGAAGAAACTGAAAGTCAGTCCGTGGTGTAAAATGTTTTACAATGCTTATGATGATGGTTGAAGCATGGAATCAATTTCTTGCATTTTCTGAGCCAATCCAAAAATCGTGCAATAATCAGCATGATTCGTCGATGACGGTTTTCACATATCTTAAAAATCAATTTTCACTTTGAATTAAATGATTAAACAGATTTCAAAAATCTAATCTGAAATTTAATTGCTGACCATTAAGACTGCTAATCTTTATATATTGTAATCTACATCTTGAGATCAGCGAACGAATCTCGGCAAGTGCGAAGTTAGGGCGACATTTACTTATGTTTACCCAGGTTAAGCCCCCTGAGCTATCCCATACTCCCTTCCTGCGGATTCTCAGCTAAGCTGGATAGAGCCTAGCGATGGGTAGGTTAAGTACCTAGGTAGTAAGGCCTAGACGGGGCCTTAAAGCTGTCGCGGCTGGCCGGTCCACACAAATAAAAAGTTTACTTAACACTGACTAGTACTGTACTCTTTGGTTGAAATAGTGAAACGAAAAAACGTCTACATTTAAAAACCGGTAACATGCATTGATCAGGCTCAAATAACATATGATTTTTGCTTATACCTGTTTGACTTTTAACTTGACTTTTATCATTTCTTTGTTAATTGAACTCTTAATTTGTTTAGATGGTTAATCAATTGTTTGTATTGATGTATTTATATTGAGTATTGTCTCATCTGCTTTCACCTAAACCAGTGTTAATTTTTAATGACTGTTGATATAAAAAGTGATAATGTTTTCCTTGTTTTATGGATTATGGAAATACATATTCAAAAGAGATGAGTTTTACGTGTTAATTCTTGGTTTAGATAATGCTGGTAAAACTACTTTTCTGGAGCAGACTAAAATTAAATTTAATCGTAATTATAAAGGTGTTAATCTCAACAAGATAACCACTACAGTTGGATTAAATATCGGAAAAATTGAGTACAAAGGTATTGTAATGAATTTTTGGGATCTTGGCGGACAACATGAGCTTCAATCTTTATGGGATAAGGTTTGTATTTGTTTTTAATTATTAAGATATAATATTTATTACAATTTTGTAACTAATCTCTTTTTTTATAAATAGTATTATGCAGAATCTCATGGTATAATATTTATAATTGATTCAGCTGATATTGAAAGAATTGAGGAATCAAAGGCAGCATTCGGTTAGTTGTTATGAAAAAATTAAACCAATGACGTTTTTGTGTATACGTTTTGACGGCTATAAAATGTATTTACTATTTTTTTGTCTCTTTATTGCAGAAAATATGATTACAAATGAACATCTTGTTGGTATTCCGCTATTAATTGTAGCCAATAAGCAGGATATTCCGGTGATTGATAAATTTGTTTCTAAAATTGCATATGCAAAAACCTACATGTATTAGTTATCTAATGTTATTTTTATGTATTTTGTAGGAAGCATTGTCACTTGATCGGATTAAATCAATTTTCAAATCATCTGCTTCTCAGATTGGCAAACGAGATATACATTCAATATCTGTCTCTGCGTTAAATAGGTTTGTGTTCAATAATTCGGACAATTTTTGATTGTCCATAATAATTAATATGAAACTAATATTGATAAAAAATAATTTTCTCTTTGAAACAGTCAAGGCATCACTGAAAGTATTGATTGGATGACCAATTGTATAAAACGCAATGTCCCGACTAGACCCCCTAATAACGCTGAGGACTAGCAGTATAAAATCATGTTAACTTTACCATTCTCATATTCGCTGTCATTATAAAAGGACCATAATCAACATCATTCCATATCATTTCTTCCAATGACCATTGCCTGTGTGAATACTTTAGATATAATCAATTTGCCTACCTTTTACACAAATTTTTGTTAATAATTTTATAACCACTGTTACGAAATTGTTCTAATTTCAATCAATTATTTTTAACTCTATCTCATCTATGTGTAATCGAAATACTCTATCCTGGAAATTTTTGTCCCACCTGACAATAGATGGTTTTCTGACCGATATAGTCGAATGAAATTATGCATTCCACTTGCTATTTTTATACTCAAATCGTTATAATAAAAAAATTAACTAGTACAAGCTACATAAGTTACAATAAATAATTAACTTATGTTGCTGCTTAACTTCATATGTTAACTAAATAATTTTGCTCAATTCTGTCAATGAGCTCTACAAAATATCCTTTTTGATCACAAGAATATTTTAGACTCAGGTCTTTTTAGTTTACCAGGAGGACTCTGAGTGCTTCTGGTTTGCGAACCAGAAAACGATACTCGAATGTTATAAAAATCAGTTTAGTCAGACATTAAGACAGATTATGAAGCTTGATTGTTATGCCTCTCTGGGCAGCTTAGGTTTAATGAAAGGTTTTTCAGTAATCATTTTATTTTTGTAGTTTATGGGAATATTAGTGTTTTGCTATAATAGTGTAGTACAAATTTATTGCAATTTAATTGTATTGGTGAATATTTGTTACAATTTGGATTATAACTGGATATATTAAGAGTTATTGCACTATTCCAGCCTGAAAATCATCTTGGACAAGAGTTAATCTGTATAAAGCGATAAAAGCATATAAAATTATCTATTTCTTATCCAATTCATATTATATTTGAGTTAATAGACAGAAAAAAAGGTTGAATGATATAGTTTCTTAATGACACTTAATGAATCTGAATTTCAACTGAGATATTGTTAAAATGAGAAGCAAATTAAGCCTTCTTGACCACCGTTATTATGGTACCAGAGCTATCAGCCTTGTAACTTCTAGTCTTTCCCTTGTAAGTTACCGTTCTTTCATCAAAGGACTTAATGTGGTGATAAATTCTGGCCAGTGTATCGCACTCGAAATTTTCAACTGCATTGTCACAGTTTTCAGTGTCAAAAGTGACAACCGTAGCAGATACTTGAGTTACTTTGTTAATCTTATCAAAATAGTTAGCACTGGCTGTGATTTCCTCCAACTCGGATTTACTAGTAGCTTTGAGTATGTGAAGCTTTACCGGATTTTCCTTAAACTCTGGCTCAGAATCCATGAGCAAATGTATTCTAACTCCTCCACCATAAGTAACATTTTTAGATACTGTATAATCAAATCCATCTCCTTGATTTTCAAAAGTGCTGTTGACCGAAGCAATGAAACAATGAGCTTCTTCTTTAGCATCTCGCGACATGAAAAATTGCATCGATGAAGCAGCATCAATCTCACTTGTTGCATCAACTGTGCGATTCCCATCAGTCAATCGGGAATCAATCTTAGCTGAACCTGTGGCATCGTCTGTGTAATTTTTAATACAATTCAAGCCTCCTTGACATGGAACCGGATTGAAATACTTCAGACTGTGCTTGGCGAAAACATCTTTAACCTCATCATCAGACCTTTTATCCCAATTTTTGAAATCCCAACCTTCAAAACCTGCGAGCCTGTTGAATAATTTACAACAAAAAAAGGCAAAAATTACTTAAAAAGATACACAAAATAACTCATCTTGAATAGAATGACAAATTTCCAGTGAATATTTGGTAAACATTTCAGATCCTAAATTAAGAGGCTTCTAATCTGACAACATGGACAATAAGTGACTGGAAAATTTCGATCAAACAAAAAATCTCAAGACTTATTCATCTTTAAACATTGCAATTGGAAAGTTTTACTCACCTATCAATAAGGAAATCAGTCAATTCATTGGGTCCAATTTGTTTAAAGTCACCATTCAAATTGTGTCCATGTCCAGCTGACAATGTAAAGTAAGCAGAGAGAACGAGAAAAACTGATTGACTTATGGTAAACATTATTAACAATTCAACTAGAGTCGAGTCTGAAAGTGATGATCAATGAATTTTGTAACTTGCTTTTAAGCCATCGAGATGTTTACTTACAATTTCATATCTAATTTCAGAACAAGTGTTCCAGTCAAATCTCAACAATATCCATGGAAGCACTTGATGATAATCAAACTTTTTGCTCTTTCTTTCATTTTCTCTTCTTCTTCTTCCCTTAATTATCTTTCCATTCTCATCTTTGTGTTGCAAATTGAAGATCAACAACAAAAGAGATTCACTTTTACCCAAGTTATGGTTCGTTAATCATGGACACCGATTTTGAGCCTTACTCCATCCCAACCCATCTTGCTAATGAAACCTGTTTGCACCCAAATAACAACATAGGATGTCACAGTCATTAACCAGACCAACTTGTTTAATTTTCTTGCTAATTTAAAATTGGACTCAAACTCAATCGATTTGATAAAACTGATTTGTAATTTGTAAACATTAATTGTTCATTTCAAGAAATGTTCAACTCTTTTCGCTACTTCATCATTTCATTGATGGCATAATTGTAAATAGCACCAACAATTGATGTTCAATGTTTAACCAGATGCTTAATCGTCTCAACATTGAAACGTTGAACCATTGAAGTGATTAGTTTACAGTTATTATGAAAATCTGTTCAAGATAAGAGGAGAGACGAATTGAAAATGTTGGATTCAAGCGAATTTAATCAACCAATTTGATAAAATTGATTTGTAGACATAAAATTAATTGCTTATTTCCAAGAAATTTCTAGCCTTTCTTGCAATACTTCATCCTTTCAGTCTCAATGACTAATCTAGATTCAAAAGGAGAGCGAGAAATGAATTGAAATTAACATTCTACTGGCATCTAATCAGTAAATGAGTCGACCACTCAATGGCTTTACAAACAATCCTGGCAATCAAAATGTCGTTTAATACAGATAATGTCTCAGTTCAACTGAACTTGCTCAATTGAAGCAAATTTAAATCTAGTTTGGACCAAATTTTATCCAAATTATTCAACAAAATTGTGCCTCAAAAGCGGCTCTCAAGCAAATTTCCCTTTCCAAACAATGTCTATCAACAACAAAAGCTCTAATTGTCCAACAACTTTTCTCACAAATGTTAATAAAGCGATAATTACCTGTCAACTCTCCATGGGAAATAATACCAGAACACCAGAGATGAGAGTTATTAAATAATATGATTATGGTTGAAGATCAAAATGAAGTCAACATTCAAGTTCATTATCAACTGAAAAGTCTAAAGCATTGTATAACATGGAAAGTGATTTAAGCTTGACTTGGATAGAAGCTTTGACAATTGGTGCAAAAATCGTACCATTGATTTAATCACTGAATACTTCAATTCGTTGGTTATAAATTTTTGCTTGCCTGGTTATCACCAGAATTTATTGAAGTGGATGACAATTTGTAAATTGCTGATGATTTATAAGCAGCTTTATGCATTTCCTTTATCAATTTGTACATTTGATTGAAATTATTGTCATTGAATAATGTCAGTGAAAGTGAAAAATTGAAGGTAATTTGTGAAATAAACATTTAATTGAACACCACTTTTTGGCTTTACAATTGTGGGATAAACATATGTTTCCATGATTTGCTTTGTTAACAGTTCTATGATTTTTTTTCAATGAACTATCCATGGTTGATAAGATTGATTATTTTTTGAATTGACTATCAAGACTGTAAATTGTATTGTGAGTCAACTACAAATGGATTCACTTGAGTAAATAAATTAACAAAACCAACAAACAAATGGTTATTGAACCTAATGTTTTCTGGTAACCAATATTTGGGTTTCATTGAAAAGACTTTTAAATGTGGATCAATCAAGTTTACTGGTTTGATTTGTGGACAATTAAACAATTAAATGTGAGAAAAGAGTTTTTTGATTTCAATTTTTCTTTTATTTAAATAATCTTCAAAAATAAAGCTTTTTTATGCTGGCGTACAATTCAATGGGACTTTTTGATTAATGAAAATCACAGCATCATGTGTTTGAGCAAAGGTTTGCCTGAAGGCACTTTAAGGAACAGAAATTTTCTAGTAAAAAAATATATTCTAATATTGGAGTCTTGAGTCTTTTATAATTTAGTCTTAAAAAATCTGTTGATTCAAGTGAAACTGATGTTTTGATGCACGTTCAGGAGTTACAGGTGAGATTTAGAAAAGCCTGGAAGAAGATGAAAACGATTTAACATGGCAATCAATATCCATAACCATGTCTGTAAGGATAACCTGAGGAAAGATGGTAGAGAGAAAAATAAGAGTTAAAATGATGATTATGTGGGTTGATAACAATTTATCAAGATTATTGTTAACTTTTCTGATGACACAAGGAAAGATTAACAAATTAACGTTAATTCGATGTACGCTTAGAGCATAATTATATCAACAAATAATATCTTGTAAACAAGTCAACTAACCATGGCCGTAACCACCACCATAGCCTCCGTAGCCTCCATGACCTCCATAACCACCATATCGACCATAGTGAGGTCTGTATCCATAGTAGCCTGTATAATGGCGATCATTAAATACAGTTAGAGAAACATTCCAAATTGAAATCAGAAGCTGATTAATAAACTAACCGTATGATGGATATCCATAGCTTCTGTGTCCATAATATCCATTTGGTCGTCCATATCCATAACCATGGCCGAGAGCTACAATGGTTCCAACCAAGGCACAGATGATGAGGATTGAAAGGATCTAATGGTAACAGTGAAACAAGAGTAAATCAGTAAAAATAATGTCAATATTCACAATCACAGTTGAAAATAGGCAAAAGTCAGTAATGAACTTACAGTCTTGTTCATTTTGCTGTTGAGTTGTGAGTTGATTTTGGACTGAGAAATGGTAGTTAGCACAAGTTACTGAAACTGTCTTTGGTGGTAGAATGAATTAGCCAAAGTCAATTCACTGACTATTTATAGACGGGTAAGAAAAGGTATTTAGTGTGCAAAATGAGAAAAGTAAAGTGACCCTCAAAATTTAAGACGCAAAGACAAGGACAGTTGGAGATAAACCCGCCTCAAGATAAAGATTCATGATTATTTGCTTGGAAGTTCAACATTAGTGTTAGATTAGTTATCGAGGGAAGTGAATTATCCTCGATTTATTAAATAATAACCAGCTAAATGTTGACAATACTGTTTTTTTCAAAAATTGGTTCATTGTTGTCCTCGATGATCCCATCTTTAACAGTACAAACCGCATTTTGAAATAACGTAAAGGACATTTTTAGATTGCAATATCGTGAATAAATTATTGACACTTTCCTTAATTTATGTAAACAATTATTCAAATCAATATCATTGTAATAAATTCATTGTATACATATTTGTATCAACAATGTCAGGTAAAGATTGAAATGAAAGATTTGCGTCTCAACGGATATGTTTAGTTGTACAAGAGCATGTAACAAGCTTTACAATTAGAGAGTAATTAATCTGATTGTAGATACGTGATAGCGTTTTTGATAGGATCGAGAGTTCAATAAGAAATTTTGTTTCGCTGCTTTGATAAAACGTTTTGTAAGGTGGAAGGTGATTTAAAGGCAACTATAATTATTGTCATAATTGTTTGATCAAAGAGAATCGACTTGATGTTGTCTAAATGTAATATTTACAGGTGATTTAATAAATGCATTAGGGGCTTTTGGATGCAGGGTTAATAATTACCTATCAACTTGTCATTCAACTTGCCGCTCTTGGCCATTTTTGCTTTGTAAATTCACATTCTAACTTCATTTTCACGCTTTGGATTCAGGCCGATGGAGCTTTCACATTTAAAATGCATGGTTGATAGAAAAACCTATGAAAATTATTATTATCTGTTATTTGATAACAATTAAAAAAGTAAAATAAAAGGTTAACCTGTGGGGAAAAAGTTCGGGAATAATTATTTAATACACTTCAGATTATTCAAAGATTTTTCATTTTTTCTTCGGAAATAGATTAATGAAGGTTGAAGATAAGTGCTGATATAATTCAATTCAAGATCTTGTGAAAACTTGATCTTATTTTTAGGATCTAGAAAAATTAAATGCGATGTAATTTTTCACTAGAGCCTGACTAGCTTTCTCTTGGTTTGTTAAGAAAAATCTTGAATTGTCAATTTTCAAACCTAATTTTGCAACGATGTGAAACAATGAAGCCGAAATCGGACTGACCTGAAAATTTTATATTTCACTGTTTCAAGTTCTAAATCAATGTAGAAGAAAATCTGAACTTCTAACTACAAGGAATTCCGAGACAAACGATCAAACTGATTAGTCCCAAACTCTTTCCCCACAGGTTATGAGACCTTTGCTATTTATTTTCTTGGACTCTAATCTTTATCATTTTGTTAATACTTGTGATGTTTTATTTCCTTCAAAACAGATCTACTGTATACCGTGATCCTAGATGGAATAGATTGTGGGATGAAGGAAAGGAAGACAAATTTTACACTATTGCACTAAGCGCTTTTGTCTGGGCCTGGTCATGTATCATTTCTTTTATGAAGGACACGAACTTTATGCCAAACATTATCAAACTCCTGATGTCGCTGTTTTATCTGATGAGCATTTAGGAATACCGCCTAGAGGGTCTTGCTCCTACCAAAAAATGGGTGAAAACTGCAGAAATCAGATTTGTTGTACCAATCCTTGTCGGTTATCCAAAATCACTGTTGAAAGATAGACTTGGTGATGTTGGTTTCTTCAAATTTTAAACTAAATTGTAGATATGAAATATGTAATAATATAATAATTCTAGCTATTAAACCGTTCAGAAGTCAATAAAAGTTTACCGATGACAATAAACATAACTTGCTATTATTGTTACTCTATGAGCCGAATTGAATGCCCATAGTTATTATTTACCTAATCTCCTAGCAACCAATTCATTCAGCTGTTTTTTGTCATCTGATAATATTAGTAGATTACCTAAACATCGTATTTATTACCGAGTAATTTTAATTTAATTAAAATGTTGGTTAACAAAGGATGTCGTTTAATTGTAACACGAGTTGCTTCAAATGTGAGATATTTTGGAAAACCATCTTCAACAATTGATGATCCTGATCCTAATACACCTCTTGGTAGATTGGATAGACAGCCTAAAAAAGTGAACGATAAAGAATCTCCTGTCGTGATTAAGGATTCCGAGGCAACAAGTAAGGCTTATGCTCCATTCCCCGATGGAAAGAATCCAAATACAGGTGAAATTGGTGGACCTGTTGGCCCTGAGCCTACCAGGTTTGGTGATTGGGAAAGGAAAGGTCGTGTTTCTGACTTTTAGGCTGAAGGTCAAAAAATATCTTTGCTAATTTATTAAAGGTAAGAAAGTCATTTCTTAATAAAATCATCCAATAAAATTGTGTATATAATTGATTTATCTAACATTACTTTTAGACTGAAATCTTCCTGTTGGCTCACCAAGATTAATAATTCTGGACTTGAATTGATGAAATTTTGTCATACAATGGATTAAAATACACCAAGATCAAGGATAACCTAGAAAGCATCATTAACTCACAGTTTTTCAGACAAATATTGTATCTAAACTTGGTAATCTTAATTAAACAAAAATAATTCCAGATTAACAACAAGTGCAGTCTATCTTGTTTACCGGAGTTGGAATCCAATGATGATGATTTGACAATAATGAGAGGCAAAAGTAAAAGTTTCCTACCTAATTTAGTTTAAATTGTTACCTCTAACTGCGGTGGTTTCATGGTTCAGTTAGCAGGTTTGTCCAAGAAATGTTGGCCAAATATTAGGTAAGATTATAAGGCTAATCAATATTAATACATTTTAAACAGCTTGACCCTGACCTGGAAAACCGAAAATTTTGGACTTTTTGTATTTCTACAAATTTTCACTTTTCAAGTTTCAAAGCTATTTAATTTTACCTCCTGGATTCACCAATAATTATATCAATGATATTTCATTTTTTGTGCTTCTTATCGTTGACAATCATTTAGTTACACATTAGAGGTTAAGCCATTTAACCAGCAACTTTAGACTAATCGTATAATAATTACAATTTACTGGTTTACACTATTTTTTTATCAACAATAATTACATCTACATTTCCGTTCAATGTTGTTTACCTATCAACGGGAAATCAGCGATGAAATTAAAAGTGATTGAAACTATTTAATCATTTATTTGTGCGAAAAAAAGAGAAAAAAATTGAAAAAAAATTAATATTTTTACACCAAAAATATTAAAAATGTTTCTTTAAATGATAGCATTTTGAGGACGATCAAATGATTAACTGAAGGGGACAATCAATAATTTATTGTTTCTGTGAAGATTATTTTTTTCTCAATGTCTTTTAATTGCCTTAAGAGATTTTAATGTTGAAATTAGTTCAGAAGAAGACGAAGAAGATATTGATGACGATAAAGATATCCAATGAAATTGTCCTGTTGAAGGTTAAATCGGAGTTACATCGTCTTTCAAAACCATCAATACAATTTTTTAATCATACCTTCTTTTTATTAACATTATTGGACCAATTAATTATATTTCAATTCGCAGTGAACCTCACAACTTTCATGAGCATATTGGTGTCCTGGTATATCCCTATATGCATTTACACACAGCAAAGGAAATCATGATATGAATCTTTACCTGTCCCATTCAGAAGGCGGGTTTATCTTTCTCATGTTTAACCGTCCTTCTTTACGTCTTTGCGTCTTAAAATTTTGAGGGTCACTTTACTTTCTTATTTTGCACACAAAATTACCTTTTCTTACCCGTCTATAAAAAGTCAGTCGATTGACTTTGTACAATTCACTTTACAACCAAAGACAGTGTCAGTTAACTTGTGTTAAACTCGTTACAAACGCTTATTTTTTCAGTCCAAAATCAACTCAAAACTCAACAGCAAAATGAACAAGACTGTAAGTTCAGACTTTAATATTGATCTGTTTTAACTGTGAATATTGACAATCATTTATTCTTGTTTTGTTCAATTAGATCCTCGCAATCCTCATCATCTGTGCCTTGGTTGGAACCATTGCTGCTTTCGGCTATGGTTATGGATACAGACGACCACACGGATATTACGGACACCGAAGCTATGGATACCCATCATACGGTTAGTTCATGAATCAATGATTTTAATTTGGAATGTTTTACTAACTGTATTTAATTATCTCTGTTCTGCAGGACATGGATATGGATACAGGCCTTACTATGGTCGATCATACGGATATGGTGGCTACGGTCATGGTTAGTTGATGTTACATTGAAGTTGTTTACAAGATAATTGTTTACTGACCTATCAATTTTTATCAAATTGTGCTTCAAGCATTTAACACATTTATGACAACCTTTAAGTCTTTCCTTGTGTCATCAATAAGTAAACAATAATCTTGATAAATTGCTATCAACCCACATGATCGTCATTTTAACACTAACTTTGTTTTTTATATTTCTCAGGTTATCCTTACAGATATCGTTATGGATGGTAATCGCCAAATTTAAAGCATTTCGTCCTCTTCAATCTTACTTTTCATTGATTGCAAATACCATTTCAGAAATCACAAAAGATGTCAGCCTTTTTCAAACACATTAATTTATCCACTGGGACCGATTTTTCGGCGAGCTCAACAGTATCTCAGTTCAAAAATTAATTCAAGCAAAATATAACCTTATTCATCAACAATATCTACTTCAGATTGCCAAATTTCTTTACTCAACAAGGATTCATATCAGTTGTTCAGCTTCTCTTTTATGTTTATTGATTTGTAAGAAAGTAATTTTCGATGATGACAAAATAAATTTCACAATAAAATCTTCAAACATTTGTCTATTAATTTCTTATCACAATCAATTTTTAAATTAACAGGTAGTGCGGTTGAATGAATTTCAATTGGTAAATGTTAATAATTGAATGTTCAACGATTATAAATTAATTCAATGATACAAAAATTAGCATCGGTTGCGCGGTTGACTGATTCAGGGTGAAAATATTCGAGCTTCCTCAATGTCTTGGTCATATAAAACAATTTGTATTCGGGTAAATTGTTGATTTCAATTTTAATCTAGAAATCGTAAAGTTAAGCACCTTTGTAGGGAAGAAAAACATTTATCAAAATCATAGAATCGTTAAGGCTTTAAAGCTCTAAATGACTTTCAGGGCTAGCTATTTCAAAACTAGTTCTCGTTCAAAGGTAATGATTTTTATTTCCAGTATAAATCATTAACAAAAATATCAGTTGAATTGTAATACACAAAATTTTACAATAGGGATTGACCATGAATTTTATAATGATGTTCGAGAAAGAAGAGGATGCAATGATTTCTTTGGTCTGCTATGCCTGGATAATCCAACTTTAATAGCAAGTGGAGGAGTCTTTACGGGTTCTACATACTGTAAAGGATTGAATTTTACATGATTCTTTCGAGCTTTAGTCTCCCGTAGATTTCGCATTGAAGAGGTTACCTTTTCATTGTCATTTGATTTTTCATTGTTGTCGGTTTCAACTGGTTCAGGTTTCTTACAAGTTTTGACAGCTTTAGGAGTTTCTTGAAATGACTCAGTTCCTGCGAAATTAACTTCTTTTCCCTTTTTTGTTGAATCTTGAATGTCATTAGCAGCATATTTATTTTCATCGACATTTTTATCCTTTGGTTTTTTCTCTTTCTCTTGTTGAGTAGCAATATGATTAGTTTCTTTTTTACCTTGACTTATCTCATCAAGCTTTTTGTTTGGTTCATCCATTATTTGTTTGTTGACTAATTTATTAACGCAGTCTGGTGACAATCTTTCAAGAGTAACTTTCAAGCTTTTATCGTTAGGAGACGACAAACTAGTCTCCTTAACTGAATAAACTTCACCTGGTCCACTGTCGTCATCCAATACAATGATGCTATCATCATTATTGACTTTCATCTTCTTGACACCATCAGAATTTTTCTCCTTTTTTGGAGTTGCTTTCTTTTTCTTGTCCTTCTTGTCCTTCTTCTCTTTTTTGGGCTTTTCCTTCTTCTTGGCTTTAGGAGCGAAATCATCATCATCTGACAAATTGTATTCACTGCCACTATCAGAGTCTCCAAGACTACCAAATATGTTTTTACGCTTTGGCATATTCAAACAGTTATATTAATAAAAGACAGATACACAAAAACAAGACAAATAAACGTAGTAATAGATGTAAATCAATCAAAACAAAACAAACAGATAATTTAGATAACTTGTTAATGTAAACTCGATTCAGTAAAAAGCGCGAAACCAGAAAGGTAAACTAAAAAAGCGGCTAAAAGGGACCATTCACTAATTACAAATAGACTACTGTAAAATTGTAAACAAGAAAAATTAACAAAATTATCATGAAAATTAAATAAATTGAAATAATTCAATGTAAAGAATTGTTTTTAAAATTACTTTAATAGAAAAGTATAATCATTTAAGAGAAAGATTATGAAAATAACAAATTTAAAGAGTTTTGGTTGGCATAGATGAAGATAATTAACATTATTCTGGTGGTTGTTGTTGTGATTTTTGGTGATTTGTTTTCTGTAAATAAAGCAATGAAAGCTGGCTTAATTTAAAATCAAATTAGTGGCGAGGTAAATAGATGAAAAAAGCGACCATAGAAGCGTGTTTAAGCAACCAGTCCCCATGTTGTTGATAGCGAAGCAATGCAAAGCGTAAGCACCACCAAATAGATTACAAATGTATTTTAAATTGTTTTATATCATATGCGTTATCCCAAAATCCTCTCTACAAGTCCTTTACCATTGGAAGGTCTTCTAAGCCAAGATGTCAATCCATTGATTCTAATACCTAAAAGACCAGGAGAACGATAAGTACCAGAATGATTATTATAAGATGAACCTTCATACCCGTCATTTAATGGATATCCTCCTCCTAATGGGTAACCACCGCCATATCCATAACCACCATAGCCAGTGTTTCGTCCTGATCGATATGGGAAAGGAACCTTTTTGTACCGGATTAGCTCAGGTCCATAACCACCAGCTGGAAAACCAGTGCCATAATAATCACAAGATACAAATCCAATGGTAAGGGTAACAATGAAACAAACGATGGTTGCCTAGGAGAAAAGAGGTAAACAAACAGAAAATTGAATTAACCAAAACAAACAAATGAGTTGAACGAGTTAATCCAGTATGGTAAATCAATGAAACAACACTTTATCACACTATGGTTTATACTAACCAAGAATTTCATTTTGAATGTTGTGTTGAACGTGGTAATGTCGAGTTGTAAAAACAAAAGTGTTGAGCTGATGAATTAAACGTTGACTGATGATGGAAACTGCAAAACGTTTGCTATTTATTTCAAATTTGGAGGGAACCAAATATATTATGTGACCACAGTGAAAAATATTAACGAAGGATGGTAATTATAATCAAGGAAACCTGTTGACCGTCAAATTGTTGTAGAAAAACCAACGAGAGGTAATCAAGAAAAATACACTGAAAAATTGCAACCAGCAGAGGTAAAGGTCAATCAATTTTCTAAAGGTAATACCAAAACTAACCAAGGATATTTAAGATGAAGGTAAATTTAGTCATTTATATATATACACTAACGCTTATAAATTAAAGTATAGTTGGTGTGAGATTACATAAGTTGATTGTATTGACTTACAACTGAAAAAAACATTGAAATACTGAATTTGGTGAACAAAAAAATAGACAGTAACGTTTAATGAGAGTGAAGTTAACTCAGGAAGGGAAAACCCGTATTAGAGTAAAGCTTAGTTTGATTACTTTAATTGTTGTTGATATAATACCAATATTAATAATACCTTTTGACCTGGAAAGCCTCAAGAAAGTAAAAGTTTAACTGTAAGCAAGCAAAAGGTTGAAAGCGTTGAAAGAAACCAATATACTTAAAGAAGGTCACATTAACATTAACCAACAAGTGTAAATTCATTTTAATTACAACAATTTGATTCACTTTTTTCTTGTCCTTGCAGGTAGATACTGATTATCTTGATGAACACAATCTACGTCATTAATAGCATTAACCAGCATCATCTAAATGGCGATTCATCATGGCTATTTCCGATCTTCATTTCAAGTTCAATGTTTGATGTAAATGCCTTATTATACGTGTAGCCATCTTGACATTGAATTGGATTCACACAATTGGATTCATTGTTTATTGAAAATAATTAATTAATAGCAAGCAAAGGTGTAACTAATTAGATTGGCCAAACACCAGCAAACTCACCATGGATCCATCAAAATGGGTTTTCCTCAAATCAACTGTTCCGTTTGATTGTCAACTTTAACTTGGCACCAAAAATCTATTAACCCTTAATTACTGCCAATTGAATGGGGAATCAAGAAAATCTGCTTCCGCCATTCACATTTATATTATAATTTAAAGTCTGTCATAATCATTTTGATTATAAAGAGCGTCAATTAACCTAACCACAATACAATTTGTGTATGTGCGTCCCATAGCTCTTATTATCAAAGAATTGTCTATTTAGCTATTATTTATAACTCTTGTAATTGTAATACATAACCAATTAGATGCAACAATTGTCAATTTGAATTGCTCAACAAGTGATTAGTAAATTTTTGTCACATGAAATTGTAATATCTTTGTTGTCTGTAGCCTGCTATTGAAAAGCATATTGAATGTTCAATGAGACTCAAAAAACAGGTTAAATCTGATTGTAACTGTGTTACTTTTTTCTGGTAAACAATTGTCATTTTCAGTCTATTGCTAAAATTAATCTCATTTAAATTGTTGTTTTGAACTGAACGTGAGATGAAATTCAATGCAATACCTTTGTACACAAATGAGATATTGGCCTACAAATTTGAAACCTCAAGGGTTGACATTGAGAGTTTGGTGGTAATTTTAGACAATTTAGACAGTTCTAGTGACAGTCTTAATTTTGGCTGATTAAGGAATAATTGACCTGAACAATTTCTTAACCATAACATAATCTAACCATGAATCCAATTGACATTATTATCAATTTTGTTTGATTTAAATCTTGGTTGACTTGGAAAACGTGACATTTAAATGACAAATTTAGCCTAAACTTAATTGTAAACAATTATAATTCATGTTGATTTGGGTAAAGAATAAAGGTTTGCATAATTTAATACAATTTCAACGAGATTCAGTTTTCCTTTAGATAAACGATCTGAAATTTTGATGCAATTCAATTTGAAAAAAGGGATAAAATTAAAGAGATATTTAATTTTACAAAAAGTTGCTTTTAATTAATTTGGCGTCCACTCAACCAGATTTTACTTACAAAAGTAGATTCAATACGATTTAAGTTATTTACAATCTTCCTCTTAATTTTGTTACAATTTTGTTGCCAATTTTCCTTGATAATCGACTGAATGCAGCAAATAAAAAACATGTTTTTGTTGTTATAGAGGAAAAAAAGATCAAGATCCATTACAGATTCCTTTCTGCTCTTCAACTCAGGTCAGAGTTACGGTAAACGAGCCAACCCTTAAACCAAAAAATCCAATTCAATCAACAGTCTTCTTTTTATTAAATAATGTAAGAAGAGGATAATAATACCGAAAAAGGTACTAAAGTCAGCATACGCTAGTCGAAAGCCAAACCAGTAAGATCAATTGATTGTGGGTCCAAGTTTCGTTTTTGGTCTTCTTTAGAGGCTAACATCAACATTTTTGTCTTCTGTGTTGTTTTCATTATCGACCAGAGGTATTTGCCCAATCTGTTAATCTGATATTTTGTGTCTTTTTCATATTTGTTATTAAAATTGCTCGACTCCATCTTCAGGTCATTTCATTTTGAATCGACTGCCAATTCCATCATTGTTTTTCCGTTAGCCAGGGTATTGACAGAAAACTGATTTACCAGAGCTCACATTTCCTTGAATAATCAGCTGCTTTGTGTACTTTGATTGAATATTGGATCAAGATGGAGACTGACATGGGACTGGAATCAATGGTTGCCAATGATCTACCACAGCTTGCCAAAACAATGGATGAAATTTATGACATGGCAATTTCAGCCGGTACTTGTATGTTCTCAATCCTCATGTTGAAAGCAATTGAACCAAAAGGACGAAAGTCTCAAAAAGATCTTAATGTATTGTAACCAACTAAACTCAGAGGTTGAATGATTCTCTCGAGTTATTGTATTTGTTTTGTAAATTGACGTTCTTCATCCTTTACGTGTAACCATAAAATGTTCAGTGAGCTTTGTCTCCTCTCAATCACTGTCTAATACTCCAATTGATGACTCCAAATAAACCAAAAATACATATCTAAATAGAACCATTGTTGTCTATTGATACATGACTTGGACGATTTGATTAAAGACACCATAAAACAGGTAGATTAACCAAGTTAGTATTTAGTTGTTTTCACTGTTTAAATATTCATAAGATTCGTCATCATTGAAAATAAAGCTTCAGGTAACAGAGGTGAAACATTTGAAACAAATCATAATTTAGTCAGATTTTTGAAATCTTCAGCGAAAATCTCGTAATGAAAGATTATAAGATGATCGTCGATTGAATAAAAGATCATGAATTGAATAGGCAATGTGAAAAGATCAATGTCACATGTTGAAGAGAAAGATTGAAGCAAAAACACAGGAAAAGTGAAGGTGAGGAAACCCAATAAACTGTACAGGGTTAATGTTTCTCGTTTTGTTGATGTTGTTTAAACAAGGTAATCAAATCGTAAACACAATTAAGCACAGCAAGAGTTTATTATAATAAAAGGTTAATTTAATTGATAAAATAAAGTGAAATGAAATAAACAAAAATAGCAAACAAAATGAAGGCAAGTGAAAACCCGTAAAAGACAAAGGAAAACAACTGATTGACGATTTACCGAAGGTAACCAAATCTTATTACATTTAGATATCCTTTTACCCGTCAAATTTAAATCTTGAAATAAAATAATCAAGAAATAATGTCACCTAACAAGATTAGAATCAGCCAAGTTAGCCTTTCGAAAATTTTCGAGACAGAAATCAATATTAACATTAATTGATCATTTTTGGTTCATTGCTATGGTAACATTTGTGTACGTTATCATATCTTATTGAAAATGTTCATGGTAAATTTTTGATAGTTTAATTGGTAATCATTTGCAACTTGGTGATCAACTTATTTTTGATTGTTAACCAATTGGTGAAACATGAAAATAAAACATGATAGAAGTCTCTTGGCACCTGATTTGACTAATATTTTATCCCGAGTCGAGCTCATTTCTTGGTCACCAAATGGATCTAAAATTGCTGTATGCTTGTCATCAAGTAACCAGGTAAATAATTTTCCAGTGTTTGTCATTAGACTCATATCAAAGTATATACACAATCAAAGTTGTTGACTTTAGTATAATTGAGTCCGTAATTGATTAAATTGTATTGTGTCCAAGTGTTTGTGTGTGTGCCAGTGAATGTACGTGAGAGATTGAGTCAAGTTGATTCAAGTTGAGTGTTTTATGGGCTTTTCATGAAAATTTGTTGATGAATTTATCCAAAAAAATGTATTTAACGTTTTTTAAACTGCAAATAATTTATATTATTATTTGAATGTTGTATCGGGCATTCATCAAAGTGTCTTCATTCACATCATTCACTAGATCAAGCAGACAATTAAAAAGGAAAGTATTTGAAGACAAATCTTGCCATTCAAAAGGAATGAATAATTGGTTTGTAGACTAGACAAGAAACCAGAATTAGGTTCCAAATGAATTTTGAAGAAATTAGAAAATGAAAAAATGGTCAAAGACCAAACCAATTGTGCTGAGATTTTGACGAAAAATCCGTTGATTCATAAGAGAGTAAGATAGTGTCCATGAGTGTGTTTCAGTGGTTCGTTGTTTATGAGTAAAAAATGAAATTCATTATGTATTTGCTTGCACACAAATTATAACTAAAATGTTAGCTTGAGAATCAATTCCTCGTTTTGATCCAAGATGAAAATCAATTACAGTTTGGCCATAAATTAAAACAAAACAGCCAAAAAGAGATGAACGGTGAGCCAATGAGTTAAAGCTGGAACAGGATTTTTTGGGTTTGCTTTAGGAAAATGTTGTTATCCTTAACCAGCAATGACACCAATGGTAACAACAGCAATTGATGATTGAGAAGACAAAAGACGGTCAGATTTGTTGACCATCAAGTTCTGTTTGCTAATCAAAATCAACTTTGACCTCGATTTTCTATAAAACAGTCCATCGGATGCACTATTTAATAGCACCAATGGTCTCAGTTCCTATGTCCCTACAAACATACAAAGTCTCAACTCTTAAAACAAATGTTGAGCCTTTTGCAGCATTCTTTGTATTTCGTCTGCAAGTTTAACCAGTCAATCACTTACTTTGAGAAACAAAGTTTTCTGTTTCTGAACAAATCGATGAATTCGATTGCCAGTTGAACCGATCGCATTCAGTGACGGTAATAGTTAGAGGGCTTAAACTTATTATTTGTTGATAAAAATTGTTGCCAGACATCGACGATAGAACCCTTTTTTCAACGCATCGACAGTTCTCTTGATTTTGAAAACTTTAGGCCTCGATATTTCGAAAATGGTATCACCTACAATCATCATTCTCTGACTAAATATTAGATTTTCGCATCGGCTTTAACATAATATGATTGAATACCGAAGAAAATCTGAGCTTATGCATTTAATAATCAAAATCCTTCATTCTAATATTAATGCATAACATTTGGGTTGGCATAAACATTTACTTTTATAAATCAAGTATCAAAGCTGACAGCATAAGTATTAAAATGCTATTCCTTTTTATGTTGAATCTTGAATGATCTTAAATTTCACTATATTATAGCCCATAATGAAATCTAATGTTCAGGCAAAGAATAATGATTGTAGGTAATACTAATCTCGAAAAATAGAAGTTCAAAGTTTTCGATTTAATGGTCAAAATCAAGAGAACTGTTGCTAAATTGAAAAAAGGATTCGGTTGGTCAGATGTGCCAACAAATTTTATCAACAAATGATAAGTTTCAGCTCTCTGACACTTACGGTCACAGAACGCAGTCGGTTTATTCGAAAATTAAAGTTCATCTGTTTTACAGAGGCAGAAAATTTTATTTCTTAAAAAAGACCATTTTCTGGTTGCTAATCAAAAGATAGATGATATAAAATAAGATTTATGAAAAAATCTTCTTCCATAGCTGGCAAAAAGGCGATCGAAGCTTTAACTTTGACCTCGATTTTCTTGAAAACTGTAGATCAGTTGAATTATCTAATAGCGCCAATGGATTCAGTTTTTATGTCCTGACAAATCCAACTAAGTATCAACTTTTTACTCAAATGTTCGAGCCTTTGGCAGCTCTTTTTGCGATTCATTTGTAAGTTTAACCAGAAAGTTGGTTATTTTACCAAGATATTGGTTATTATGAGCTTAGTTTGTTGAATAAGCTGTTACTCATCCATTTACAATATAAATATCATGATCCAAATGCGCTAATAGAAATTTATTAAGTTGAATTAAGTTATTAATTAGTAAAGGACTAAATTGGTGAAAGAATGATGAATGCAGGAAATGGCATTCTCGAAATATCGAGGCAGAAAGTTTTATGGCCAATGGTCAAAAACAAGAGAACTATTGTTAAACTCTTAAATGAGATCAATTCATGACGTGAGCTAACGTATTTCATGGACAAAAAATAAGTTTCAGCTCTCTAACACTTACGGCCATTGCATTCGATCGGTTTAACTGGCAATCGAAGACATCTAATTATTCAAAGACAGAAAATGTTATTTTTCTAAACAAGACCATTTTATGATTTTTCATCAAAAGATACATCAGTTAAATAAGTTTTGTGAAAAAATCTTGTTCCATAGCTGAAGAAAAGGCGATCGAAGTTCCAACTTCGACCTCGATTTTATCGAAAACTGTCCATCGGATGAATTCTTTAATAGTTCCATTGGGAGCAGTTTTTATGTCCCGACAAATCCCACCAAATCTTAACTTTTTACTCAAATGTTCGAGCCTTTGGCATCACTCTTTGCATTTCTTTGGCAAGCTTAACCAGAAAATTGGTTTATTTAGCAAGATATGAGTTAATATGAGTCTAGTTAGTTGAATAAGTTGTTGCTCGTACATTTAAAGCCAAAATATCATAACCGCAATGAGCTTATGGAAAGTTATTGAATTGTATTGATTTATTAATTAGTAAAGGACTAAATTGGTGAAAGAATGATGATGGTAGGAAATGCCATTCACGAAATATTGAGGCAAAAAGTTCTGAGACCAATGGCCAAAATCAAGAGAACTATCGATGAATTGAAAAAAGTGTTTTATCGTCGATGTGTGCCAACAAATTTCAGCAACAAATAATAAGTTTCAGCTCTCTAAGACTTACGGCCATAGAATGTGGTCGGTTTAGCTAAAAATCGAACTTATCTGTTTTACGTAAAAAAGAAAATTTTGTTTTTCGGAGTAATTGCATTTTCTGGTTGGTCATCAAAAAATACGTGAGGTAAATGAGTTTCATCGAAAAATCTGCTTCCATAATTGAATAAAAGGCGATCGAAGTTTCAACTTTGACCTCGATTTTCTAGAAAACTGTCCATTAGATGAACTCCTTAATAGTACCAATAGGATCAGTTTTAATTTCCCTACAAATCCCACTAAGTTTCAACTTTTAATTCAATTGCTCGAGTCTTTGGCATCAATCTTTGCATTTCTATGGCAAGTTTAACCAGAAAATTGGTTTATTTAGCAAGATATGAGTTAAGATGAGTTTATTTGGTCGCATAAGTTGTTTCTCGTATATTCAAAGCCCAAATATCATAACCCAAATAGGCTAATGGAAAGTTATCAAAGTGAATTGAATTATTAATGAATGTAAATGAATAAATTGGTGAAAGAATGATGGTTGCAAGTGATGCCATTCTCGAAATATCGAAGTTCAAAGTTTTAGGTTAATGGCTAAAATCAAATGAACTGTTGATAAATCAAGAAAAGTATTCAATCCATAATGTTAACTAATAGTTTTCATGGACAAATAATAAGCTTTAGCTTGCCAACCCTTACGGTCACAGAAAACGATCGATTTAACTGAATATCGAACTAATTTTTTTACAGAGAAAGAAAAGTTCTATTTCTAAAAATAAGTACATTTTTCTGGTTCATCATCAAAAGTTAAATCAGTTAAATAAGTTTCATGGAAAAATCTTCTTTTGTAGTTTTATAAAAAGCGATCGAAGTTCAAACTTTGAACTCGATTTTCTCGAAAACAATTAACCAGAAAAACTTTTGAGTGGCACAAGTGGATTCAGTTTTGTGTCCCTACAAACCAACAGAGTCTAAATTTGAAAGAAATTAACTTTGCCCGTTTTTGCTTATAAATGTGATAGTTATGCGAATTGTGTCTTTTTGATACCATATTTACACATGAGATGAGTCGATGAAAAATGAGCTTCAGTTCTCTTACTTTTACGGTCACAGAAAGAGATCGGTTTAACCAAAATCGAAATGATTTGTTTTACAAAAATCAGAAAATTTGATTTCGCGGAATAAGTGCATTTCTGGTTTACCTTCAAAAGTTACACCAGAAAAAATTACCCAGTAAAACATGATAACAGTGTTAATATTTTTTTCTATTTTCACCTTTAGATCAACTTATTCGATGGATCAACTTTTGAAAGAAAAGATAAATTCACTTTAAGATCAGTCGAGAAAAGCTTTTCCAAAAAATCATTTGTCGTTAAAGGACTCAGCTTTTCCCCTGATTCAACCAAGCTCGCTATTGGTCAAACTGATTGTGTTATTTACGTTTACCGTCTAGGAGATTCATGGTAATTGTCATGTTGTAATTGTTGTGTTATTTTTATTTCTATCCTTTTAATATGCTTCTTGATTCTTTCCAGGGAAGACAAGAAATCAATTGTTGGACGGTATTTACTTCAAAGTCCAGTTACATGTCTACAATGGCACACTTCAGGAATTACATTTGGAATTGCTGAAGGCAAGGTTTGTAATCAAAACCATCTTCATGTGACAAACAGTTTAGACAAAAAAGATTGATTTCAATTGTTTACTTTTCACAGGTTAAATTGATACCCAACAATTCAAATCGAATGTCCACTTTGATATCAACAAACTCTATGGTCATTTCTTTATCAATATCTGGAGATACAATTGTCGCTGGTTTTCTCAATGGATCCATTTTCACATCAACAATTGGTTCTCGTGAATCTGGTGGCTACCAAATAGCTAGTCATTCCTGTCCACCCTTTGGATTAACACTAACCCATTCTGGTTATATTGTTGCCGCTGGTTGTGATGGTAAAATTGCCTTTCATTTGACATCTGGTTATCCTTCACGCAATGTTACCAATAAACAAATCATCGAGTTTGGCTCTGAACTGACTTGTGCTTCAGCCTTTCCTTCAGGAAACTCAGTTTTACTAACATCCACTGATAAAATGGTTATGTTTAATCTTGAATCTCATCTTTGGCGTTTAAATCAAACTATACAATTAGCTGGGACTCATTTGATTACCGCAGCCTACATAACCAAAGATGGAACCAGAATGTTGATTGGTTCTGTTACTGGTTCAGTTGATTTATTCACATCTCAATGGAAGAAGAAGCTTATTGGTGATAAATTTGAAGTAAATTATGTTGGATTGAGTCAAATTGTGTTTAAAAATTTAGACAATGGACTGACAAACGTATTTAGATCCGACCATGAGATTCGTGATGTCAGAATAATAAGAGATTCTTATGCTGTTGTTTGGACTTCAGGCAGCCTAATATTGGCTACTTTAGGGACGACATCCAAATCATCTGAAATTGAATGGCCTGGACTAACAAACAGTGGGTTTAAATTTTCTTTTGACTATGAAAATGTGGCTCTAATTTATGCTGCTGGCGAGTTATTTATTGTTGAGCTTGGCGTAAATCAGCTATTAGCATCAGTTAGAACTGATCATGTTAATCCTCATTTAATGAGGTAAGTTGACGTATAAACACCAATTCAAGCAAAATCTAATTCTTTATCCAACAGTGTTCGTCTCAATGAACGAAAGTCAGGAGCCAAAGTGTTAGCCTATCTTCTTGACTTGAAGACAATTGCTATTGTTGACTTGATCTCAGGCCTACAAATTTGTACTTGGTCACATGAAGATAAAATTGATTGGTTGGAGTTGAACGAGACTACCAAACGTTTACTCTTTCGAGATAAACAACTTCGACTTCATTTACTCGACATTCTTGCCCAAGAGTCGACCGTTTTGCTCAATTTCTGTGGCTTTGTTCAATGGGTTCCTGGAAGTGATGTTGTTGTCGCTCAGGCAAGAGATAAAGTATATGTTTGGTACGACTTCAGTCGTCCGGTTATTCACGATATTCCTGGTGATTCAAAAGCTGAAGTAATGTCGATTGAGAGAGAAGGTGGACTTTCAAGGGTGACCTTTACTGGCAACATTCCTGACATTATATTAGACGATGTGCTGCTTGAATTTGATACAGCACTTGAAGATGGTGATTTACGGCGAGCAATGTCTTTTCTTGAAACCTGTGAATTATCTCCTGAATCTGAAGCAATGTGGAAACAATTAGCCAACGTTGCTCTTCAATCTTCTGACATTTCAGTCGCTGAACGAGCCTATGCAGCAATTGGTGATGTCACTCGAGCCTCATTTTTCCGTCAATGTTTTGATAATCAAAGTAAACTCGCTTTACTTGAAGGTGACTGGAGTAACTTTGAATCAAACAACTTTGATGATGTGATTGAAACATACGTAACTTTACACAAGTGGGATAAAGCTATTGAATTGGCCGCCAGGATGGGTCGAATCGATGTTAAAGACTCGTTAGAGACTCGTTACCTCGATTATCTCAGTGAAACTGATCAACAAGCTGAAGCTGGTCGTTTAATGGAAAAGAAAGGCCACTATGAAGAGGCCATTAAACTCTATTTAAGATCAGGCTGGCCTTTTCAAGCTGCTGCTTTGTTGTTTGATATGGCAGTCAAAAAACCATTAAATATCAAGCGCAATCTCCTCGAAGAACTGGTCGCTGAACTTAAGGATGCTCAATTTTATGAAGAGGCTGGACGATTGTGTGAAATGGCACCACTTTCTGATCCTAATGCTGCATATGAACTTTATCTTACTGGAAATTGTTTTGGTCGAGCAATCGACTTGGCTCGTCGTGAATTTCCCGAAGAAGTTGTTAATCTTGAAGCCAAATATGGAGATTGGCTGATGAATTCAGCTCGAGACCCAGCTGGAGCTATTAATCACTACATTGAAGCTGGACAGAATGATAAAGCGCTGAAAGCTGCTGTTGAAGCTGGTCAATTTGAAAAGGCGGCCGAGATTGTTCCCAGCTTAGATGTGATTCCATCTGAGCTTGGTCGCTCTATTGCTGAACATTATGCATCTAGTGGGCAAATTGACGCCGCTCAAGAAATATATTTAACCTGTGGATTGATTGAAGAGGCCGTTTCATTGCTTAATAAAGCTGGACAATTCAGCAGAGCGTACCGATTAGCTAAAAATTATATGTCAGGGGAAGCAGCTCGTGAAATGTATGAAAATATTGCTCGATCAATGGAAGGAGAAGGCAAATACCGAGAAGCTGAACGAATCTACATTACATGTGATGATGTCGACTCAGCCATATCCATGTACAAAGCAGCGCGTCAATATGATTCAATGATTAGATTGGTTAAACAGTATCATCCAGATCTTCTTAACGATACTCATCTGCATTTAGCCAAAGAGCTGGAAAATGAAGGGTTACATGCTCAAGCTGAAGGGCATTATGTTGCTGCAGGTGAATGGAAAAACGCTGTTAGAATGTATAAAAATGCCAATAAATGGGAAGACGCTTACAGAGTGGCTCGATCTTATGGTGGAGCTGTTCCTGCCAAGCAAGTTGCCTTTTTATGGGCTAAAAGCCTATCAGATTCCGAGTCTGCTGTTAAACTATTGACAAGATTTGGTTTACTCAACCAAGTCATTGATTATGCTGTTGAATGTAATGCATTTGAGTTTGCCATTTCCTTGGTAACTAATGCTGGTCCTGAAATGAAACACAAATTAACTGATGTTCGCCTAAAGTACGCTTTATGGTTGGAGGATGAAGGTCGATACGATGAAGCTGAAGCTCTTTTCTTGGCTGCCAATAAACCGAGAGAAGCCGTTTTAATGTATCTTCATGCCAAATCATTTTCAGATGCTTTAAGGGTTGCTGAGCAATATGTTAAAGATGAAAACGTCGTTTCTGGTGTTCTTGTTGCTGAATCTAAAAGCTTATTGGAACGACCGGGAGGAACATCAATTGAAACAATGATGAAAGCCGAGTCATTGTTGTTAAGAGCTGGTCGAATTGAGTTGGCTGTCAAAATGTACAAAGACATGGAAATGTGGGACGAAGCTTTGCGAGTTTGTGAACAATATTCACCAGTTTTAATCGATTCAGTTAAGCGTGACATGATTTTATCTGGTAATCGTTCATCAGCATCTATGGCCGACTTTCGCTCGGTTGAATCGGGTTCAACAAATGGTTCAAGACTTCGTGGTTCAGTTGCATCCAGAGGTTCTCCAGCAACTTCCCGATCAGGCAGCATATCTGTACCAATAACACCTTCTGAGTCTTACAAGCGAGATTTAAAATCTGATTTGGAAGCGGCTGAAGCTGCTAACGATAAGGAAAATATTGTCCGATATTGTTTACTTTTAGTTTCCCAGTTGGTTGGTAAAAAGTCATTTGATGAGGCAGTTAGGTTAATCAATAAGTATCCCGTTGTATTGGCAACACCCGAAAGCAGAACTCTTTTAATCCGAATAGCCAATGATTTGATGGCCTTTGAATTGCCCGATGAACCAGACAGTTCAACCTGGAAAAATCTTCGCAATGCGTTGTCAAGTCATCTTTCAACATCCAATGGAACAGCTGATGATGCCTCTATTGATAAATATCTATTGATTACACATTATTTGGTTTTACGTCGAGCGCTGACAAATTTGGCCGATTTTAATGGAGTCTCTGATTTACTCTGTAAATTGACTGTTTCACTTGTCCGTTATACTGATGTCCTTCGGGTTGATAAATTTTTTTACGAAGCTGGATTGGCTGCTAAGGAGAATGGACGTCTAGATATGGCTTTCATTTTTTGGAACCATTTTCTTGATTTGATTGATGCCATTGAAGAGGGTGATGTTAATGTTGATCATTCTGATTTTGAAGCGACTGACATTCCATCAGAGGTTCCTTTACCATCAACACCATACTCTATTGAGGGTCAGCCTAATCTAATAGAAGACGTTAAAAGCTGGATTCTTCAAGTTTCAATGGATTCCAAGATTTCTCATAATCTTCCAGTTGATCCATATTGGGGTAATGTTTATGAAGCTTCATTGGTCAATACAGATGGAACTAGATGTTTACCTTGTCTAGTTACTGGATATCCAGTTCATAAGCACAAGATTCTTGAATTGAAACCCAACAAATATGCAGCCAATAAAGATGATTGGAACAAGTTACTAATGATTACCAAGGTAAATATATTGAACACAACAATTTTATTACACATTTATTAATTGTTGTTAATTGTTTTCATTTTACTCTATTCACAGGTTTCAGGGAGTGATGAGTTGAAAGAGATACTTCTTTTCATTGGAAAGCTCTGTGGAAATGCAACTGTTGCTCGATTCACGTTTCAGTAAAAAGTTGTCAGTTATTATCAGCTGTTGTAAACATTGTATATTGTATTGTTCCTTGGTAATATAATCAATTTAGAGAATAATCAATTTCTTAATTGATTCAAAATGAAAGTCTTTAACTGTGCCCCGATTTTTCATTAACTTGCAATCATTTGGTTTCAACTAACCTTCAAAATTTTATTCAAATAAACTTTGAAAGGTTTATAATGGATCGAAAGCTTTTCTGATCATATAAATTGGCTCCTCGTCAAATGAACAGTACAGCTAGGATGAACCAAAGAGTAATACAACTAGTATTACTCTTTGGGATGAACAATGATCAAAAAACAAGTAAATTAGAAAGATTTTTTAGCAAGTCCAAATAAAGCAACCATAAGTTAGAACTTTGAAATCTGCAACAAAAATCCCGAAATGAAAGATTATAAGAAGATCATCGATTGAATAAAAGATCATGACATGGCGATTTCAGCCGGTACTTGTATGTTCTCGATCCTCATGTTGAAAGCAATTGAACCAAAAGGACGAAAGTCTCAAAAAGATCTTAATGTATTGTAACCAACTAAACTCAGAGGTTGAATGATTCTCTCGAGTTATTGTATTTGTTTTGTAAATTGACGTTCTTCATCCTTTACGTGTAACCATAAAATGTTCAGTGAGCTTTGTCTCCTCTCAATCACTGTCTAATACTCCAATTGATGACTCCAAATAAACCAAAAATACATATCTAAATAGAGCCATTGTTGTCTATTGATACGTGACTTGGACGAGCTGATGAAAGACACCAAATAAACAGATAGATTAGCCAAGTTAGTATTTAGTTGTTTTCACTGTTTAAATATTCATAAGATCATCATCATTGAAAATAAAGCTTCAGGTAACAGAGGTTAAACATTTGAAACAAATCATAATTTAGTTAGATTTTTTGAAATCTTCAACAAAAATCTTTTAATGAAAGATTATAAGAAGATCGTCGATTGAATAAAAGATCATGAATTGAATAGGCAATGTGAAAAGATCAATGTCACATGTTGAAGAGAAAGATTGAAGCAAAAACACAGGAAAAGTGAAGGTGAGGAAAACCAATAAACTGTACAGGGTTAATGTTTCTCGTTTTGTTGATGTTGTTTAAACAAGGTAATCAAATCGTAAACACAATTAAACACAGCAAGAGTTTATTATAATAAAAGGTTAATTTAATTGATAAAATAAAGTGAAATGAAATAAACAAAAATAGCAAACAAAATGAAGGCAAGTGAAAACCCGTAAAAGACAAAGGAAAACAACTGATTGACGATTTACAGAAGGTAACCAAATCTTATTACATTTAGATATCCTTCCTCAGCGTGCATAAAATTTTCGTCTTCATCTTCCACTTCTGGTTGTTGATTTTGATCCAAAATACTTTTTAAGTTTAGTGTCGGTATTGCAGTTACGACTAATTTATAACCTCTACGAGTCGGTGGAAGTTAATCTGAATGGAAATGCTCACTACGAATAACTAGTTTCTTTATCTCAGAATTATTTGCTCGAATTTGAAGTCCCGCAATATAGAATATTCACCGGATTCAGCCATTTCTCACATCTTTCTGCGTCATTCAAGCGAAATTTGAAAAGGGATACAAAGCTATTCCTACCTGATTGTCAGCTTGAACCAAACACTTAGAAGACACTGAAAATTCAGATAAAAATCGTTTAGAGTCCATGTTCAGATATAAGTCAAAAATGTTAATCATGATAAAAAATTTTGAATGATTCTTATTTTTATTAGTAAATTCAATAACTTATTAAACCTGTTTCTTAAGTCATTATGTATATCATTTACATGTATTTTATCAATGTTTGAGGTTGTAAAGGGCGTTTTAGCTAATTTTACCGTTGTAAATTGGCTATATCTTTGCCCCTGAGTGAACCTGAGGTTAAATATTTAGTTTATGCAGGTTTGGGCGATACTCAATTGTCATATTTCAAGGTCAAGGTCAGACAAGGTCATTGCGTTATTTGACCTCTAACTGATTTTTGGAGGTCATTTTCTAAGAGTACAAAAATTTTCAAATTGGTTTATGTTTACTACGAGTTATTATCTCACACCGTTGGAAAGATAAATGTAACCTTCTTAAAACCAATTGATCAACACAAAATGTGTAAACACTCATACCTTTTGACCTGAATAAGTTATGAACATGTCACAAGCATCAACCAATCTGAAAATTTTTGCACTCTTAGAAAATGACTTCCAGATATCAGTTAGAGGTCAAATAACGCAATGACCTTGTCTGACCTTGACCTTGAAATATGGTAATTGAGTATTTAGGATTGAATGGTCGAATTTAATTAAATCTAATTGCTGTTTCGCCGTTTGTTGTGGACTCAAGTTGGCCATAGAGGTTGATTGAACAAACAGTATCCATGTGTGACTGCACGCAATGCCATTAACCAAAAGTTCAAATTAAGTAAGATGAGCCTAATAGTATTCCTTACTTGAATAAAAATTGAATCATTTGTTTGTTTAAACCGTTTGGTTAATTAAGACTTAGACATGGACTAACATGTCTAATAGCAGACAAAATCTTAATCACTTGTTTGCCTCTTTTTTTGTCCTCGGCTTTTCGCTTCTTGATTGATACCACATTATAAATACCAAAGGATATTTACAAGTGTAATATGAGGCGAGATCGGGTAACTTTCTTTTTCAGGTTTACTTTAACCGACAAATTATTGTTAAGTAAGGCTGTTTATCAGACGATGATGATAAATGACGATTAAAACAGGAGTTGAAGACAAAAGAGGAGACAAGATTCACATTATGACCATAATCCTTCCTTACCAATAATTTGTGTCGAAAATTTGCTCAAGCTGTTCATTACAATTTTAGAGTTTGAATAGATAACTAGTTTTGTTCTCTTTTCATTCTTCTTTTCTCTAAACATTTATTTCTAGTTAAAGTCTTATTTTCTTTAAATATTTTCATCAAATTCATATTTTATTTCTAATTGTTTTTATTGTTTTTTCAAAAATATTGTCTCACAAGTATTTCTACTCACCATGTCAGTGCGTCTTAGACCCCAATCGAGTTCCAATGTTATCGTCGGTCATCACTCGGGAGGATGGTTTGAGATGGACAAAGGTCTATTTTCCTCTGTCGCGACATTGTTCGCCCCACTACTCACCTCTGACCCTGAGGTTAAAAGGATTTTGATCCCTGACACCGTTTATCATTCAGTTTTTGTGGCCATTAAAGCCATGTTCCATGGAGATGAAGTGGATGTTGAACCGAGACATTTAGAGGAATTTACTACCCAACTGGAAAGCATTGGTGTAAAAGTAGCAAAAGTTTGTCATTCTTCTTTTGTTACCGACGATAGACCAATGGTTACTGCCAAGCAACTTATTATGGCGAGCAATTATCCTTTGGCCAAGACATGAGTCTGATCGACTGATAGATGATCCAGCCATGATAGATGATGATGGTCCAACCATGTGAGTAACTTGTTTGATTATATTGTTTTTTGTTCTTTTCCAGTAATTTTGTGTTTTCTTCTGTTTGCAGTTTACACTTCTTTTGTGCCCAAAGATACTCCATGTCAGGAGTTTAAGTTTTATGAAAAAGAAGATCTGGTGAAAAGCTTCAATTATTATAATATAAAATTTTCACACGGAGATTTCAGAAAGAAACTCTATTGTGTGGGTCCTAACAATAAGACTTTTCAAGTCAAAAGAAAGAAAAAGATAAATTTATCTACTTTGAAATTTAAAACATTCGAGCGATATGCAGGAGACATAAATTATGTTTTCCTTCCTGCAAATATATCGGAATTCACTTTTGATCAATTTCAGTCTCTTTTTTTAAATGAAATGTGCACCATCCCATTGGAAAAGTTTGAAGAATTCAAAAAAGAGTTGGAGAGCATCGGGATTTGCTATTGAAATCAGTGATCTTATTGATGCAGACCACAAACATCAATATAGAGTTTTAGCCAGGAAAGCCAAGAAGGATAAATCTAAATCTTTTGTTTACATCTGCGAATTTAATTCTGAATATGCCAAAAACCCAGCTGCAGCCACGGAAGAACCAGTTGTGGAAATCACACGATTGGAGTTGAATGATGAACAACCAGAACCAGAACCAGAGATAGAGCCTCCAAAAAAAGGAAATGTTTAATTTAAATATTTAAAAAGATAATTTGATAATTTTCATAAAGCAATTCAGTTACATGTCAATTTCTCATTTTCTCATAATTTCCTTCCCTTATAATCATAATAAAATTTAAGTCATTTAAACACCTTTTGTTTGTCTATTTTCTCAAATGTTTAAAGTCGTTTAGTTTTATAACGAACTAAATACGTTACTATACTATACGTTCTAAATTTATATAAACAAAATATTTAACCTCAGGGTCACTCAGGGGCAAAGATATAGCCAATTTACAACGGCAAAATTAGCTAAAACGTCCTGTATTGTATGTTAAATAATCAAAGAATTCAAAATATAACTTTCGTTAGAAATATAAAAAAGTTCAATGTTAAATGATGTGATTTAGTGAAACAAATCAACGTGGTTGACCAATGCCAGAGTCATCGTGTGGTCACTTTTTAACTTTTTTTATGCCAATTTTCCCATTGAAGTGAACACTCTTTTTACTCTTTGAACCAAATCTTTTCGCATTTAGATATCCTTTTACCCGTCAAATTTAAATCTTAATAATTAAAAAATATTCAATTCATCTCAAATTAATATCTTAAACTGATTTCTAGCATTAATATCCAAATTACTAAAGAGTAATGGATTTAATTTTCAATTTTTGACTTTAAAACTCAACAAAAAACAATCGATCCTCCAATGAGAAAAAGATGAAAATAATTTCATGATAAGCCACCAGTGAAAGTGTATCAGGAATGTGATTCAGTAGATGTCACTACAATATTACAATAAAATAGATGAAAAGTTTGGAGGGTATTCAGTAGGTTGTATTGGTTGTTCAGTCACTCGTAAAGCTGTTGTCCAAGTCAATTGCTGTAATATCTTCAGTATCAACATTTCATAGAAACCAATATCATCATAATATCATTACCATCATCACCATCATTACCTTAACCAAGCACAAACCGGAAAATAAAGATTAAAATAAATTGTTAGTTGATCAACTAAAATGTTAAATAATTGTTAAACTGTTTAAACAGTTGATTTACAATAAAACGCAAAAAAAGGATCAAAATTAGGAATCCAGAAAAGTCAAAATCTGTCAACTTGTTGTTTCATTGAAAAAATCAAATCATTCCCAGTGACAAGTTAAACAATTTTTTGTTCAATAACTGTGACAAGTGTTACATTCAATTTAATTTGTTTGAATTTTGAAACAATAATCAAATTGGAAACCATCTAATCAATTGTGTGTTTGTGTTTAACAATTGTAAAGTTTCAAAGTCAATATTGAAGTCATCACCAAGCCAACATCAAACCTTTTTATAAGGCCAACATAAAGTCAACATTGAGCCAACATAAAGCAACTTGAACCAGCATTTCAAGTAACAATTGTGAGTAATTTTTCATTTCATGTGAATCCATATTGCCTGAGCATTTAACATCATCAATTAATAGGAAAAAAACAAACGAAGAAAAGGGAAGAAAAAGAATAAGATTAAGATGAAAAATGAGGTTGAAATGAAAGGCATTTTACCTTTGTTGTTGCTTGAAAATGATAATAACAAATAATATAAAACAAACATCACATTTAAGGTTCAGGTTTTTTTCAGGTAAAGATTCATGAGTATGAAGATGAACCTTTGTTTATTTGCTCATCAATCAGATTTCAAGATTGATCATCTTAAGTCTATTCTTGACTTTTATCATGATGAAGACCATGATGATCACCACAACAACGGTAAAATTGATTACTTTAATGTGACCCAAACATTTAACCAAAATGAAAATGGTGAGTATTAAAGATGAAGAGTTATCATCATTAAGCAAAAGGTTTAACCATTAGATGAAGAGGATGGTGAAGAGATAAATAGGAAATAAGATGAAGGCTCATTTGCTTGCTGGATAATCTGATATCAACAACTAACTGAAGCTACAAGAATGCTGAGAACCGTGTTCATCACAACTTCCTTCAATAGCCAAAACCCATTAAATCCATCGCCATCTTCAACTTCACTCCAACTCTCATTTACCTTTTTTATCCATCATTATCCTTCTGCTTTCTCATCCTCAATGTCTGACCATAAGATGATGATAAGACTTTGACCATCATCATCTCCATTACCTCCAATCAAATTGGTTATTAGATGAGAAAAGCCTAAAGACTGATTTAAAACCAAATACAACCACCAAAGACTACTGTAGAGATTGATTCAAAGGTTGATTCAAAGATTGCTTCAAACATTGATTCCAAGCTAATTCACAGACCAACTCAGAGACTAATAAGGTTTTTTTTACAAAAGTAATTTCAGTTGATTCCAATTGTGGTCAAACAATCAACTAAACATTAACCCAAATGTCGAGTAAAAATATTGTCTTTCCAATGTTTACTGTTAGTCGTTCATGTTTCAACATTTTAAGGTTAATTTTACTTCTCCTCTTCATTACCAACCTTCAATCCAATAATAAAGATTGATACAATCTTTATTGTTCAACTTCACCATGTTCATCAATCTGATTCTTGACCCAACTCTAATTGTCTTTTAATCAATAAATAACCATTGACTTTCAAGACAACACCAAAATGCACCTTCAACTGATCATCCAACAATCTCAACCCAAATCATCCCTTCCTCGCTAAATTAACATGTCAATCAATTGATAATATCATGTTACTTAAATTGCCTTTACATCATTCATTTAATTTTCAAATCAACAGATTTTGCTTTTCTTCCTCATGAGTTTCGTCAATAACTTGACAATTCAACTTTTCACGTGAATTGAAGACAAGTTTGATTGTAACCACAAATTGTTGATAAAACACACACAAAAGCAACAGCAAAATAAATAGTTAACCATTTGTAAAACGACTCAGCTTATCATTTCAACAGTTAACTTCATCTTCAACATTTATCTTACAAAAAAGGTAAAAATGAACAACAAGAAACCAGAAAAAAAAGACTCAAAATTACTCGAGTCTATCCTTCACTCCCTGTCTGTTTCAATTTTATTTTCACCTTTTCCTCAGGGAATGCTTTTGTCTTACCAGATACTGAGTTCAATAAAGGTGAGAAAGATGATAAAGTTGGAATAAAAAAGGAATAAGAAAAAGGAATGAAAACAAATGAAAAAAGTGTATCAGAAAGTGTATAATGTCAAATGAAAAAGATATGTAAGATGATGAGAAATTGAAATGTAAAAAAAGGTTGACAAAAGCCTTAAAAATTCAGCTTATTTGACATGAGAATTGTTATCATATTTTTTGCTTACACGCAAAGATATCTTTTGAATCTATGAACATTTTAATGTTTCACTTAAAATGATGTTAATAGTTTTCAGCATTTCTCATCTTCTTGCAACATTCATCATAATCATCATTATCATCGCCATCACCAACCATAGTTACCCATTTCGGGTAAATGAACACTGAAACCACTTGAATCGATCACAATTTTGACATTACCTGTCCTTTGATATAAATGTGTTTCAACCATTTAACTGAGTCTTTCCTTTTTTTATCGTCATTCGTCTTCTCATTGTGGTTCATCTTATTTATCATCATTCATTGTTCTTGTACACATTCAAATGGTTGATTGAACCTTACATTGTCTGTCAATTTTACATGCAATACAAAAAACAAGAAAGTTCAATGGATTTCCCTGTTTTCCTTCTTTAATGGTATTCTGATTGCTTCTAACCATCTACATCAATAATCTAAATACTAATAATGATAATGATGTTAATAACATCTTAACACACTCTCTCTCTCTCCCTACTTCATCATCATTATCATCTTGTGGACACAAAATAAACTTTCAATTCCCAATTCTCATTCCCTGTTATCCATTTGTTATCTTCACCTTTTCTGGTTTCACCTTTTTTCTTCATCCACTCCTTAAGTGTTTACAATAATATTATTAGCAACAGCAACATTAAACCTCTATAGATGTTATTATTTACTCTATTACTAGCATTATTATCATTTTAATATAAATATTACAACCTTTTCTTTATCATGTTCAACTTGTAATTATTTTGCTGTAAAACATTAACCATACGGATATATTAAACAGTTCAACAATATTAAGCATTGCAAATGAAAATGTAACCACAGTGAAAAGCTTAATATCAGAGAACCCAATAATCCATCAATCTTATTGCTTTTAGGTATTACATTGATTATTGAATCAAAATATGTTCAACAGCCGATATTCAAATATTTCAATTTAACTATTGAATCCATTAAATGTTGATACAGATGTTCAAATGCAGGTTATTGTCCCTTTCAACCAATCAAATAAACCAAAGTCAAATTGTGATCACTAAGGTGTGACTACTGAGGTTTTCAACTAATTGCTCAAAATCAAATTGCAACACATTGGCTAGACTTACCAACATTGTTGAACCATTGAATTATAAATTGGTGTGCAAAAATAAGTCCATTTTATTGAAAAATGTGAAGTTATGGTTATAAATAGTAAAGGATATCAAAATCTAATTTCGTATTTCGTCAGTGAAAATGGTTTTTTCCTTAATTGATTAAAAATTGGTTTCTAATCAGTCTTCATAAAAGTTAGCTTTGAGGTGGACTAGAACCTCCAGTTGACCTTAGTTGAACCATACTCAAGCCTCCCAATAATCAAGTCAACACACATTAGGAAAGTGATTAAAGCATGAATTTCTTTGTTTTTTTTCGATTAGAAATTGATTTTTCATAAAATCAAAGGAAATTTTTAGCTATTTCGCTCTAATGTTTTTTTTGCTGTAATGCTTGATAAAATTGGTTATCACGCCAAAAGATGAATTTCTGTCTTTAACAGGGCAAACAATTTTGAGCGAATACGAAAAAATATCGTTTTCTTATTTTTGAAACTACCATTATCCTGCAAGGTGCAACTGTAATTGTGACCTATCACATTTTTTATGTTTTTTTCTTGATTTTTGCCCCTGTTTTTCATCTAAAAGATAATATTTTATTTAGGTCCTCGAGTATAAGCTTTCTTCTTGTACCGACTTATTCAAATCTTAAACTTTTATAACGAAATTGAAATCCGTTTTTGCAGACTTAAGTATAGACGAAGTTTGAGCCCTTTTCATTGAACAATTGATGTCAAATTTTGCAAATTTTGCGATTCCCTCAAACCCAGACATAAACTTATATCACTATTTTGAAAAAGTCATACCTTTATGCGTTTATTGACTTTGTAAGCTAAATTTTTTGAGCTTTTGATTCACTTGACTTGGTGTTTGCAGATTAAACACAATGATTGAAACTTACAAGTGATTCAGGTGTTTCTTGTTACAATAATAATGCAAAATAATCCAACGATTAATTTTTAAACTTATTGACTAAACAGAGTCAACTTTGTTTACTAAGAGTTCATTGTTTTTAAACTTGACTTTGTGATAAAACAAAGCATTAGGATAAAATAAACTTTACTCATCAAAAAGCAGCAACTCTTGTGAATCACCTTACGGTTGGTTTAGATGTAAAATTTGTTGTGATTCATCTTGTTGATCAATTTGTAGTTAAACTAATAATGCAAAATAAGGCAATGAATCATTTCAAACTAACAGTTAAATATTGTCTTTACAATAGCATCTTAACCTGAAAGAACCAGAAAAGTAAACCTAAAGTAACTTGAACCCTGTTGGGTTCAACTTTCAACCCAATTTTCTGGTTATCTACCAATTTCCATTCAACTTTCAATTGATCAATTATTGAAGTGAACCAAACTAATAATACCTTTTTTACATTATGAATTAAGGTGATGATTAAATTTAGTCGATGAAAAGAGGTAATATTTTTGCTCCGTTGTATTCATCTTTAGCTTACATTTTATCCCCTGTTCATCAATGTAATCAGCATTTTATAAGTTGAAATAACATGTATTGATCGTATTCCCATGACCGGTTACCTAGGATTTTTATTATGACTTGATTCACTCTACTTTCATCTATCAGTCTATTGCTCTTACCTTGATAATTTACTGATGATGAAGTAAAGGTTGAGGAAGATAAGATGATGAAGATAACTGAGGGAAAACTCAAGTCTTTTAGCTAAGTAAACAGAATGAGGGAAAAAAGATATAAAAAGGAGGAAAACCATTCATTGTTAGACAATTTCTTAAACAATTTTATCTCTTTTTTACCTATCATTTCCTTGTTACATTTACCTTCATTTTCATCCTCATCTTTAACTTTATCTTCATCTTTAACTTGGTTAACTTGACAAGCAAATGGTTTCATTCAACACTTGAAGTGTATCAGTTCAATGTTTCAAAAGGATTCATCATCATTATCATCATCAACTCATCAATTGTGATTGTGTTTTTAAGACACTTTGCAAGTTGCCAAAAATTAATTACCTTTCTGGTTTCTTTATTTCGTTTTG